AAATAGTAACCAAAAACTAGGAAAATAGTTGCCTAAATAAGAACAAAAATTCATCAAAAATATGACTAAAATTTTGTTAATGACTTAATTGTCATATACCATGATCCATTCAGCCAAGTAGGTGGCAAATATGATAATTTTTATATAAGCGTATATGTTTATATACAGGTTGATTCTAAAAAGATGGGCAAAATTTTAGGAAGTGATAGTACACACCCAAGCAAACAATTTTTATCAAAGAGTGCATGGTCGAAAACAAAACGCAAAACCGCTAGAGGGAGTCAAAGTTTATATTCCTATATGAGGCAAAAACACTCAAGGAACGATGAAGTTAAGTTATAAAAGCAAATTTAATGGCATGTGATTACAATAAGTGTTCAAAAGAGTGGCCAGCAGCGGCTGTGCTCGTAGTAAAACGGCGAAGAAAAGATATAGGCGAACATTCTGAAACACAACAGGCATATCACGGGCTTTCCTTGCAGCGGTCGATAGCTTGGCGACAAGTAATGCAGCACAGTAACTCGCAACAGGAATGAAGTTTTCACGTTTGCATCAAACAACTTTTCAAATGTGCCAGCACCTTTGCGTTTCGTTTTCGACCATGCATTCTTTGATAAAAATTGTTTGCTTGGGTGTGTACTATTACCTCCTAAAATTTCGCCCATCTTTTTATATGAAAAGTGAATACTCAAATTCGAAATTCACGCATCGTAATATCGTTCTTTTAAAAAAAAAAATCATGCGGAATTTCGTAGCAATAATCATTGAAAAGGCGATCGAGAAATGAAATAGACTTACTTACTATAGAGTAACTATAGAGTTTGTGCAGATTGAACGAATTAAAAAGTGAAGACTCAAATTTATTTGCAAGTCAAAATTTTCAAAATTTTTTATGAAAAAAAAAAGTTCAGTGTGTGCAGAAACTATCTTGGGTGCAGATTTTCCACTCAATTTATGCTTTTTAACAAAAATAAAAAACGTCGCTAGGGGTTTAGAAAAGTCTCCTTTTCCTGAAAATAGTTGCTTTTTTAGCCACAGTCGCCTTATGCCAAAAATAGTTGCATTTTAGTCGCCTGTGGCAACCCTGCGAAGTAACTTTTATTAGAGAAATTTAAGTCTNGCGGAATTTCGTAGCAATAATCATTGAAAAGGCGATCGAGAAATGAAATAGACTTAATTACAACGGAGTCTGTGCAGATTGAACGAATTAAAAAGTGAAGACTCAAATTTATTTGCAAGTCAAAATTTTCAAAATTTTTTACTTTTTATGAAAAAAAAAGTTCAGTGTGTTCAGAAACTATCTTGTGGGGTGCAAATTTTCCACTCAATTTATGCTTTTTAAAAAAAAATAAAAAACGTCGCTAGGGGTTTAGAAAAGTCTCCTTTTCCTGAAAATAGTTGCTTTTTTAGCCTTTTCAGGCAAAAAAAGTTGCCACAGTCGCCTTAAGCCAAAATAGTTGCATTTTAGTCGCCTGTGGCAACCCTGCGAAGTAACTTTTATTAGAGAAATTTAAGTCTATTTGGTTCTTCTAGAATTTTTTTTTTTTTGCATTCGTCAGAGAAAACGTAGTTATTTGTTTATGAACACTTCATTACTTTGAGGGTGATAAAAAAAACAACCCTTTAGTTGAAAATGTAAGCAGTTGAACATGGGCTTACACTTTCTGTGAACCAGGATCAATCTTTAGAAACCAGTGTGTTATGGAGACGGAAGAATAACAGCTTTTTGCTTTTAAGAAATATAACATGAAGACAGCTATTGTATTTATTGATTATTATTTAAAAATACATAAAATGGTCAGAAGCAAGGTATACAAGAAAGTCGTGATGTATGTCAGCGTCATCTTATCGTTTTTTATAACCGTCGTTGAACAGCCGACCCAATTTTCGGGTTTACGACTACAAATGTTCAACTCCGTAGCCTTGTAATTTTGAACCATATCCAGAAGACAAGGGAACTCCTGGATCAAGTAGTGGGAGAAATTTACCTTCGTGGTGCGTTACATGGAGAGGAAGACCACGAGAACCTCCCACGGTTAGCCTGATAGCAAGCGGACTCTAACCCTAGATCCGTCTACCACTGAGGATATTTCACGTCAGCACTGTGGTCGGTGCAAGCCGGATGCGGAATTCGTATCGACCAGCCATCGCAGGGATCGAACCCCGGTTCACCTTATTGGAAAGCGAACGCTCTATCCCCTGAGCCCTCGCAGCCCCATCTTATCGTTTATAAGCAAAACGGTATACAATTCTTTCTTGTCTTCATCTTTGATTTAACTTATATTTATTTCAAATGTATTTCATTGTAACAGTGCTATATTTTTGTTTTGTGTTAATTTCGATGCCTAATTAGTTAGTTTATGTTTTACATGGCTTCATGCCTGTCTTTGTGTTACTTAAGAAATATATAGTGAAAGAATCTTTGTATAAGAATACAGAATGTATCCTTAAGAGAATTGATACTTGATGGGCATGGCTTACTCAAAATGGAACGGAAAGAACAGGTGCTAACATAAACAAATGCCAAGTTTCAACAGCCAATCAGGATCGAGATACCCACACTAGGTCACTTGCAGGTATCCCATTTCATTACATATCAGCTTGATATTCAAATACTATGCCTATTAGATTATTAAAAACAAACACCAGTACATATTATGTTCAGAAATATATTTTTTTAAGGAAAAATTCAGGTTATTAAAGTTTTTTTAACATTTAAAAAAAAATTTACAAAAATTTTGGGCATTAGCTAAATATTTTCACACTATGGCGACATTATTCATTGACTGCTGCAGATGAGCAATTAAGAATAACAATGTAAAGACTCTGAGTCATATGGTCAAGAATAACGGTAATATAGCAAGCCAAGAGATGAATTAGAAATTGTGGATGGCGATTGAAATGAATAGCTAAAGATGCTGTTATACAGACAATTCCTGAAATAGTGTTATTTATGCATGACTACATGCTTAAACAGATGATTATACAAGTCTTTTAAAAATAAAAGACTTGTTATAAATAAAACTGACAGAATTTCTAGTTAACCATTAAATTGAGAATGTATATCATTTAGCTTTAAATATAGTTCAAAAGTCAATCTAAATCGCAAGAGAAATATGAATTTCTTGTCTAACTACCACTAAATTTTTTTGAGCATTTAGATATTTCAGTCCTACTTTGATATTTTGTTTTGAAAAAAGTGCCTTCATATAAAATACAGTAGATGCTACAAATTTTGTTTAATAAATTCTTAAACTTTTGTGACTACATGTTGATTTCAAAAGTCCAGTGCAAAGTCTTTATGTGACCAGCAGAATCGATAAAGCTTCACGTTCATGCACTTCACATTTACCAACAGCATACCTGCCAACATTTCAGAAATAAAATAACGAAGATATTACTAGTGCAATTTTTTTAGGTTAAGAGTTGAAATTTGATGCATCATACATAATCATGTAAATCAAAAAAGAGAAATTCAAAATTGGAAGTAATATAAGCACTTACATTTAGCAAAGTAAAAAATATGTACATAAATCTTAACGAAAGATTTTTTAAACCATTATTTATATTTATTTAAACTATTAATACTCACTGGCAATAGTACTATCTGTTAAGGAATAAGATAAGTATTTTTTCCATCAGCGGTTATTTTATCATCAAAAGTTTTTTGTTTAACAAATACGGAGAAATGTGAGAATAAATGGGTAAACAGGAGATAGTAGTAAAATACAGGAATCTCCGTTAAAAAAATAGGAGAGTTGGCAGGTACGCAACAGTACCAATGTCTAAAAAAGATGAAGCTGTGATTCCAAGAATTTTTTAGTAATTTAAAGTTTAAAAACACCAATATTTTTAAAGAAGAAAAAGATCTGGTCCAAAGCCTTGAATAAACTTAGTTTTTTATTAATAACAAAATTAAAACTCTTTAATTTTCGATTTATATCTAGATACATGGCCTACTTACGTTTAAGAAAAAAACTGCAATGCAAGCAAAAAAAAAAAAATTAAACAAGTCTAAATGATCAATGCTAAGCTTAATCATAACTGTTCAGTAGTCTATTCTGTTACATACGTGGCACACAATGTTCCCCAAACTGCCTAAATTACATCAATCTTAAATACTATTTTCAAGTTTTTTCTCACAACTTCAATTAAAACTATATTAATTACATCAGTAGGCATTTATCTGTATTATTTACTTTTTAGTTTGTTGTGCGAAACATGCTTGTTTTATAGTAGTTACTTTTAATGGAAATAACATGGATTGAAAAGATAAGTTTATCTAGTCAAAAGGCAAAAACGAGTATCTGAACTAAATTAAATAATTGAATGAAGAAAAAATCATTTGGACAATGAATGAAGAAAAAAATTTATGGTCAAAACAAAAAACTACACTTTTAGTGGCCATGTTTAAAAACATGTTTCAATTTACATGCAGAGTATATAAAAAATGTATGGACATGTGTTCAATTATTTTTTTTTCACCAAAAATTGTGCTTTAACTTAAAATGCCTATATGCAAACCATTAAATAGTTTTTGCCTCCTTTCACTAACGTGTCTCTTTGAATTATGCCAACATTAAGTTTGTGAATCATATGGCCAATCTCCTCATATTTGTAGAGTTTCATTTCTTTTATCAAAAACACATATCATAATGGATAAACAAAAGTTTGTTTCACAGAAAAAAGAAAATTTGAATTTTGCAACAACTTAGGATAATTTGGAATCTTTTCCTTTACATAGCATTTTAAGAAAAACTTAAATATTTCCATCATAGCCATACAATTTTTAATGACAGGAAAAAAAAAAGTATTGTGCTTTAAGGAGTGAATTGCCATTTTCATTATACATGAGCTGAGCTGTATAAAAATGCTTAAAAAAAAATTCAAAAAAATTTAAGATAAGGATTTTTTTAAAATAAAAATAAAGTAATAGAGTTATTTTTAAATCGTGCTTCTACTGTGTGTTACTGGATATTTTTAAAAGAAACAAATTATACTGGTACTTAAAATATATATTTATTTTTAAAAAAATGAGGAGAAACAATGAAAAGCAAATGATACAAAAGACATCATGATCGCAGAACAATGAAATTGATTTTAGCAACAATAATTAAATCTGATTCTAAAAATTTATACCAAATATGATACCCACTGATGAAATATAACATAATAAGGGTGAAAAAACAGGATTATGAAGACTGTAACTACCACAGTATTATAAAATGTTCATAAAACGGTTTTTTTTTCTTCTTTTTCTTTTAAAGTGCACAGCATCTTAAGGTTGATTAGCGGCAGCCATGTTCATTGTTTCACTGCTACTACTGTTGCTTGAATCACTTACATCTGGAGGTCCTGTAACTGCAAAAATATGAAAAATGCATTTAGAATATTGCAAATTAACAGTATTTAGCAATTAACAGTTTTTGGAAATGAGCAATTAACAGTTTTTGGAATGTCTTTAAACAATGACACTTGGAGGGGAAGGAATGGGTTGTAGAATGAAATTGTAACAACGGAGAGGGGACAACAAGTATGACAACATACATTTTATTTAAAATAAAAACATTTAAGGATCGCAAATTAAATAATTTTATATTTTTCGTTTTTATGTTATTTGTTTTATATTTTTGTAATCAAAATAAGTAAGGTTAACAAATAAACTTTTAAATAAGATCTAAAGCATATTACTTTGTTTATGAATTATTAGTGTACGTTTATGAAATTTAGCAAAACACGTGACAAGAGAGGGTAGAAGTATGGTAAAATGTGACACTTTCTGACAAAAGGGAGGAAGGGGTCAAAATATTGAAAACTAAGTGACATTTTTGAATAGCCCCTTTACACAAAGCAATCTTTAGACTTTTAACATGGTATATAAATAGAGTAGAATATTAGCTAGATTGAAACTAACACTGTCAAATAAATTTAAAAAATAAATAAACAGTGAAACTAATATTTTATTAATAATTCAGAGAAAGACATTTTCAATAAAAAGGTTTAGGCAGACAGACATAAACAATCATATAAAATCCTGAAATTAGAGGGAATCAGACACAGAGAAATAAAGTTAAGTATGAAAATATTAGGATTCACAAAATCCATATTTGAGGATTTCTAAAACACAGAATTTTAAATTACCAAATACAGTCTATTCCTGATTATCCATGTAAAAATTATTCACAACTAAAATGGCTATTTGAGAAAGGACAAGAATCCCATTTTTGAAGTTTTAAAAGATTCAATGCTAAAAATGTATTCACTTTCGAGATAAATTATACATAGCAAGAGTTTTTTGTAGCAATGAAGTGTAAGCAGGAACACAATTTCATCTTATTTAGTCTTTCAAATTTAAATTTTTTTATAGAAAAAATTGCTGCTAAATCTTTTTTTATTATTTAGTAATCAATAATTTAAAAGTCAAATAAGAAGTAAAAAAAAAATAATGAAGTAATAGATTTATTTCAACTATTCAGTTTATATGATAAAAATTAATGTTAACAAATCAATAAATAAAAAATGATAAAAGAGAAATAAGCCTCAAGCCCTTTCTGCATTAAAATAAAATTGAGACCATTAAATTGTGCTTAGTTAGTAATCAGACTTATTTCATTTCAGCTCCAATATTTTTTTTTACTCACAAATCTAACAAAATCACTACTAACCTAATTTCATAAATAAATATTCCTAATATAAAATACTGAACTGTAAATATCATTTCTTATTTCAAAAGCATTTTCTTTATGCAAGATGATTATCTCTTGAGATATCTTTCCATTCTAAACTCTATTACTATCAGACTATCATCATCTTTCACGAGGTTTTGTCTTCGGACCATTCGTTCGGCAATATTTAGCCATAAAATTATTAGGAGAGACAGTGATAAGTATTTATAATTTCATTTTTTGAAATTATATTTTTTATTCACTTGCAATAACAAGAGTTGAAAAAACTTTATTCTAAAAAAATAAAAAAGGGAAGATCAAAAATTTTCTTTAATTATTTTGCAAAATATCTTCAATTTGCTTATTCGTAATTGCCCTGGATAATCAAAAGTTTACTGAATTTTATTTACTCAGACCAATCATCAAACAAGTTAACTCTTAACAAACTAATGCTGCCATAAAAAGGACATGACCCTTTTACTTGTGGGTTCAATGATGACACTAGTAACAACTAGTGTGATACACACTAGTAACAACAGTATTAGCATTTGATTTCCCTGTAAATACTTATATTAGTCATTATAATAAATTACTATAATTAATTATATTATAATTATACCTGGAGGAAAGTAAATTTGAACTACTTTGGAACCATTAAGGGTGAATAAAAAAATTTTGGTTCAGTTAAATTGTCCATATATACAAACTCATTAAGAACTTTAAGCATATTTTTCCATTTTCAAAAATTTTTTTAAGGGTAAATAAAAAAACGTTGGTTAATAGTGCAGTTGTTGTTGTGTCTTATACACAAAGTGTTAAAGTGTCCATATACACAAATTCATTAAGAACTTTAAGCATATTTTTTTTTCCATTTTCAGAAATGAAATTATTCAAGCCTGGTCACAGAATTGACCAGGTGATTTGATTTTGTTGGGATTAAAGATTTATGTAGTAAACCTGCAAATAATGGTAATCAGAGCAACCAGTCATTAAAAATATATAAACAAGTTTCTTTTTTTATTGTTACATCAATTTTAATGTCATTTGTTTTTTTTTCCCCCTAAAAAATTCACATTTGTTTATAACTAATATATTATTAATTTCAATAGTTAACTCACTAGTACGAAACTAATTTCTTATTAAAGGTTTTAATTTTGTGTCTTGTTTTAAAAAAGAGCACATTAGCAACTTTTAATACATTCCTGTAATTAAAACAAACATTTGCTTTAAAGTAAATGGCAATAAACTTGATGATTAATTATAAAATGTGAGGATTAATTACAAAACTATTTAGCTGCTATAAAAAATTTAACATATAGAAATTTATCATTAAATTACAGATGGGGAGGGGGGGGGAATTACACACTTCTGACTTATTAAGGCCATTACTTTCTAATTTATTTCTCTAATTATTTCTATTTACTCATTGTAACAAAGTTTCGATAATTAATGATTCATGAAACAGTACATAATTCTCGGACAGAATTGTCCATCCTTATGAAATTTAAAGACTAGGTCAAAACTGTTTTATTTAACAAAAAAATATCAATTTTTTTTTAACCATCTGTTTCTATGCTCTCAGATAAAAAATAATTCCTCAAAAGTTTATAAGAAAATTTTGAATAGAAATATGATAAGCGGACTTTCCTTTGAATTAAATTTTAATCTTGTAAAACAGTAAGTTTTTAGATTTGAAAAAAAAAAAAGTAGTTAATTTCTAAATTTGTTTTTAGTCATTTGAAATAATAGTAGTAATAATTAAAAGGTAAAAAACAAATTTCTTTGTAATTGCAGAATTTTATTTTAAATTTCATGTTTTCAACAAATTTAGTCATTTAAAATAATATAATAGCAATAATGAAAAAGTGAAAATCAAATTTCTTTATAATTCTAGAATTTCATTAAAAAACACCTAAAATTTTTCTTAATGATTATTATAGAATTTTATTTTTCTAAGATAATTAACAAAATTGCAATTAGAAGAACAAAGGTAAAAGAATACAATTTGACTTAAAGGAAGTAGAATTTAAAGATAACAAATTACCTGTTAAATAAAAATAAAAAATAAAAAAAAAGAGACCAAAGAAAATATTTCCTACTGATCTTGGTCATTTTAGAATGATAATAAACAACTCTTAAAAAATTAAATATTTACATTTTATACAATAACAATGAAAACATAAATTCCAATAATTAATTATGATAAAGAACATTTTACATGAAAATAATTATCTTTGGAAAAGATAAAAAAACATTTTTATAAAATACATGCACATAACACTATTCGACATAAATTACATAAATGAGAAAACTATTTGAAGATAGGAAAAATTAATAAAAAAAAAGACTACCTTAGTTCAACCAGAATATCTGTCTATTATTTGTCTACATATTTAATAAATTTTTTTCCAGAATATAATTTGCTTCCATTACGCGTATATAAATCTTCTGGAAAGATAAATCAGTTAAAATTTTGAACAAGTAAAAGCAACACACACAAATGAAGAAAAAAAAACTAATATTTTTACCTTGTTCTCAGCAGTTCTGATATAATATAAATTATACAGAACTGATTCTCAAGGATAACCTACAAATATTTTATGGAAATAAACTACAACTGCTATGTAGTAAAAAAAAAAGATTTTTATCAAAAGCGCATGCATACAGACTTAAAAACTAAAGCTTGTGCACATGCAAAGCAAAGAAGTAACTAATGCGAAGGAATTTTATTAAAAAAAAAACAATAAAAGCATAGTTAACTGTGATTAATTCATGAAATATGCCAAGTTTCAGAGCAAAATATGTTAAAAATACATTGCTAACAGGTATCATTTAAAAACTTTCATAACATTTAAAATAATTTTAAGAAATTTGTAATACTTCAAGAATAAAATTAATAACACTTTACTAGTTTCTGAACTGTTTAAAGGGCCTTTTTCGAGTAATGTTATATTGAAATATTTTTGAGATTGAGATAAATTTATAAAAAGAAAATCCAAATTTAATTATCTAAAATTTTTTTCAAGATCTTTTTCTTTTCTTGATGGGGAGTAGGGTTATTCAAAATTTTACATGCAGTAAAGAATTGGCCATATACTTGAAAATATAATAATAAATATAAATTACAAATTCTGCGCTTATTACAACTAATAAACTTCATGAAAAATGATGAATTGCACAAACACATAATGNGAGCGAGACTCTGTCAAAAAAAAAAAAAAAAAAAAATTATTCTCCACTGTCAGGCATGTATAATATACACAAACACCTTTAGGGAAAAATATTTTAGTATTACTGAAAATGAAAAAAGGGGGGAAAAATCAAAATTTCCTTCTTTTAATGAGCAGGTCAATTTATCAGATATCAATGAAAGAATTTTTTTCTGCTTCATGCAGCTTTACTTTTATCGCAATTATGTAATTGCATTTGCCTTTTAGGGATGAGTTTTTCAGCTCTTTTTAAAATTTAATAAAAAAAAATAATAATAAAAAAAAGAGATTATTTTTTTTTAATTCTTGAAAAAAATTATCTGTTTTTAAGCGTATTCCTGACCATGTGGACGTGGACAAAATTGCTCCATTATTATCAAGAACAGAAAAAGATGACATGAACTACTTTAAAAACCTAGTAAGCAATGCAAATAAAATCATTTTTAAATTTTTAATTTAAAATATTGAAATAGTAACTTAGGTAAAAATTTTTTTAACATGTAATAGGATAGTCTCGATTTAATTGATTAAAATTTTTAAATCTTGTAATTAACTGAACTGTAACATCAAACCCTGTAATAAAAATTTTTTTCCTGTAATTCATTGAAAATTTCTTAGTGAACTGTAAAACCCTAAGATAATTTTTTTAAAATTGCTTTGAGTTAATAATTCATAAAGAAATTAATAATTCATAATACATATTTTAAACATTGAATGTTGAAAATGAACTGATCAACACCTATCAAGATTTTTTAAGGCACATTTCCTACTTCTTGATTACTGAATTTTGTTATAGGTTTTTGAACTGAATAGCATCACATAAAATATCAATTTTAACAATATAAATTTTATAAATAATTGCATTACTTAGACATCAAACAGTATTAAAGTTAAATAGTGAAACAGAATTTTTTAAACATATTTTTAATATTATTTGTAACATAATTTCAAAATAATTTACTTTGAGTAAGAATCATATATATATATATATTATAAATAAAAAAGTTTTTAAAACATTTTTGAAATATCATAATTTATTTCATCGATATAATAAATAAAGTCATCAATATAAAAAAATTTCCTATAAAGCACAGAACAAATAATGCTTTAACGTTGAAAAAAATATGATTTCTAATTTAAGTTTACTTTTTAATGCGTCTTTATATCCCAACCAATTTTTTTTTTTCTAACTGAGAAACATTTTATATATATTTTCTTAATCTTTTAAAATTAAGCATTCCTTACTATTCTATCACAGTTATCACTTTACATGTTAATGAAAACTTGATTTTTAAGGAATAAAAGTGCAATTAAGAAATAGGTTAAATAGAAAAATCAATAGCAGTGCAGAAAGTCAGTGCAAATGAAATTTACGTTTATTTTGTAAGCAGGCAGATGTAAAAAATTTAGAAAAATAAACAGAATACATAAGCTTTTTTAAATGTTTAATTATCAATTGAAAGAAAGATTTATTAAAAAAAAAAGATTTAGATAAGGTTTTAAAAATCAAAAGTAGCAACTAACCCAAAAGAATATATATATTTTTTTAAATGATTTTGGAGCTACAACAGCAATTTTGAATAATTAAACTGAATGAATGATAAAGCAAATCGAATAACTAAAATAAATATTTCTACTATCTTCCAAAGAGCGACAGCTATAGACAGTAAATATCAAATAAAAAAATATAAGTAAAACTTACCTTGTGCTTGAGGAGGACCGACCATTGGATTTTGCATTGGTGGTTCGCTGTTCATGTTAGGATGGCCTTGGGTAGGCTGAGCTGATGGTACTGGTGGCATACCTATTAAAATAGAAAAAGATACATATTAATATTGCAATGAATTTAGTGATAAATTATATTAAATTTATTATCTTCTACATTAAATATAATAAAAAATTCATAACTCTGATTTTCTAAAAATTAAGAAGTTTTGCAATATTTACCAACAGAATATCAATTAATTATAATACATAAGTTCATATTCATTGAGGTAAGTTCATATTATACAGTACAGAACCTCTTATCCGGAAATCAGAATACCGGAAAACCAGAATGAAATTTAATACATTTTCCCGCCATTTTTTTTAAAAAAATTTTTTCCTCAAAAGATTTCAGAATTCTTCTTTATTTTTTAAAAGATGTTTACCATCATTTTAGAAATAATCATTAGTTCCCTACACTCTCAAAAAAGGAAGAGCTTTTTAAAATTATTTTAAATATACATATATTTTTTTTAGTTGAGTTTGACAGTAAAAAAAAGGCTTTTTGTAGCGATTCAGAAAACCGGAAAAATCAGTTATCCAGAATAGCAATGGTCTCGATCGTTCCGGTTAATCGGTTCTCTACTGTACTTATACATGCATCAGCACTCATAGATAATTTTAGATAAAATTCCTTTGCAAACAATTAGAAATTAAATTAAAAGTATTTTCCCACAATACTTTTGAGAAAAATACCTATTACCTACATTTCATACCGTATAATAAAACCAAATAAAATCCAGTTAAATATGTTTTAATGAATGAGAGGAATAATCTAATTTATTCAGTGAGACCTCGATATAAGGTCACCCTAAGGGACATCACAAAAGTGACCTTATAAGCGGGGTGACCTTTTAATCGATTCATTAGCAGTTCGTAACTAACATAAATAGCTAACTAAGTACATAAATAGTACACATTATGATTTTTTAAAAATGGTTATACAAACGAAAACGATCAGCCATAAATTAAATATTTCAGTCAATAAATTTTAACAGAATTAGTAAAGAATTAAAGAAAGATAGATTTTTAAAAAACTTTTAATTTAAAATAAAGTTGTTTACAAATTTCCTCAAAGTGTACATACACACATTACATCTTATCTTATTTAAATAATCATTTATGCGGGTCTGTCTCGTTTCTGGTTTCATTTTTCGAACAATGATTTCTAGATTTTGTAACTTCTCAAAATATTACTCAGCTCCCTCATGGTTTGTAAAAAAAATTCGTATGACATTGAAGGCTTCCACTTGAAGCTAGTCTCAGGATCACTGTCATTGTCCTCAACTTGTGAAACAATTTCAGAAATTGCAGTTTGTTCGTTGGCTGCAACATTTTCCTAAAACTCGAGAGGGGTAATTGCCTTGTAAGGAAGTTAAATAGGCTTTTGTTAGAAAAAAGCTTCCCTCACCTCAGATAAAAATGACCTTATAAGCGATAACGATTTTAACAACTTGACCATATATCCGATAGTCTGTAACAAAGAATTTCTATTCAGTGAGCCGGGACTTTGGAAAAGTGACCTTATATGCGGGGTGACCTTATATGCGGATGACCTTATACCGAGGTCTGACTGTATATTTACGATATTGGGTGCAGACAAACAATTTTTAATAACTTATTTAAAAATAAATAAATTAACAAAATATAACAAGAGTAAACTTTTACTGATAAATAAATTTAATTGGCTTCAAAGTGGTCACCTTAAGCAGCGATGCAAAAGCTTAACCACAAGTTCACAACCTTCAATTTTCCCTGTTAATCTTTAAATTACTGCTTTAGCAAATCCGAGCTCCTTTATACAGCATTTATGTAAGCAAATGATTTCAAATTGTCATTTTCCATGCAATAACAACTCTAAAATAGATTTTTTATTCAACATAGTAAAAGAGCCAGAAAAACAATATGTAAACTAAGAGATATATTTAAAACTAAAGTGGTAGACAAAAATAAATAAACACATAAATTAAAAAGAAATTAGTTAATTTCAATTCTATAATGCAATAACTTGGTGAGAGTTTTTTTTCTTTTTGCTGTACAATGTATATAGTTTAATAGTTTTATGCCAAAGTAATAAAAAAGAAATCAAGGTTAAAAAAAATACATAAATTACAAATCTGATATCTGAATTGAATTGTAAATCTGATAGTGATTACAGTCAGTATCTGATTTAAAATTTTTTTTTTCATTTTAGGTTAAGGAAAATCAATGTCTCTTAAAGGGATAGAAAATGTTACTTTTAACTTAAAAAGAAAAGAAAAAACTTTTACTTTTAAAAACTATAGCATGTTAAATGATTTTCCATACATTAAACATTAGCGCAGAAAGCACAATTCATTAAAGACATATTTCTATTAAAATCTCAAAAACTATTCACCAACAGCCCTATTTTTTAAAAAAAATTTAAATTTTAAATGATAATCAAATAAGCTAAGATTTTTTTTAATATTTCTATAATTCAACATTACGAATTTTTCAAAATATTTTCTTTTCCCTCCTTTCTTTTCTTTTAATGCTCCAAAATGAAGAAAATAAATGAGTAAATAAATCCTATGCACTTAGAAAAAAATTAGATTGATCCACACAGGCACCAGCTTTCCTAACTACCAATAAGTAATATATGCAGTTAGCATTTACAAAATTTTAATTAATTTTATGGTGTACTTAATTCTATATACAGTACAGAACCCGTTATCCGGAAACCAGAAAACCGGAACGTCAGTACATTTTCCCGCCATTTAAAAAAAAATTTTTTTTTTTTTTTCCTCATAAGATTTTAGGATTTTTCGTTCTTTTTTTGAAGATGTTTACCATACCATCATTTTGGAAATAATAATTAGTGTATTACTTCATCGTTTTTTCTTCTTTTTAAGATTATTTCCAATTTTTTTTTTTCAGTTGTGTTTAACAATAAAAAATAACGGCTTTTTGTAGCGATTCAGAAAACCGGAAAAATCAGTTATCCGGAATAGCGATGGTCCCGATCGTTCCGGATAATCAGTTCCCTACTGTAGTATACAATATTAATAAAAACGAGCATGAACTTGCAATTAAAAAATTTATATTCAGATAAAAGCACTAAATTAAAAATTATACACAGATCTCCCTAAAATAAAAAGACAGGATGCTTTTTCAAAAACAAGAGGACCTTTAGTTTTGAAGGACAGTTATCTTGTAAATTATATCTTTACATTAAAAAAATTTCCTGGGAGTGTAGTGTCACTCAGAAAAAAAAATTTAGTTTTTAAAATTTATTAAGCATGCAATATTTTGTATTTCATAATTTGAATTCTAATGTATGAGTGCATTGTTAGTACAGGAAAGTCAGCAGTGTCTGATAAAGAAAATAAAATTATGCATAACATTAAAAATGAAAAATTATAAGAGAAAGTGAAATGAAAAATTATAAGAGAAAGACAGAAAGGAAGAGAACACAACCCATAGAAGCAAGAAACTAAATTAAGGAAAATGTCAAATGCATGCATCTAAGAGCACCCATGAAGATGACATAGCAGAGCAAAGATATCCCTGTTCAGTTGAGAAGACAGGAGCCCAATCTTCCAAGAACTGTGCATTTGTTTAAACTGCAGTGCAACAAAAGAAAAATATATTAGTACCTTCCAGTTTTAAAGTGAAAGGTCAAACAATGACCAATTTAAAACTTTTAGTTTTAAATATAATACTGGTCCAGCGATGAAAGAAAAAAAAATTTATGCAGTAAACTAACTGAATAGCTTCGAAAACAAAACAAAATTTCTTGTTCTATGTATTTTAATACTTTAGACTCTGACTCAAATTGAGTGGATAATAAAGAAATGAAAAGATTTCCAATAAAATTAAATCAAAAAGAAAAAATTAAGATGAGTAATTTTTAAGGTCAGCTACCAGACACTGCTTGTACTAATAAGATACAAATATTTACAATCAAATAAATAACAACTATAAAGAAAAATATTCAAAATACTGAATTAAAACACTTGTGCCCTATGCAAAAAGATACTTTTAAACATTTAAACTGGAGTGGTAATTAGATTTTTTTTTCTTCACAAATCAAAATAATTTATTATTATTTTTTATGAGCCTAATAAGACACTAAACAAATTGTTGTCAGAAGTCATTATCTATTTTGAAATCTCAATAACTTTTTTGTAGAAACTAAAATTTCAATTCAGTCTCGATTCTTGAGATTGAATTTTACCAATGTAGCAGAATTAATGTAATGCAATGTAAAATTCAAGAAACAAGAGCATACAACTTAGTTTTCTTAAAATTCAAGTTAAAATTTTATTGTAATATTTTACAGAAAAATTCACTCTTGTTTTAAACTTTGGTATTATGTGAAAGCATAAATTAAAAATTGTCTCAGTTTGACGAAGTAAGAAATTAATATGGGTACAAAGCAGCTAAACCATTCAAGTATTAAAATGTGAATAGATTATTTATTAAAAATAGTCTATTTTAATAGATTATTTATTTAAAAATAGTTTTGTAGTCTGCATAATATTAATTGTATTTAAAAAGTATTACAGAAAAATTTTCAGAAATAAAATTTGGTAAACTATTTCTACAAATATAAGATTAGACTGATAAATAAAATAGAACCTTTTCAAATGAAACTGTTATTTTAATTTAAAACTAGATACAATTTTATTAACTAATTCTGTGTGCTGATGCAATTGCTTTTGAAAAGCATAATTTCCATAACTTGAATAAACCACAAACAGAGATTAGAATAGGCGAAAAAATCTTTTTAGTTACTTAAATCAAAATTTTATAAAATTAGATATAAAGCTAGAGCCAAACTAATTAACTAACTCAAAGCCAACTGGTTAGTTCTTGCTTTCCAGTTTTTTAGAGAAAAAATTTTATTTATGCAATTCTCAAAAACTGAATACATAAAATTTGACCTAATTTTTCTAGAGCTGTAATACTTACAGTGTTATGTAGAAGCAAATTCATAATTTTTAGAATTATAATTGCTGCAGATTCAAAACATTTTTGGAAATTTTAAATTGTCATAGTTATAAAAGCTGTTAGCACTTTTGAATAATCCTATCAGGGGAATGCACAGAGTGTACCTGAAGAACTTTGCATTTCGCACACTGTAGCTAAACAAAAACCATGAAAAACACTAAAAATTCATATTAAATAAGGTACCAGTAATAATGTGCCTACCATGCTGAGGTCTTGGTACTCCTCCAGGCATCATGCCTGGCGACATCATTCCAGGTCCGGCTGGTCGAAGACCACCGTGAGGCATCATTGTTCCATTTGGTGGATAATTTCCTGCGGGTGGATAGTGAGGACCGGGCATTGGAGGTGGGCGATTATGGTGCTGCATCATTTGAGGGGCCATTCCCATGTTGGGAGGGGGCCCAGGTTGTGGGTGGCCTTGCATATATGGATGCTGTTGCATAGGATGTTGCTGAGGCGGTGGTTGCTGCTGCTGCTGTTGTTGTTGCTGTTGAGGCGGAGGTTGCTGTTGTGGTTGTTGTCCAACATAAGGATGCATTGGCATTTGTTGATTGGAAGGAGGAATCTGAGGAGGTCCAGGAGAAGGTATAGGTGGGGCTGGGGATGGATGCGGAGAAGGGTGTGGAGAGGGTTGAGAAGGAGGATGAAGAGTCGGGGCAGCAGGAGATGGAGAAGGTGGCACAGGACTTGGACTGGGTTGGGGTGTTGTAGCAGTCACCGGTACTGGTACAGCATGCGGGGAAGTTATTGAAGGTGAAGCAACCGATTGATGGTTAACAGATGCACTAGTAGATCCAGGAGACTTGGAAGTGGGATAAGTGGCCCTTGCCTGGGGTGGACACTGACCTGACAATGAAACAGGAGAGTCACGTCCTTGTTCTCCACTGTTACTGTTAGGGGGTGTCATCATCATAGCATGAGCCTGCTGTCTGGCACGGAACTCGGCAGCTCTCAACTGCTCCATGTGAAACTGCTGCCGTTCTTGGATCAATTGTTGTCGCTGATATTCAAGCTGGAAGAGGGTTAAATTTTTATAAAATCTATTAATGCAAAAAGGTCACAAACAGAATCATATAATGTTCATAAAAATGTGAGATTTTTTAGGATATTATATTCTTATAATTCTCACAAAGCTAAAAAAAAATAGAGATTATATGAAATAAAACTATTAAAAGCTTACAATTTTCATGTAAAAAACTTCTTTAATTTGAATTTTAGTTATTAAAACAGAAAACAGTTCTTTTAATTTTGTTAATAAATAACTATAATATAGGAGAAATAAAAAAAATTTAAATAATGCAATTTTAAAAAAAAGTAAAAAAACTTAATGAACAGAAAAAATTTATTGACTAGTCATATTTTTTTGAAATGCTCATTCACGATTTTCTAATTATGAATAACAATAAGTTACTGTACGCTTTTTTAACTTTTAACAAGAAGATAACTCAAATTAAAAAAATAGGTTAGAAAAAAATAATGGAATGCAAGTAACATGAATTTTAATTTTAACAAGATTAAATTGCTATCCATTATTTAATAACTTTAAATGATAACAGGATAGATTTAGATAAAAAGTTGATCTTAGAAACATCATTTTGATTCAAAAAAATCTATAACTTTACAATTGATCATCTAATAAGCCACATTAAAAAATCCATACTTTCATTCTATGATCTCTATTTTTATCAATATAAGAACTCAAAACTGATTTCAATCATATTTTCCAGTTTGAGGTTAGCCCTATATCATGAGGGTAAAATATACAAACCCGTTGGGAAAAAAAATTTATTCAGAGAAAATACGTTGTTTGATATGATTTTGCACTCAAATGAGTTTTTATTATTTTGCTTGCTATACATAAAAAAAAAAAAAAAAAAATTAGATACCTACTTATTGATGTATTGTTTAATTTAACGTAAACTTTATCCCGAACTTTCAAGAAAGAAAATGCAGTATATAATGACTTAATTTTAAAGAAAATTAATACTTACAGTTTCTCTCTCTCTATCCATTATAGCTTCCAGTTCTTCAAAATGGCGAAGTTTGATTTCGAGTTTTTTCATTTGTGTTTCAACTAATAAAGCCACTAAAGATTTGATTTTTCTCTCTTCAACAGCAGCCAAATGCTAAAATAAAAAATAATTTATTGCAACTGACACAAACACATAAAACAAAATCTTTTAAGCAGTTTTCTCACTAACTTTAGCTTTCACTGCAGCAGCACCAAGAGCCGCTGCAGCAGCGGTAGACAGCTGAGCATCTTTTACAGTCCTTTCTTGCTCAGTTTCCGGAGCCTTAGGAGGAGTTGTCTCGATCGGCTCTTCTGGAGTATCCTCTTTCTCTTTTTCACCATTTACTTCAGCATTTTCTGGATTTTCGGGAACAGCTTCACCAGATTCTGAGTTAGCTGCATTTGGTGGCTTTTCAGCAGAAGTTTCAGTTTTATCTTGAGAAGATTGGTCAACATCCATTGGTTCAGTCTAAAAATAAGATAAATACAATACTGAGATACTTATCATACAACATTAAGATATGAAAATTTTGAATTTGAGTAATCACTTCTTCTTGCTTTATTTTTGCCGATTTCCTCTTAAATCCAAATGATTTTTCGACCCATTTTTTTCTTTTGCCAGTTTGTCTACAAATTTCCATGTGGTTTTTAAAATCCTGATACATTTAATATGATACAACAACTTGTGAGTTTTAAATTGTGCATTTTTTTACTCTCTTTATTTACATAAATTTCACTGTAAAACAAAATTTTTTAAAAAAAATAAATAAATCCTTTTTTTAAAGGCAGTTTTTGCTGAGCCTTATTACGTGATTTTGAAAATGCCAAATTTTCAATATATACATTTAAATAATCACTTTTTGATGCGCTTTATTCATACCGATTTCATCGTAAATCCAAGTTGTTTTTCAACTATTTTTCGGTAGTTATTTGATTTACATTTCTAGATGGTTTTAAAAATTGAGAATTTTATTAAAACATGGGAATTTTAAATAACGCATTTAAATAATTACTTATTGACACGATTCATTTGTGTCGTTTCCATTGCAATTTGAACAAATTTTTTGTGTTGCAACTATTGCAATGTTTTTCTTTGTGATTTTAAATAATTCCGTTTTTCCCACAACTACGATGTTATTACAACATTAGAGTATTCAATCATGCATTGAAATAATCACTTTTTGATACAATTTTGAGTATTTTAAATCATAAATTCAAATTATTCTGTCACTGTTTTCCTGGCAATTAGAGCCATGTATTCATATATTTTAATACAATGTAATCGCAACATGAAAAATTCATGAAGTGTCAGAAAACATGAATTTTTAAGCTGCTCACTATTTGCAATTTTTGTAAAAATTTTTGCATAACTCATGTGATTTTTCAGGACAAAACCGACAAAGAAAACGTTTCCTATTTAAAATTCATGAAACCCCGTAATAATTGAAGAAAAAGAAGTAATATCTGAAGTATAATACCAATTAAATATTGAATTTTATTTTATACTATAATAGTTTTACTTTAATCTTTGGTTTTTGTTTAAAACCTATAAATATCCTTCAATTAAAATATTTAATTTAAATTTATATAACTCATCAAAATATGTATTTATTAGTTAATTTTTTATACTTTCATTCTGTAAAGATTATGCTTTTTTTTAAAAAAGTTTTTATTTTAAAATGATTTTTTGTACTAGGTGATATGACAAAAAAAGCAATAAATGTAATGAATTTTACAATGAATTTAATAAAATTTAAGTTTTGGTTTCTAGCAAAATTGGCCAAATTAAAAATAAAATCTTTTCAAGAGTCTTTGCCTTCTTATATAGAGTACTAAATGACACTGTTTTAAAACCTATTAAACCAAAAAGTTTTGGTTCCTATCCCATTTTGGCTAAGAGTAAGCAGAAAATAAGCTTTCATTTAAAATGTTATATTTTGGAGATGGCCAATTTAGCAACTAAAATGACAATTATATTAATCAAAAGGTGCTTGAAAAAATAATCTTGTTACATTAAAAATCAGTAAACATTCATTTAATTTTATCTGCTTTTTAAGTAGAACACTAAAAAAAAGTTGATTTTTTTTCAATTATTAACTGTTTAAAAACTTCACTAACCTTTCCTTCCTCAACCTCCATTTTTATTTGTATGTTGGGTCCAGCAACTGCTGCTGTATCGTTTTGTTGAGCTGGAGCTGGCGCATTTTCTTTCTTGTTTTCTTTATCAGCTCCTTCTTCTAAAGAGAGAAACATAAAACGTAATTATTTTTTAAAAACCCATTAATCCAAAATAGCTGGATGAACAACTAGTAAACACGTAGAGTTTAAGGTTTGAAATTGCAAAACAATATTTTCCCTCCTTGGTTCCTGAATTAGGCCTTAAAAACATTCCTTTTAAAGCTACTTGCTACACTCCAAAGTCGGAGTCACCAACCTATAGGGGATGAAATCTTCCACGATAAGTAGCCAAATTTTTGTATAAAATAAATATTTAATTTTAATCAATCCTTAACTAATTTATCATTTTTATATGAAACTTTGAACATTTTACAAATAAAAAACATAATTTAACAGGAAGTGTAAATTTGGATGGTAAACTATCATTCTATAATATTCAGTTTCTTGAGAAAATATTATTATTGGAAACTCCTATTATTTATGCAGTTTAAATTTTATAGATAACCCTATCGATTATTTGATAACCTTCCATTTTTTTCTATCTTGAAAAGTGTAAATTTTGTTGTTCTTTAAGTTATATATCCTGTCCAGACCTACTAACTTTAGACATTCAAAAGGTCTGAGACTTTCCATTGAATTGAATGTAAGTTTTAATGGCGCAAGGTCCAGAGAGGACAAGCTGCGCCCTGAGACTTTCCATATCCATGGCATAGCGCAAAAAGCAAAACAATAAATATATAAATATTTAAAAAAATAATAAATTTAAACACTTTTTTAATTAAATTTACATAAACAACTTTTTAACGTCTAAAAATTACAAAATAACAAATTAATCTATTTATTTAAAAACAGATTAAGTGGCTTATTTAGCATTTTTAAACAACGTTAAATAAAAATTTTTCAGAAACTCTTTCTGGTATACCTATCAAATTAGTTTGTTCTGATAAAGAACAGAATTAAGTCTGGATTTTCATCATAGGGCTAAATATTTCTTCCCAAGACAATACTGCCAGCTTTAACTTGGCCAACACAACACACTGTTGGTTTTACTTTTCCTGCAATTGATTTTACACCCTTTTGTCCAATCCAATCAAAAGAATAAAAAAATTCTGTTCCGAAATGTCTTTGCACCATAAAGTACAAAACAGAGTTTCTAGAATATCAAGAAACAGGCTTTGCTATTTTTTCCTTGAACTTTCGCGAGCACAGAAAAACTATCACCAAAAATTTGGTACTCAAAAAATAACAGTTGCATTATTACTCAAATTTTCCAAATATTAAAAAAGGTTTTAAAAAGAAATATTAACAATAAACTAAATGCATTCAAATTACAAAACTACTGACATTCGGGAAAGTTTTCAGGGGTGAGCATGGACCCTATTTCAATTTGTACACGTATTAAAAAAAACAAAACAAAAAAGCCTGAAAAATGCTTTTTTGGCTTAAGGTTCTGAGATTGAATGCAAAAGTTTAAAACTCAGGCCTAAAGCCCGAGAGTTAACAGGTCTGCCTACCAATCCTATTTTACTAGCTCTTATATTTACGTGGTTCCTTTAAAATCTCATTTTAAGTCCTTTTATTGCTTTATTAATAAACAATGCTAATTTTAAAATAGATTTTTGAGCAATATAACTAATCTGACTATTGCATTTGGTTAATTAATCAATGTTAGGAACTCTTGACCCAATAATTGTATTTAAAAAAAAGGACTTGTTTCATTTAATGAGAAGCAGAGAATAAAATGATAAATCAAACATCCAACTCAGTTAACAAGAGAGCTTAAAAAAGATAAACTCACCTCCTTCTTCTCTTTCTAAAGTGCCAGCAATGCCAGTCATGTCTAATCCTGATTTAGGATCAGAATTACCATCAGCTGCGGCAGCTTCAACATTTTTTATGTGAGCATCAAGAAGAGCAGAAGGAACTTCGTCTTTTATTTTCGCAAACTCATCTGCAAAATTTATTGGAATGAATAAGAAGAGTTTAGCAATAATATCTGATAAAATAATCAACAAGTATTTTATCAGAAAGTACAATTTATTTATAATTAACATATCTATTATATTTAGATATCAAGATTCCATCAATCTTGGAGAAATTCACTTTCATGATACCAATACTAGATTAAAAATTAATATTTAAAATATATACATATTCTCAACTAGATTTAACCAATTGGCAGATTAGCAAATGGCCAAAATTGGGATATTAATTCTCCACAATACACTATTTCCTCTTCAATAACATGGGAAAACCGGTTTTGCTACACAAAGAAGACTGCGAGTTAAAATACAACTTTGTACGTGCAGAATCATCAGGTGATAAAAAAATGATCACAGATCAAAACTAGAACACATTCAATCAAAATTTTGAACATGCATTATCTTTATTAAAGCCCTTAAATGTTACAAGCCTGCATAAAAATTTCATTGCTAAGAAAATCGTTTTTTCCCCTCCAATAAATGAGATAAAGGAAAAAAAGCTGGTCGGTTGTAAAACAAAGCAACCACATTTTACTATGAACTCAGGTAAAGGATGGGCTACCAGTTACAAGCAAATAAGAAATGGCACTCATTACTTTTGAGTCCTTTCTTACAGCAAAAGTATGGTAAAGTTCATAAAAATCATAAGGGATTTAGGTACCTATAAGATTACACGTTATATACAGATACTGTTATTTAAAACTTTTTTAAAACGGTTAAAAAAATTTTTTTAACTCTTACCCATAGCAGCTTGAGCTGCTGCAGCAGCAATGCGAGGATCAACAACTGATGCTAAAAAGGAGACTGTTGACATTATTGGATTTCCAGCCTTTGAAAATGGAATAGGTTGAAATGCTAGAGGACCTGTTAATTAAAAAAAAAAAAAATTATAATTTAGTAACACATTTTATAAAAATTATTGCAAGATAAAAGATTACTTCCAGATAGTATTTTTTCCCCTAACTGATTAAAAATAAAAAATAAAAAAAAGATAGTTCTTTTGGATAAAGTATTTTTTAAAAAACCCATTTAAATCTATTTCACTGCTTTTACCATTCACCATTCTGGTTTTGGTGTAAAATTGTTAATAACAGATATTCTCAACCTTAAAATGAAACCATAAAGATAAAATAGGTTAAAAATTTTAAGAAAATATTGAGCCTAGCTTAACGTCGAAGAACTTCATCAAAATACTTTGAAACTAATGTAGAAATTTAATTTCTTTTTTTCTTAGACAGTTAATATTTTATGGTGACTTTTATTTAGTCACAAAGATCAAAAATGGCAACTGATAATTTTAAACTGTATCCAATTAAGTTAAAATAATTTTAGGTTCAGTTCGCTCAGGCTTCTAAAAATCCTATGGTGAATGAGTGTACTCTTACAAGGACAGAGGCAAATTCAAATATAACTAAAGGGAATATGTAATTGAAAAATTATGAAAAAAGAACACTTGGTCTAAAAATATTTAATCTTAACTAGATAGAGATTTTTAAACCAAAACTTGTTTTCTACTAGACTTAGGAGTTTTATTATTTCAAGCTGTACAAAAATGTCTTTAACCTAAATGACTAAAATTATAAAAGCATGAAAATTTCTGGCCCATTTTCACTGTATTATAACTAATTTATTTTTTAAAAAGTATATTAAAGTTCCTTAAAATTTACATAACAAATAAATATCTACTAGTCAATATAATAGAAAAAATTACATATTTCAAAACAATTACTTTTGCCAGAAAAAGAACAATTATTTAACAGTATCAAAAGTTTATTCTAAGGATAGCAGCACACTCATAAGTTGGTTATTAAAAAAATTAAAATTATTTTTGCAGAAACAAGCTTTTTGAAAAATATTTTCAAGACAATGATCTAGGCTCATACAAATATTTTTTAAAAAGGCACACTAAAACTACATGGTTTATATTTTGTATTTCACTATTGTTTCTGAAACCATATCAACTTTATAAACTAATTAAATTTTAACTTCAATAGCTGCAAACATTTTTGAATACTTAGAGAATATTTTACCTAGGGCACCCCCTCCTGCTCCAGGATCATCAAGATATGGATCTTCGATCGGTAGTCTTAAGAAATGCAAGATGCATTCATCTTGAGTTCGGCTGCCAACATGCTCACATACTTTATTCCAATCATCTTTATACATTTCTAAAGCTTCTAATAACAGAAGAGTTTCTTGCTCTGTCCATTCTCTTGATACTGTTGCAGCTGCTTTGTTCTAAAGTATTCAATATTAAAGTGATATAATTTTAGACATATTTCAAAATAATTTAAATAATGTATCACAATGAAGCTTTAGCAAAAGTAAAGTAATCAGTAATCAATAAATAAGTTAAATAATAATAAATAAGGCAAATTATAATAAAGTTAAATAATAATAAATAAGTAAAATCATAATAAATAAGTTAAATAATACTTCAATTTCTTTTTATTAACATGTTTTCTTAGATAAAAAGCATAAAAAATGGATCCAGTTTTCATAAATGAAAAAAACACCAATTGATGATCATACTACGATATATGAGAAAATAGTCACCTAATTCTTCAAAGAGTCACCATTTTAAAAAACAAGTGACAAATAAATAAATAAAAAAGGCAGTGGCAAACCCAATTTTAGGTCTTAATTAATTTTTTATCTTAAAAAAAAGTAAACAGAATAGTTTCCTACTCTATTAATTCTCCTGATACGTTGCAGCTTCTTAGTTTAAAAATACTTAATACTAACTTAATGATTTCATTTATACATATCCAAAAACAATATAAAATATTAATCAAAATTCCGATATAACATTTGCAGGCTTCTTAGTGGACTAATTAGAACAAAATTTGGAAATTTTTGTAACAGTATACATATACCAGGGTTGGGTTTTTGACGTCAAAAAGTGGTTTTTGACATGACATGGGTATAATACTNAATACTTCAATTTCTTTTTATTAACATGTTTTCTTAGATAAAAAGCATAAAAAATGGATCCAGTTTTCATAAATGAAAAAAACACCAATTGATGATCATACTACGATATATGAGAAAATAGTCACCTAATTCTTCAAAGAGTCACCATTTTAAAAAACAAGTGACAAATAAATAAATAAAAAAGGCAGTGGCAAACCCAATTTTAGGTCTTAATTAATTTTTTATCTTAAAAAAAAGTAAACAGAATAGTTTCCTACTCTATTAATTCTCCTGATACTGTTGCAGCTTCTTAGTTTGAAAATACTTAATACTAACTTAATGATTTCATTTATACATATCCAAAAACAATATAAAATATTTATCAAATTTCCAATATAACATTTGCAGGCTTCTTAGTGGACTAATTAGAACAAAATTAGGAAATTTTTGTACTGTATACATATACCATACCATTCTTCTTCTAAAGCAAACTAAAAAATATAATTAAGATTATATTTTTAAATTCAGAATGACTTTGTTTAGAAAAAGTTTTATTTTATCAATACTGAATTAATCTTTAGTTCCAGTTTTATTTTAATATTGAATTACTCACAATAGTAAGTCAATTCATAGAAAAAATTTATATCACTGTAATATTTAAAAAATATTAATAATCAGAATCAAATCGATAATATTTCTTCGTACCAATCTTCATATATCTATCAATCTGTATCTCCCTATCTATCAATCCGTATGCTTACTCTAAGGGTGGTCCTCACAATGTCTGAGCCCCTATCCTGTAACATCCACCATGCAAAAGGGCGCAACCACAAACGATTTGTAGCTTACAAATTTTGGGGTGGGGTTAAATTTCACTGCTGAAATCAAAGCTGCTTACTTGCAGGCTTAGCATATCTGATATATTTAGTTATGTATATATCTGATATATTATAAGTTCTGATTGATAAACTTCAAACTAAATGATAAAGAATTTTTTGTAATTACATTATATTTTAGAAAGTACATCACAAAAGCAATTTTTTTTTCAATTCCTTTGTAAACACTTTTAACGCTTTCCTTGGTGGCATCACCCTTCATCATTCTATAATTGTTAGCTATGCTTTTAAAATTGCATCACACTCAGGTTATTATTTTTTAAAAAATACAGTTTACTTTATTCACATTTGTTAACATTATTTCTTCAATGAATTACTTTCTAACTTGCCCTTAAGCCTAACTTTCCTCATGTAAGTATTGATAAAAATTTATCCTAATACAAAAACTTATTTTGTAAGACCAAAAAATATAAAATAAATAAAAAAATTTACCTTCATATAAGCATTTTTCTTGGCATATTGATCCAACCTCAAACCAAAGTTATCATTGATAGGAGGTTTCGTAACTCCTTCTTCAGTTTTGACTTCAGGAGTTTCTTTACCTTTATCCAGATTAAGCATTTGTTGTGCTGCTGAGGGCTAAAACATTAAAAGAAATTGTTTTATGAGAAAAATTTTAAAGAATGTGGGTTTATTACAACAGCAAACTAAAAATAAGAATTGCGGATTATCATGAATAAGTATCAAAAAATGAAATCTCAAATGACTCAAACTTATATCAATAGTGAAAGAAAACAATGTTTGATATCAATAGGAGATAGAGATGATCTCCGGGTCACTTTTAGAGCATTACTTAGCATTACACCTAAGCATTACTTAGACCTAATTTTGTGATCTAGTTAATCAGCCTTTGATGTCTAAACAAGGAAATTAGTAAATTAAAAACTATTCTACCACCAATTGGAAGAAAAAGTAAAGAGGAAAACTGAACCAATCAAAACTCTAAGATGACTAAAACAAAAATTAAAAAGAAAATCAAAATCTTAAACTAAACTAAAGTTATTCGACAATTAGCGCTAGCCTTACAAAGCAAAAGCACCAAACAAAAGCAGCAGATTGCTAAAATTTTCAAAGCTTATAAATTTTATATTATTTATACTTAATAACAGAAACAAATGTTTGTTTAAAAGTGGTAAGAAAGTTGATGAAAATTTTATCCTGTTTTGTTCTTAGTTGATAAACCCGTCCCACACTTTATATAGCCTTCCCGCAAGGTACGGCTAGATTTTGCAATAATAAAATGCTGAATTTGCATTATTCATTAAATCAGATTGCTTTATGAGTTGTAAGTGAAAATGAAAAGCAATACTGAATGCATAAACAAATTTTCATTTGTCAATAAATAACCAATCATACATTAAAGAAAATCATAATAGCCAATCATACATTAAAGAAAAAACAGTAACTTTAAGGCAAACTATATTTAAACTCGGATAAAATGACCCCATTCATAAGTAAAGAGTGGACAGCATTTTTTGTTCTAAATAGAAGAGAGGCACGGTAATCTAAATTGTTTAATTTCGAACTTAATATTTTGAAAAAAAAGACGAAACTTACTCTTCAATCTTAAACATTTGATTAGATTGGCAAGATTTCGCACAGTTCAATAAGGAGACATTGTCCTAATTTTAATTTTTCCTTATACACTTTGTCTTCCTTTCTTTTTATATATTTAGCTTCCTGGTACTCTTTTATTTTGATAATAAAATTCAGATGAATTAATACATTTTTACAAAATATATTTTAGTTAGTGTATTAGTAAGATTATTTAATTCACCTCTAAATTTTAGACTAAAATTGATTAGACTACAATTGATTTTGACTATATTTTCAGTTCACTAAAACTGCATGCCTTTCTTTTTAAAAAATGCTGCTTTACAACTTTAATTTTTTTCAAATTAGTATGTACTAGCTTTAGGTACGGAATAAAATAAGAAACTAGAAAAGTATCTTAATCAAGATACCATTTCTTTTTCTGGAGGAGAAACTAAATGAACTGCAGTGATACATGGCAACAAAATCAAAACAATAAGGCAGGCAAGAAAAAGAAAAACATTTACAAGCAATTTTTGACATTTTATTTAATTATTTACTAACTAACATTATAGGCAACTTAAATACCTGATTAGTGCGAGGAGGATTCAAGGGCTGGAGACCAGAGGGTGTATCAGCAAGAACATGGAAATGCGAGGTAGACGGTGGGCCCATAGGAGTTGGCCTACTGTCTGCATCAACTTGGTAGTTTACGAGACCCCACTGCTCCAAAAAGGCATGCACCCTGTTGATAAACAAGGAAACTAATGTATATTTAAATGAATACTAGATAAGTTATGATTTCTTTAAAAAATACATAAACACTCTGAGAACTGACCTTAGACTACATCAATACAAGGTTCATCTCTAAGTGTTAGCGTTTTAATTCTCTTTCAAAAACAGAAGACAATTTTTAAGCATTCCTTACAATGATTTAATTCCTTATAATATGAAAATATTATACCAACACTCACAGCTTATTAAAATTATATAACTGTATATAAGTCTAATAAAGAAAAGATCAATAAGGTACTCTTAAATAATAAAATTAACCCCTTGAGGCAAATAAATTATTACCTCATGATTGCACAAACATCTCCAGCTAAGTTTCGCCTGCAAGCAGTTACAGTTAAATACTCTGTGGGATTCAGTCGATAAGTATCAATCATAAAATTCCTATATGCAATGTAGCTGTAAACACAAAAATATACAACAATGATTATTCAACACATAAAAGAAATTTAATGCGAAAATATTTTAAAATTATATTTCATATCCTTACACTTCTGGCGTTTTAGATTTGTTTTTTAAGTTGAAGAATTCCGGCAACCCTCTTCTTTCTATAGCATGAACACTGAAATAAAAACAATGTTTTTAATGGGGTAAGGAAATTAAAATGTAAAGTTAAGAGAGTGAAAGAAAAATATGTTTTACCTATTATAATCAAACCAGGCTGCATAACTAGGGATCACAATATGATTGGCTTGCTCAGTCACATTGTCATCTTGGTTGTCTTCAGGCAATTTATCTCGACTCTGACTGTTGGGAGAACCAGGACGTGATGTTTTCATTTTCTCTTCTTTGTCTCCCTAGAGTATTGACAAAAATTATTATATGCTTTTAGGGTGCATAGACAAATCTTCCAACAAAAAATAAGCACCTTTTAAGAACTTTTTAAGCACTCAAAAAAATTTGAAGCACTATATACATTAACAAAATGCAAAATTATTTTCCAAGACTTTACATGATCATGATAAAATAACTAATTTCAAACAAAGAACTTTTTCCTTGATTATATTAACCATCATAAAAAGATCGAAAGGTTTTTCAGTTCGATTTCAGAAGGTGGAAAATGAAGCATAGAACCATCCATACCAGGAAAAACTTTCTTCATGGTATGCTACCTGTTACAAAAACAGTGGAATTTACCTAGAAATGCATCTAGCTCAATTGAACTCTTGAAGAAAGAAAAAAAAAAAGATAATTGTTGCTATAAACAAAACAATCACCCAATAGAGAACTTACAACAATGATCTTAATTTCTAGCTCATAAGCCAAAAGAAATGATAAAGCAGCAAAAGAGGAAAAGTCATTTTGTAAAGTTTCTTAGATGCGATTAATTGTCTACCTCTACCATCAGTATCAAGTACATAATATATTCGTAAAAAACTGCTGCACAGGTTTAATGATTCGTTTTTTATTTATTAAAAAAATAAATAAATAAAAATCCGATTAAACAGCTTCATATGTCACATCTAATTTTCAAATTTAAAAAATAAAATATTATTAATATAACACTTTTCGAAACTTCATGCAGTAAAAAGCATAACATACCTTATCGTCAGTGTCATTTCCATCTAATTCCAAAAGAGTGCCACCTTTCAAAGGCTGAGATTCATCTTTATTGCTTCTAGGATTATTTGCTATAAAGATTAACATGTTTTAACATTCGAAACAAAATTAAAACAACAAAAACCTAAGGAAAATATTTAAAACTAATTAAAATGGAAAATTCCACAATAGATAAACATAAACTTCATATTTTAATTTTATACTATAATAATACACTAATTCAACATCTTTATTTAATTTATTGAAAAAAAATTAAAGCAATTTTGATAGTAACCTAACTAAAGGCAATTTTATTTTAAAATTTCCAGTTAAGCTTGCCTTATCCTAACATTTAATTAGATTATTACTTGTCATCCAAAAAAAAACTGAGTTCTCACAACAGTTAATCTCAGTTTATATATAAGGTTCTCGCTAGTATTGTGACAATTGTCGCCAAACGCTCTGCAAGTGTTGCCAAATGCAATTCAAAATTTTTTATTTTTTAAGAAAAAAAGAATTCAGTGTGATCAGAAGCTCCCGCAGGCTTTCCATCCAATTTATGCTGAAAAAATCACTAGGCGTACAGAAAAGTCTCCTTTTCCTGAAAATAGCTGCTTTTTAAGCCTTTTCAGGCTAAAAAAGTTGCCATAGTCGCCTCATGCCAAAAATAGGTGCAAATAGTTGCATTTCAGTCGCCTGTGGCAACCCTGTGTAAACCATAACAGGAATTATGTAATAGTAAAGTTCGATTTTTTTCTTCTCAAGTTTGCCAACCATATTTAGTTTATGGACCCCTTAATGAATATCTAGGTGGTCCTATTGGACCATTAAATTTTCATTGCCAGTAAATGCAAACCTATATGATCAAGTCTATAAAAATAATGCTGTGCAGGTAAAACTTTATAAGCGAAAGAAATTATTATTAGTGAAGATATTTTTAAAAATGGACAGCCCTAAAATATATGAAAATACCCATATTAGTGAGATTTCCACTTAAGATAATCAGATGATTTATTGACATGAATTAGAACTGGCTACTGGTTTTTAGCAAAAGGCTCATTTTTTGATAAAACTTTTATACCCTTGAGTTTTCCTCGAGAGTTTTTAGAAACTCTGATTAAGGAGTAAAATGCACTTGAAACAAATTTTAAATAACATTGCAATATGAGTTAAGCAACTTTGTCTTACACAAACAGCTTTAATTAATTATTTTTCAATAAAAAATAGATTATACTTACTGTTTTTTTGAATGTGTACTTCTTGCACATTAGGTTCTGGGGATGGCTCTTCCATATCCTTTGTTAAATCATCCATTTCGTCATCCCCTCGCAATGATTTCTTTTTTGTTAGCAGAGTCGGCCCTCTACTGCTCCGACTAAAATATTAACAACACTTTATATTTACATTTCATATAATTACATTTCAATTAGCAAATGATTAATATATGAACCATGAATAACTGCCTAAAAAAAATGGGGTTTTGATTTTAATTCATATTTAGTGAATAACAGCCACAGAATTTGTATCTACCTAGCAAAAAAAAGAACCATGCCATGGGATTTTTACTCTAATAAAAATGCACCATCAATAATGAGAACTGGTTAATGTGTTTACGTTTTTATGTTATATGTAAATATTATAGAACAATGTTCATAAGACAAATTTTAGTATAGTTTAGCCTTTTTCTCTAATTTTAGGATTGAAAATAAAATAAATTTGCAAACATTTTTAAAAAATTGCTTTGAACAATGTAATTTTATTTATATTAAGTTTTTTCATTTTCATCTTGCTGTAGTTCTCATAAAAACTAAAATTTTTTTTTAAATGTTATTAATTTTAATGACACTAATAATAAAAATCACATAAATTTTAAAAATATGTATTTACGACTACATAAATTTACACACTACTCATAATATAAAATAAAAAAACCTTTTGTTTTTGCGCTTTTCAGAAACAGGAGATGGAGATCGTTTTCGTTTCTTTCCTTTTTTGTCCTTTTTATCACTATCAACGCCAGCAAGTAACTGGAAAAAAAATTATGTTTTATTATGAAAATGTAATAAATTTGTCACCAAAATTGTTTTTTAAACAATTAATTATTATTATATAGCAATGAACTTTCTAGAAAAATACTATAAACAAGTTGAAGAATAAAGTAGTTACATTTTTAGCTCAATAAAATAATTATTTTAAATAATAATATAATTTCAAATGCAAAGTTTATACCTCTTCAATAGTGTATTTGCCTCTAGGAGAACGCCTACGTCCCTACAATATAAAAGTTTAATAAGTCAGTTTCAGTATGCATTTAGAAATAACATTTAAAAATTTATAAAATCTAAAAATAAAATCACTCACAAAAAAATTATTTTAACAATACACAATTCAGTTTTAAATAAAGTTAGTGATTCTGCTGGACTTTTGAAATTATGTGTCCTTAAATTTATAACACTTTATTCATCTAATAATATTCATAATATTATATTATACATTGAGAGACAAAATAAATAATTTCAAAAGAAGAGTAACATTTGAACTATTAAAGCTCTTAGGATTGATCAAAGAAAAATAACGATTTAATTTGATATTGAGAGTTATAATAATTTTCAACACTCAGCTATTAATAACAAAGGAAAAGAAATCTTCTGATATATGTTTGAAGTTCAATTTTAATTTTGCCAACATAAATCTTAGTATATATATTTACACACACACACATATATATATTCCTTAGCTAAAGAATTATGCATTCTGAGAAGACTGAGGGGGTGACTTTAAATATTAATTAGTGCAAACAATATTTTAAGTAACGAAATCGTACACAAAAACGTATTTTCTCAGAATAAAAATACCTCCCCCCCCAACAGATACGGATTTCTGGCCCCCAAAATATAAGGGATCGGGAATCTGGTCTCAATAGTTTGGTCAGGATAGCGACGCAAAGTTTGGAACCCTTAATGTTATTTTTACTTTTTGCATATTTCACAAAATCTCAAAACTTTTTCAACATTTCATTTTTAAAGTATTACACGGCAAAATACAAACTTTGAGTGAAATCTGTTGAATACACAGAGATCAAATTTTAAAAAAGTTCTAAATTTAAAATTCGATTCTTCAGGGACTATTCAAACAATTTTGATCAAATTTTGTGTTTTGCAATGTGAAATTAAGATAATTTAAAATGATGTAAAAAATTTTATACATTACTATTCAATTTTTTTAAGACTATTATTAAATAAAAATATAAATATTTATAGAAATAATTTTTTGCATGGAATTATTTTTGGATAAACAAATTTTATAATTGTGTGCTAATATTTTATCAATTTGCTTCTTGAGATATGGCGGAATATGCAAAAATTAAAATTAACATTGAGAGGTCAAAAGGTCTGACCGTTCTGCTGACCAAACTATTAGGACGTATACACCTCATAATTTGGAGGTCAAAAATCCGAATCCATAAAAAAAAATATGTTTATTCAGAGAAAATATGCCTTTGTGTCTGATTTCATAACTGCCTGCACTGATTAATTAACATATTTGAGGACACCAAACCATTAAGATAGAGTCCTAGAACATGAAGTTCAAAAGTTATTCAGGGTGGTCCCCTTTTTTTTGGCGCACTGTACAAGGGTAATTAAAATTAGCATTTATTATACAATAAAATCAGCCTAAAATATACAGAAACTGCAAGTTTTGAATACGCAAGAATACTAGCTTGGTTTCAGGCATGTGATGTTGGAACAATAAGGTCCTTTTCCAGATGTGTGATAATGGACTCATCCCACCACAAGGTTATATTTTGAATAATGAGACCAGTATGGAGTATTAAATTTCAGAATGATGCAAAGAGTCATTTTTAGGCTATTAAATCAAATGTTTGTCTACACTAACCATGTGAAAATGGAATGTAACATACGAACCAATATTCCTTTCAAATTTGTTTTATAAGAATTATGTTAAGTAAAATTAAAATTTTCTTAGCATCTTTAATGTACATCTAAAAGTAAAAAAAGACAAAACAAAATCTCATTTCAACGATATTTATTTTTAAAGCATAAAATTTCCCATAATAGAAATAATTATTTTTACTCTTTTAATGCCTTTGATTTAGAAGTTGTACCAAAACGAATTAAGGAAATACATTTCAACTAAAGAAAAAACTTACTAAAGCATCCATCTCTACTTCATAATCATCAACATTCATCCACTCATTAAAAGTATCCAGATCAAGCAACCAACGAGCATTAACCTGAAAATATAAAATAACTTTGAAAAACAAGTCTTAAAATTTAGAAAGGTTAAAATACTTCAAAAAATTTAAAATACTTAAATTCAATAGTAAGTTTAAATTACAATAAAGCATTTTATCAACAATTCATTTAAATCCTATTGTTTTTATGTTATCTGCAGAAAACTTGTAACTAAAAATCAATCCAACTGTGCTCAGATACAAGTTGTTGATACTAAGTTGTAAATAAGATACTTAATTTAGATTGATAGTAAACGTAGTCTACAATAAATAAATACTAAAAATAATAAAGTGCTCCGGCAAAAGTCTGCTGTTTACTAAGGGGGTCATGATTAAAGCAATGTGGTTAGCATTGACTGCCAGTCACCTAACCCAAAGAAGCTGGTACCCATCTAACTGAAGCTGGGTTCTTCATATTGATAGTTCACGTTAACATGGCTCAACTTAATTTATACTCAATCAAATATTGTAAAAAATATTGTTAAGACAAAAAAAAAACCTTTTACATCAACAGTACTTAAAGCACATTTAATTAAACAGCCATTAACAGTATCTAATAGAAGGAGATTTTAATTTGAGATGTTTAAATCACGAAAGATTAGATTTGAGCTCACATTGCAAACGAAATTAGTAGGACCACTGGTAAGTAAATATGAATCTAGTACAGATTACAAACAAAACTAATAGGTTACATTATTTTTTGTCACTTACCTCATAAGGCCCATCAACAGGATCAGGTATATCTGGTTCTTGGTCGATTTCGGCCCCAGTCACCCAAGTATCGAACCTAAAAAAAATATATATAATTTATCTGATTAAAATTAGTTCGAACAAAAAAAATTACTTCAGAATAAAAAATATTTTTCAAAAAATGAAGACCTGGCTAGTCTAATAGAAAAATCTGTGAAAAATGCTAAGTTAAATCACAGACTTCTTGCAGCTATAATGCAATAAATTTTTTAAAAAAACTTATGAGTTTCAGATCTGTTTAGATAATTATCACTTTTAGGGTTATTTAGGACTCTATTCTCTAAAATTTGAACTAAGTACAGTTGAACCTGTTTATCTCGAACCTGCTTATCTCGAAATTTCTTAGTTTCCCGAAATTAATGATTTAATTTTAATGTATTTTTNGAAGAGCATATAGAAGCACCGAAAGTGACAGTAAAGGAAGCTGAAAAAGCTGTGGAACGTTTAACAAACTTTCTTGAATGTCAAGAAAACGTTGGACACGAGGGGTTCGCTGCTCTCTCCAACATTCGAAAAATTATCGAATCAAAGAAAATCCGACGTCAGAAATCATTAAAAGACTACCTATGAGGTGCGTATGACTGTTAAAAACTTTTATTAGATGTAATTAATATGTAATCATAATTAAATTCTTTACAACATAAATGATTTAGTTTCTTTTAATTAAACATTGCTGCTCGAATTTCATTTTTTAAACTTACCTGCATATCTCGAAACCTCTCTATCTCAAATTTTTTTCCCTTTCCCGTGAGATTCGAGATAGGCAGGTTCGACTGTATTGAATTTCAATCAATCCTATATTTAAACTTCACTGATTTTCCAAAGAATTTGACTGCATTAAACGTGAGTGTTTGTGGTGGAGAGTATTAACATAATCAAAGATTTGAGTAGAAAAGGATCTGCTCTAGTAAAATGGCATAGCAACTGAGAGTTTTAGGATAGAAACCAGTATAAGGCAAAGCTGTGTTCTGTCCTGTCTGTTGTTCATTACTGTCATAGACTGGATTATAAAGAAAACCACCAATAAAAGAACAGGAATTCAGTGGAATTCTACACACCTTTTTGAGGACCTTGATTATGCAGACGATATTGTTATGTTATCAGCCAGATTCAAAGATATCGTATGAAAAACACAAGATACGACAGAAACTGTAGGCCTAAAGAGAAATACTGAAGAAACTAAAGCAATGATATTAAACAGCCACATTGTAACTAAACTCAATGTCCTAAACACTAGATATCAAAGACATTGATATTTTTAGTTATCTTGGTTCAATAGTGTATACTACAGGTGGAACTGACCTGACTAAGATGTTACATCCAGACTGAAAAAAGCATGTGGTGTTTTTGAAACATTATATAAAATTTTGAGTTCTTCAGCATTAGTAATCAATAAACTACTCATCTTCAATTCAATGGTTAAAGCAGTCCTATTTTATAAGTGTGAAACTTGGAAACTTACTAAGCCTAAAGAAACCTTTGAATCCTTTCAAACTAAAGCTCTATCAGGGGTCTGTTTAGAAGAAATTTGTGTCTGTTAACGGACCCTTCACAAAATATATTTTCATAAAAATGGACCCTTCACAAAATATTTTAACTTAAAAACGGACCCTTCACAAAATGATTTTTCTTTTAATTGAACCCTTCACAAATTTGTTTATCTTCTTTATTGTTTTGTTAATTGAATAAATCCTTCCCAAGGAAGAAAACAAGGAAGATGGATGTAAACGAATTAAGTTTTGTCTGCTGCAGACGATTCTTCCATTATTCGTCCGAAATGAATATTTTGCGTTCAGCAGTATAGGCTAAATACCAAATATTTGTATGTTGCACCTCTAATTTAGATGCAGCAATTGCTGTTTATTTTTGAAAATTTAATTTTTTTTAAAATTTAATTTTACAATGCTGAGCATAATCCTGTATCAATTTACAATTTAAACACTCGTTGAAAAAGTTTTTTGCAATAACCGGACCCTATTTTTGCACAAATTCCTAATAGCAGGACCCTGGTTGAAAGAATGTGAGTAATTTTTTCACAATTTCACAAAAGCCGGATCTTTCACAAAATGTCTGGACAGACCCCTGTCTATGAAGGATTTTCAAAATCTTTTATCCTTGCATTATTTCAAAAGAGCAACTATATTGTGGGGACAAAACGAGACCCATTGCTGAGGTTAAATCAAACATTGAAGATGGATGCGGATGATACACATTCTGCGAATGCCTGCCACTTAGCTTCCTCATGTAGCTCTCACCTGGAAGCTGAAGGAGGGACAAAGGAAGCGAGGAAGACCGAAACTAACATGGTGAAGAATTATAACGCATGAAAGAGATGAGCTTCAATGGTATAGCTGAAGCTTGGCTATGGAGGACAAGATATGAAACCTTAGGAGCCAGAATGGTGTAAAAAAAATCTTCATGATGATTCTCTAAAATATTGTACTTTAATTGCAAAAACCATGAACAGAACAGTAAAAATAATATTAAACAACGTTCCCCTAGTTATACAAGATTTTCATAAAAACCTTCCAGATTAAAAAAAAAAAAAAATTACCATTTATAATAATAAAAATAACTATGACAGATACAGCAGAAATATGTCTCAAACTTTGAGAATCATTTCCACAATTTTTTTTTTTTTAAACAGGCATTTCATTAGTTGATTAAAAGGAATTGAAATACTTAAATGTTAACTATTCTTTATTTGATAATGTGAGAGGGAAGTGGGACTATGAGCTTATTATTAAGCTGTTGTTAGATATGACTTAAATGTTTATGCTAAAAAACATGTAGATATTTATTGCAAAAATAAACAATTAATGCAGATGATGACAGTGACACTAACTTGACTGTTTCTATTGTTATCTCTTAGATTACTTTATATAACATACTCAACTTAATCAAAAAAATAACTGCATTTCATTCCTATGCCAGAGCAGTTGCTGAAAAATTCTGAACTTTACATTTTAACACAAAATAACTTGAATCTTTAGATTCTACTTACGAGTCAGGATAAAACCACCAGTGTAGCATGACATTTTTATCCCGTCTAAAAACCACACGCACCCAATCTTCTGAAATTTAATAAAGAAAATTTAGTAAACATTTTAAAAACATAAATCTAAGGTAAAAATGTTTCAAAATAGTAGTCTACAAATAAACCAAAGAAAAATACAAGTTGCTAATGATAAGTACAATGTCTTAAAATAAGTTTTAAATTTTCTTTATTTTTTTAAAGAAAAAGTTTTAGAGTTAAGAATTCTGAAACATATTAGTTTTATTAACTAAAAATAAAAGCAAGAAATGCCTGAAATGTTTACAAGTTTTTACATAGCTGCCAACATGGATAAGAAAAAATCCAGTAGACTTTGCGAAATACTAAATATTTTACAATGTTTTATAATACATACAAAATACTAAATATGATACAATATACTAAATATTTTACATATAGGGAATTTTAAGGATTTTTATTGTCATCAAAATACAAAAACTTAATTAATGGTAAGTAAAATTTACTAGTTACGATTGACATTAAATGATGAACTTAAAATGCTTTTTCTTATGTTAACTCATAATTTTTAATAATAATAGACAAATAATTTATTATTGATAGTTTAAAGATATTCAATAGTAATTCAATTAATTTAAAAAGAGAATTCCAAATAAAAATAAACTCAGAATTTTTGAAAAGAAAAACTTTAAACTGAATACTATATATGAAGCTCACATCATTATGCAACACCAATTTAAATATTCAAGCAAGCAATAAACTGAGAAAAACTCTATTTCAATAGGGATTTTTTTAGGCAACTTAATTTTAGGGAATTTTCTAAAATGTACAAAAACTGGGAGAAATTAGATGAAACCAGTAAAAGTGGCAAAATCCAGTAGTCTACTGGTAAATCCAGTCGAGTTGGCTATGTTTTTATCATAAGATTTATATAATTTTGTATTGGGGCAAAATCTTCTGAACTATAATTATTCTCAATCCACATATGATCAATTAGAAGTTTATAAAAATATTGTCATACAGGTTAAATGACACCAATCAATTGACATGAATAATCATTGTCAATTTGACATGACAAGAAATTTATTGTGCTTAAATTTAAATATTTGTATAAATTAAAATAAATATTTGTCACGTTTAAAGAATTTTTTGGTTTGAATCACAACTGAAATACTTTATGAATTAATTTACGCATATTAACTTCTGAATATTACATTTTAGCAAAAGGAAAAAAAAAAAAAAAAAAAAAAAAAAAAAAAAGAAAGAAATTCATACAAATCTAAACAAATGAATTTCAAATCAAATTCTTATTTTGAAATGAAATAACTCACCAGGTCCATCTGTAGTTGGTAAAGGTGGGTGTACTAAATGAGATGCATCATCAGGGTTTTCTGCTATAGTGCCTTGATGACGCTTAATGATGTCCTTTAATCTGGGTACCAACTGTTTTTCCACTTCAGGCATTATAAAAATGTGCGGAAGGGTTAAACATTTATTTTGGACCAATGTTTTTTCAATCGTCATGAACATTTCTACATTGCGATCCATACGAGATGGAGATTGAAAATCAAATCTGCGCCTGAAATAAAAGAATAAATTTCTTTATTGGATTGGATATCCGTGAACTAGCATTAACATGTTTATAGTAGACATTCAATATAAATTTATTCTGCAAAATTTTTAAATGAGGAAAAAGATATTTAATTACCTTCCTTATTCTATATTCAATGCGTAGTAAACACATTGATTTCCAAATTGAATTTCATTAATTGATGAGCAAAAGAGTTTGCAAGAGGATGAGAGTAGAGAAAAAAAAGGGAGAAATAAAAGATTCTTAAATATAAATAGAATCTTTTAATTCCAGTATATAACAAAGATTATTAGATAAGTGGTTGGAAACAATCTTTAGAAAAAACTCAAAAAGTAATAACAAGAAATTAATTTATACAGTAGAAAGTCCACAACGGAATCATTGAGAATGGATTCCCTGATGAGGAAAATGGATTTTTCGGGATAATAGATATTTAAGGTAAACGTGCACAATTCATTAAAAAAAAATCAACAATAAACAATAATTTTAATTTCACACAATAATTGTAATTTTCTATTTTTTTTCTTTTTTCTCATTTCATGAAACGAATTAACTGGACAGAAAAAAATAGCATTAAGAAAAGCATCATATTCTAAAAGTAAATTTTAATTACCTAATATTATTCCATTTAATAAAAAAATAATAACATAAACATGGAACAGAATTGGGTGGATTTTGCTTGTAAAAACATTCACAATTTGTCTGCTAGTGTTTTTTTCAAACACTATCAATATTAATCTTCATTAATATTCATAGTTTACTCTTCTTATCTAAGTTTATTTTCCTTTTTTTTTAAATAAAAAAAAAACTGCTCTTTTAGGGTGCTTATAGTAGCAAAATAATTATTTAGATATAGAAAAAGCGACAAGGAAAAAAAAATTATTATCCTTTTTCCCTCGCATTGAAATGTTTTTTTAAACTATCTGTTTATTTTGATTATAAAGATGCAAATTATTTTAGTAACTATAACAAAAAGAATTAGAGTGTTGCTTTGAAAATACATACAAAACATAAATACTTATTTTGCAACAAAAATAAAGAAAAAAATTAAATTGTTTTTTGAATAACATAAAAAAATTGACAAAATATTACAGATTACATAAAGCAAACAAATCGTTTTTTTTTCTCAATTACTTGCTATATTATATATATATATATAAAGTGACATATGGTGAAGAAAAAAAATTAAAGATGGATGGATCAAAAAATTTTCCAGCAATTTTAAACCCATGCTTCAGTTGCATAAAAATTATTTTTAAGCACGATTTCATTTTAACAGAAACTATTTGCAAAATGAAATTTGTCAAATAAAATTTCAATTCGCTGAAAAATAAATAAACAAAACAGCAAATATTTACCATCCTTGTTCACTTTTGAACTTGTAAACAGCAGCCAAAATGTGACATAAAGATCCACTAGGTCTGAAGTCCAAAAAACACTTCATCTATAACAAAGGTAAAATATTATTTTAGATAGTCTTAATGTGGAATAAAAGAAATCGAGGCATAGGAGATACTATATTTACCGGAAGTCTAGTAAGAGGAGGTTTGCTGACAGTTCTGCCAAAAGCATCTTCTTGGAATTGTACTAGTTGGTTTACAAGAGCAGCTAAGCCTTTTGCAGTAGGTGGATCAGCTTGTATGTACTGCAATAATTAGTCAAATCAATCATGATGGTTTTACCAATAGACTTTTCAATAATTAAAAATGTTGTGGAAAACAAAATTTATTTAGACTCTGATTTAAAAAATTATAATAAAAAAAAAGCAATTTTCAAAGCAAAATATTTTAATTGAAGTTTAACTGTAGGTTTGGTAAGAATTTGCTGCATGTAAACTGCACCTGGGGGGAGGGTCACCTATTTTCCATGGCAGAATAGTATCGACACAGTCCCAGATTGTTACTAATTTCTAGCAGAATGTTTTATTTGGGTAGCAAAAAAGTCTGATTTTCTTTTCAGCAGAATTCTTTTCAAAAGATACCTTTTTACTAATTTTGCTTTTATAATTTGATAGAAATAAAATCAGTTCAATATTTTTAATATGATATTCATTGATTCAATATTTTCACAGTGTCACAGTCCCAGATTGTTTCCAAGTTCTAACAGAATGTTTTATTAAAGAAGCAAAAAAGTGCGGTTTTCTTTTCTGCAGACATTTTTGAAGAAATGTTCTGCAGAATTCTTTTCAAAAGATAACTTTACTAATTTTGCTTTTTTAATTTGGTAAATTAAAATAGATTCAATATTTTTAATATAATATAACGCTCAAGAAAATTTTAAATGACACATTAAGTCTCCCCTTTTTTGCTAAGAACTCATGAAATTGTAAATGTATGTATCCTTGTCTCCAGTTAGGATCAAAATTGGTTCAATATGGATCCTATAAGAACTTGCACCGAGGGACTTTTAGGAGGCATGTCTAGGTTTTTTTAATATTGGTCCTAGAATGGCCGAATAATGAATATAAAATATCAGGTTAATCTGACAATTCTATATAGAGCCGATATTGGTTGTAAAATGACTGTAAAATATCCAGTGAATTGGATAATTCTATATCGGGTCAATATTGGAAAAATAACGGCTCTTTGAACCCATATTGAGCAAGAATTTACAAATATTGGTACAATAAGGGCTCACGCCCTGTCGCAGAGTCGTGGCAACATGGCGACATTGTCGCAGAACGTTACGGAGTTCTTGCAGAGACGTTTTTCCTTTGGGAAGTAAAAAAACTTGGGTTTTCCTTTCTGCAGAAATTTTTTTTCTTTTTCTTCTGTATTATAGTCGAAAGATGCTTTTCTTGCACATGGGAGTGAAAAAAAATGCTTGTAATTTTTCGGTTCTCATTTAAGGATAATAAAAAATAAAGAGCAATGAAGTAAATAGTTTGTTTTCTTTTCTACAGAAATTTTCGTTCTATTTTTTATGCAGTTATTACTATTAATTTACACATAGCTTTTAAAATCAAATATTTTTAATACTTTATTATTTATTACAACAACTGAATCTCAAAATGAAAACACGCATTTAGTAATCTCTTTTTGAAGAGTCTGAGATTTTGGGGTCGAACTTTTTTTCTGGTAGTTACTACTACGGATTTAACGATTTTTAAAAAAAGGCTACGATGATTTATAAAAGATGAAAAAAAAAACTAATTAGTGTCTTTTCCTTCTACATAATGCAAGAATATTGTCATATTAGAATTAAAAAAAAAAAATATTACAAATGCAATTAAAAAAGTTTTTTTTTTTGTAGTTGACGCTTCTGTTACTTTAAATTAGTAACATGCATATTTGTTATTTTCAAAAGTATCTTTCAGAAAGATATTAGTATTAGAGAGGTATGTTGCAGAAAGCCCGAAAATTATTATGCCGTTAAGGTAGTGTTTTGTGAATTTTTTTCAAGAATTGCTATGATATTACACTTGGAAGGCCAGATGTATTTCATTGCTCAGTTATTATCATAGATATTCAAGCAATCATTCTTTGGTATGCTTAGTTTACATACACTGTAAATTTAAGGGGTCTTTCCACCATTTCTTTTTCACTGTTATTGCTATGGATACTCACATTTTTTAAGAAAAAAAATCTGCGTATTTGTCTATAAAAATTTTATTAGTCCCGAATTTTGATTATTTATTTTCAATATGACCATACTTTTATTATGATGTGGGCATTTGATTATTTACTTTTAATATGGCCATACCATCACTTTTTTGACATAATCGCTTATTTACTTCTTCACACGCTGAATGTACTCCATTAGTATAGAAATCCATGTAATTGTTTCAATTGTTTTTTCGGCAGCTATTCATAATGATTATTGCATGTTTTTTAAAGATCTCAATATATTTCTGATAATATGGGAAAAGCGAATCGTACATTAGAGTATTTACTTTTTTATGCAAAGATTCTAATGTAGTTTTAATTAAGTTCTTGGAAGAAAAGAGTGCGATATTATAAATTAACACAAGATTATTATTGAAATGTTAACACTCACAAGTTAATGCCACAAATTTTAAGATTTTTTAATATCTTTTTCATGTGATTGGGATTTACAAAATGCAAAAAGGGAGACAATGTATGTTTTTCTCCTACAAATATACCCCATAATTGGGTATAATATTAAAAAAAACACAACTACTACCACTTCGAAAATTTTAGTAGGAATAACATGTACTATCGTGCAATGCTAAATGAATGGAAGATAGTGGTTGTTGTTTAATATTGTACATGCGTTAATTAAATTTGATTTGAAAACATTGATTTTTTAAAAAATATGGATTCTATAGAATGTTGTCTGTTAAGATTAATTGGTTTGATGTCTTATTCTGTCTGTCAGAAGAGAAAAAAAAATTCTTAATTTAATTAATAAACTGAGTTTTAAATACGTTTACTAAAAACACTAACTTACTTAGATGAAACAACAAAATCAATTATTACAAAACGAACTTTTCTTTATAATACAGTATAATCTGGCAAGCAGCTATTTAAAAGATCGAACACTTCGTTTGTTTATTGGTGGCTTGAAGTCAGGCTCGCAGAAAATGCCGTTCACTGGGTAAATTTAGTAAGAATAACACAACCTGTGACGCAGGCGATAGTATACCCAATATTAGAATATGTATTCTTTTTTCAGTAGATGAAAAAAAAAAACTTTAGAATTAAAACTACTCACAGTTTTGTTTTGTATGTACTTTGTGCAGCCTTTTTTTTAAAAAAGAAACAAATTGCTTCCGTTACTTTAAATCAGGAACATATAAGTTTGTAACTATCAAAAACCATTGCAGAAAGATATTAGTGCTATAGAGATTTTTCATAGAAAACAAGAAAAAAATTCTTCCACAGAGCAATGACAATAGAACATAATTTGCTTCAGCATTTGTTCAATCCATCACAATATTACAGCTTTTTTTTTTACATCAATAAATAAATATATAAAAAATATTATACAACCATAAAACTCTTCATGGAGTGATCTGTTACACCAAATATAATGATCAATGCATGAATGACTTCAATACTTGTAGAGGATTTGTGAAAAACAAGTAATGTTTGCTTAATGGTGACTGAGTTTGCCTCCTTCAGCAAGACTTTTGCTTAGTTTCTCTTGTGCCACAGAACGCAAGTCCCCAAATCTTGGTGATTGTTTTGGGATAGATCACAACATTGAAAACCACACAATTTCATTATCATTATAAACACAAAAAATAATCACCAAGTCTCGCTGATTTCCAAACAGTAGCCCACAAGAAAACTTTTTAAAAAAAAGATAAATAAACTGAACATCACTGAAAAAATGTACTCTAAGTATAAAACTGCAAACTTCAAAAGTTTTTACTTTTAAATTTGAAAGTTTAAAATCCATTTGGTGTCTTAGTGGTTGTAGTGTGTGCAGCAGATCATGATAAGGAAATATTTCCCTATTGATAGGGTATGTGAGAAACTTATACAACTAATGATACATTAAAATACCAATAGTGCTTGTACATCAGATAAAAACGAACCATTTCAAAAAAAATTAAATTTTATCAAAATTTTATTAAACAAATTTAAATTAATACACCTTATATATCAATAGCAGCCAATACATAAAAACAAATTTTGTAATAACTTCTGCAAATAATCTTACTTAAGATATCAAAATTTGCAATAAAATTCAATTATGTAATTCTCTCTCACAGACAATATCGAATTAAACGGTTTTATTTGATTATCTTAAACTATAAAATATAATAAATATATGAAAAATTGAGGTATTGTTACTACTTAAACTATAATTCAAACTGAAATGCAAAATGAATCATTAACGGAAAAGGTAATACTAGAGCTTCTTTTTTTTTTTCTTTCGTGTTATACTACGTTACCCAGCAATGCATATATCGTTTTATCATATATAATAATGTTTAAATCATAAGAAAGCAGTTACAGAAGAAAATAAGCAAATAGGTGTTAGATAATGATCAAATTGAAACGTGAGTAACAGTTACACATTGAAAGTCTAACAGAAATGACAATTTACCTTTTTACAATTTTTTTGCAGCCATTGACGCACAGTATCAAACTGGGCGATTGTTTCAGGAGATTCGTAGAACTTGACGTTTGGCCCACCATCTTTCTTTCGATAGCAAGTCATTTTTATTTAACATCAAGTATCTTTCTTGATGAAATTATACGTTAATTACATTATTACGTAAAATATTTAATTGAAATTAAAAAAGCTATATGGATCGCTAAAAGCGGCTTTTCTTATTTTCGACATTGAGTCACTTCACTTCAGCTTCATTTTTTTCTTCCTTTATCTCTCATAAACTACAAATTTTAACATTTTAATTATGAAAAAAGTTTTATTTTAATAGAAAAACTTATTCAACAACTTACAACTGAAAATATGATATAAATTTTAAAGTTGAAATTAATTAATGAACGAAACCATACCATAAACATCTCAACTTTTTTAATAACACGACTGCAAAACACGGCAGACGGCAACAACAAATTAATTACTTCATAAAAAAAATAGTTTAGTAAATTCATATGAAGTTTAAGAATTCTATTATTAGCAAAATGGAATCAGGTCTGATGGTAATAAAAGTGTATAATTTGAATTATTGTTTCTATCTATTCTTTTCGGATCAAGAGAACCAATTGAAAATACAAGCTTCATTTATAAATATTGTGCATATTCTGTTACTTTTAACTTGTACCATTAATTAATTTTTATAGTATTATAATTTTCTTTTTTCTCCAAGCTGTAATATTTTTTAAAGATTACCTAGTTATTTAATTTTTGGTACTTATACTTATTTACGAATGAGATTGGTTTCTTTGGTATTTTCTTCCTAATTTCCCATCTATTAAGAAATGTATAAATGAAAATGTAATTTTATAGGAACCTACTCTTTATTCTGTGGAAGCTATAGCTATTCTGGATAATGATGGAAATCGAATATTGGCTAAAGTAAGTTTTTTCCCAGCAGTTACAAAACCTATTACACGGTTATTACTTTTGTGATATTTAAAAATTTATTAAATTTTTGTGAAAATTTTTCGCTTTAGTTGAGGTTATATTAAATTACCGGGGATATTTCCGTATCGTCATCTGTCGCGCCAACTACTGTCGCCAAAGTGCCAAATAAATTTTAAACTTTCGAATTTTTGTTTAAAAAAAAATATTTAGATGTTTGCCCCTTTCTCCCATTTTTTTTTTTTTAAGTCTCTCGCGGACCACTGCCAGGAAGTTGCAAAAGACTTTGCGATTATTCTGCTTCAGAATACGGAAATCTCCCTGCTATGAGTTATGCCTTGAAATTGCAATAACTTTCAAACAATAGAATTTCAGAAAACACCTTCGTAGTACTTTTTTTGGCATATTTACTTAATTTGTTTTAAACTGTTTTATATCCTTATCAAACAACTTTTGTAAATTTGGAAGATCAGATTGCAAAAAATATGCATAACAGTAGCAGATGTAGTAAAAATTTTATTTTATGAATGTGAAAGTATATATATAAATATAGGTATGTACACATAACTTAAAAAAGTTTTTTGCCCCCTCAAAAATTTGCTTCATGCTACACCTATGCCAACAAATAATATCTTGGGAACTTTTATATTTTATTATACTTCATAAAGTCCTTTTTGTTAGCATAGTTATACAGAGAATTTAAAAGTATAATAAATATTAGTAATGGTCTCATATATTATGAAGAAAAAAAAATAGTAAAATATTGTTTGATATTTAATTTATATAACTTTTAATCCTTTAATATACAGTTTTATTTTATCTAGACTGACAGATAAACCTGAATTGTTAGACTTAAAATTTATGAGGATGATATTTCCATATCGTGATTTGTTGCGCCAACTACAATCGCCAGGGCGCCAAATGGATTTTAAACTCGCAATTTAAAAAAAAAGAAACATGTAAAGGTTTGCCTGAGGGTGGTTACATCTTCGAATTGGTACCCTTTAGCAATATTTTTATTAAGTTTCTCGTGGGCTGCTTCCTGTAAATTGCTTAACCATGACAATTATTCTGCTGCAGATCAGGATATGGAAATCTTCCCTTTATTACTTACTGACTAAAAGTACTGTTACTAATTTTCTTAATAAATTAATATTTTTATTTTTAGTATTACGGAAAAACTTTCCCAACAGCAAAAGAACAAAAAGCTTTTGAAAAGAACTTATTCAAAAAGACACATCGAGCTAATGGTAAGCAGATTATAAAACTGAGGCGCCCTTTATAAAAATAAAGTTCATAATAATTTTTTTTTCCAATGTTTTCTATGTTTAAATTTATTTTCCAAGCATATTTCTGATGTTGTTTCTATTATAACATCCTTCGATAAAAATTTGATGATCAAATTGTAATATTTAATAAAACAATTTTTAAGGGTAGTTTCAAAAATATTGAAAATTAGTTATGTTTCATGATCAAAATTATCTCAAATTAAAATATTTATCAAGCAATTTCTTTGAATTCTTTTTAGCATTATAAAAAAAAGAAATGTGTTCTTGTACTTTTATTTTACGTGTTTTGTTTGGGGTAAGTTGTAAAGTATTGAACTACTTTAGAGCCCTGATTATCTGATATCCGTGGGATCAGAGTTATGTTAGAAAATTGAAATAAGTTGGATTATCAGGGGACCTTTTCAAGTTCTTTTTTTTGTGTGTGTGTATATAACCAATTAAACATAAAACTATGAGTAAAAATACTCTAAGTAATTAAGCCAGTATAAAAAAAAGCTACAATAAACTATATTTTTATCTTTTTTATCATAAATAACGTTGTAGAATAATGTAAATAAGATCATTTATACATTTTATTTTCTATTCAAATATTTTGTAGCTGTCAATTTTTGGAATCCCTCTTACTGCAGTAATTGGATGTAACTGCATTAAATGTGGGATTTATTGGTAAAAGATCCTCAATGGAGCAGTAATTGGGTCAAGTCTTGAAAATGTGCTGCCATTTTGGAGCACTTGAACTTGTTAACTGTTATTTCCGATTTATATGTTTTTGAAGCAAATGAAGTTTTTAAAAATTAATATCTTTCCGCTTCAATTTCTTGGGATTATTTATTTAAGTATTAAACCTATTTTAAAAAATATTATCCGTCATTAGATAGTATTTGATGTAGTCATTCACTTAATTTAGAATGCATTTTAAACTATAATTGTTTCATTTTACCGTTTTTTTTTCCTTCATAAAATTAAGAAAAATTGTGTTAATTGTAGAATATAACATTATATTTTTAGCTGAAGTTATTATGTTAGATGGTCTCACTGTAGTCTACCGGAGCAATGTTGACCTTTTCTTCTATGTCATGGGGAGTTGCCATGAAAATGAGGTCAGAAATTTTTGACGTTTATTTGTATTTTTAGGACTTGCTCTTTCTGATTCACCATTTTTTTTTAAATTCATTGATTTGTACCAAATTATAATTTTAATAATAGGTATTTTTATTCTCAAGAGTTTGCATATTGATTTACTTTTATAAATTTAAGAAGCTTTTCTTTTCTTTTTTAAGAAAATTTTTTTGTAGTCCCTTTAGGGGATTAGATAATTTAAAAAAGACCAATGTGTATTTTTTTAATGATTCTACTGTTTCACTTACCATTTAGAAATTACTGAAAAATTTTAATTAACCTTCTAAACCTAGTTGCTTTCACGCAGAGAAAACTATCATAATATTCACTGAGAAATTATGTTTGATATGCAAATGTTTTTACATTGTATCTAAGTATTGCAATAGTTTAAGGGTGTGATGATGATTAAAATTTAGTTCAGTACAGAACCAGTTATCCGGAAATCAGAAATCCGGAAGACCAAAAAAACGGAACGAAATTCGATACATTTCCCCCCGCCATTTAAAAAAAAAAAAATTCCCCTCATAAGATTTTAGGATTTTTCTTTCTTTTTTGAAAGATGTTTACCTTACCATCATTTTGGAAATAATCATTAGTGTATTACTTCATCGTTTTTTCTTTTTTTTAAGATTTATATATATATACCAAATATTTTTTTTAGTTGGGTTTAACAATTAAAAAAAATGACTTTTTGCAGCGATTCAGAAAACCGGAAAAATCAGTTATCCGGAATAGCGATGGTCCCGATCGTTCCGAATAATCAGTTCCCTACTGTATTGTATTCTTCTCTAAAACACCGCTTGTTCTTGACTTTCCTCGTGTGGCTATAGTTGCAACTTTTGGATTCGTGATGTAACATGATTATCTTCATGTTTTGCTTAAACATTGTTGACTTTTCTGTATTTTCTATTAGTATGATTAGTTAGGATATGACTACTTTGCATTTGGACTTTGCTCTGTTTGCTTTCTCTAATTTAATGGAGAAATATTGGGAGTACCTGTGGTTTATTGACCAAATGACTGGCATTTAAAAAATAAATATTTCATTGTAATGAAAAAAATGCCATTTTATCATTATTGAATGCAGGTTTGAATATCATCAAATTCGGAAGAAAAAAAACTATTGCTTAGTTTCTAAATTTAGTAAAATGTATTAAACACTTATAGCATTGTATTTTTAGAAATTGTAATTCTAATTTCTTTGATTTATTTATATTTGCCTTTTTAATGTTTAGCTTATTTTGGTGAGTGTCCTGAATTGCTTGTATGATGCTGTGAATCAAATTCTAAGGAAGAATGTTGAAAAAAGAACTCTCCTTGAAAATCTCGATATTATATTATTAGCTATTGATGAAATTTGCGATGGAGGGTGAGTGGAATGTTTTATTTTGTTCTTTTTCAATGATGGCAAATGAAGTTTAAGAATCATTTAAAGTGTATGAATCATTTGAACTAAATGTAATTTCTTAAAATGAATCATTTTAGAAACAACTTTGTAGAGTTAAATCACAAATATAGTAAACTCACAATGTACTAGATTAGGTAGTTAGAGTGGTCACAATCTACTGGATTAGGTGGTCACAATCTACTGGTGGTGGTGAATGTTTTATTTTAATCTTTTTCAATGATGGCAAATGAAATTTAAGAATCAATTAAAGTGTATGAATCATGTGAACTAAATGTAATTTCTTAAAATGAATTATTTTAGAAAAATCTTTGTAGAGTTAAATCACAAATATAGTAAACTCGCAATCTACTGGATTAGGTGGCATGACAATTGCAAATAAGTTAACTGCAGCTATTTTTATAAATTTAGTAATTACAAAGTATTTTTCAATATAGTCACTACTGCATTACTTTATGAGACAAATTTTGCTGGGAGATTAAATTTAAAAACATGTTTGAAATTTGATATTCATTTGTTATGAAATTTTTCTTTCAATTTTACACTTTTTATGCTTTTTTATATCAGCCAGTATTTCTTTTATGATATGTTAGAAAATGATAAAATATTTGTGAATTTGTTGAGTGTTTAAAAAAAAAAGTAAGTAAAGTACATTAAGAGCATTCTTGTAAGATTTGTGCCAATCAGAGTAAAAAAAATAAATTGTTTTTTTACTAAATTAATGTTATAAAAAATTGCAAAGAATCACTACAAGCTGCCTTTTTTTTTCTTATTGCACTGCCAACTTCACTAGTTTTTTTTAAAAAAAAGAATCACTACACTACAAATTACAAAAAAAGTAGTGACTACTATAGTTTCATTACTTGTAACTTGTAAATTTCCACCCCTGTTAATTCTGTAAAACAAAATACATAAATTAAAATATTTTTGATAAACTTTTATTTTATTTACAGCTAGATGAGAATGATTAAATGCACAAACTAATGCATAAATTATAAGAGTGATATCAATTTAATGTAGGAAGTAACATCTGAAAATGTCAAAATTACAAATTACCATACATTATTGACTTCTAAAAGGAACTAGAAAGAAAATTATCAAAAATTTTTATCCTTGTATGACATACTGCTTTTAACATATTTCTTTCAGCAGTAAAATGGTGAAATGATAGAAAGATATTTGTCGAGATACAAATTTGTTATGCTAGTTTTTATTCACCATAATAAAGTGTAATATCTTTACCAATGGCTTTTGCAGATGCATAACATATCTTGTGCATTATATTTTGAAATGTGTTTATTTGTTTCAATGCATTCTTTACCTTCACCTGAGTTTTGCAAATTTAACTGCATTGTTTAGATCTAATTTAGAAACTTGTATCATTGTTAAACATTTTATTTTGATGCCATAAAATTTATTGTTGCAAGAAAAAAAATCATGAATAATTGTAAGTTTATAGTATTTATATTTCTTTAATCTGTCACTTGGCATACTTCTTTCTTTTTGTTTAAATATGTGTGCAACCTTTGAATTTTAACCTAATGAAGTCACTCTGGAAAAATATGAATTTTCCAAGGACTTCAGCAATTATTGTTTCGGAAGTTGAAAATTTAAATTCTTATTGTATAAAAGAAAAATTTTTCTGTAATGTTAGAAATGTTTTTCTCTTACATATTTCTTACAGAAAAAAAAGTAGTGTAAATGGTGTGTTTCCTTTCACATAAATGCATCGCTGCAAACTTTTATATTCCCTTATAAAAAAAATTCAAATGGTAGTAAGGATGTAGAGCAAAAATACTAAAGTATGTAAAAAAATATTTTATTTTTGTCAGTATTTAAAAAAAAATAAATGTTTTTCTATTACGTCTTATATATATATATATATATAAACTTATACTTAAGTTTAGTCATTATTGAAAAAATAATCAAAACTTAGCTATTATATTATAAAGGAAAAAAAAAACTATCATAGAAATATTCAAGATAATTATATATTAATTTAATTAGAAATATTTAAAATATTTAGAAAACTGAGTAACTGCTATTAAAAAAAAAAAAACTGAAGTGGTAAAGTTGAAAAAAAGAAATAGAAAGAAATATCCTCTTAATTCTTAAAACATAGCTTAAATGCTAAAAATAATATTTTCCGAAAAAAATTATTCATTAAACGTTAGAAGAAATATCCTATCAGAAACGCTTTTAAAAATGTAGTGCTATCATGAAAACGCCCTTAAGAATGATTACATACAAGAAGCAAAACAGAAAAATTGAAAATTGATCATAATTTTTGAAAGAATATTTTAAAGCTGAACATCTCAGTTTTCTATACCANTAGAAATGTATGTAAATCAACACGTTAAACATTAAAATTAACTGAAAACAGAGTTAGTTTCAGTTTTAGAAGTAAAAATCGATTATACGACGTTATCGTTTATACGACGTTTTTCGGTGGTCCCTTCGGCGTCGTATAAACGATGCTCCACTGTATATATATATGGCTTATTTATATGTTGTTGTAATCAGAGTAATTTTAAATCAAATTTATAATACCTGAAATTAAGCATTAAATTTTTTTTTTTTTCATTTTAATAAAAATGTTCCTCGAAAAGCATAAAAGCTTATTAGTATGGAAATGCAGTTTTTTAATTATACTTTTAGTTTGCAACTTGTTTTACATTAAGTTGATGCAATTGTAATATTGTGTTAGTAATTTCCTGCTCAAATTTATTACTTTAATAGAACTCTTAACTTATTTAGTGTGATGCAATTGAAATGTAATTGGAAGTTGGAACAATATAGTTCTAAAAAAATAATATAAAATAAATTTAGTTATGGTAAATTATCATCACTCCATAAATAAAATGCAGTCAATTTGCTTTTTGTATGCATAAATCTCTGGTTTTAAATTTGAAGATTGTATTTGCAACTTTTGTCACAATTGTATATTGGTTGGTGCAACATTTCTGAAAATTTGAATTGGAAAAGTTTAGAATGGTGACCTGTGGGGTTCACTTTTTAAATATACTAAAAAATTTATAAATAAATATCAAAATTAATGCAACAATTTAAATAATAAGTACTGAAAACTTTCATATGTTTTTAGAATTGTACTTGAAGCCGATTCTACATCTGTAGTACAAAGAGTTTCTGTGAGATCTGATGACATTCCACTTGGAGAACAAACTGTAGCTCAGGTATTTATAAATTATTTCTGTTCTTTTTAATCATTTTTATCCTTTAACTTTACTGAATTATTTAGTATGTGTGTAAATCCTCAAATAATAAACTTGAAAAATCTTGCTTGTATGTTAATAATCTTGCTTGTATACTTGTATATTATCCATAATAACTATAAAATGGGTGAAAAAGAGTCAGCTTTTAGGTGCTGCTAGAAAATATTAATAAGTAACATAATTGCTGCTACAAACTGCTTTATTTCATTTCTCTCACTATTTGTCTTGGATGAAAGTTTTAGTGGTAATGACATAAGAAATGCATCAATAATTGCAAGTAAATTTTTATATTTTGTCATCATCAAAACCTTGAATCATACGACTGCCAGACCTTTTACGTGTATACATAATGTTTTAGTTATTCATATATAATGGTGGCCAAATTCTTTTTAGATCTAATGAATCAAGAGTAAGTTATTACCAAATAGAATTTTCACTTTTTAAACAAAATTCTTGGAGGAAAAAAAAAACTGGAAGAATTACCAGTTATGCACCTTAGATGAGATAACCTGTTCTTAGACAGATTTTTTTTTTCCCTTTCTTAAAATTGCTCCTAAACCTGTCCCAATTCATTCTAGTTGTGTTCTAAACTGCTCAAAGGAAATAATGAAATAAACATTTAAAAAAAAAAATTGGTATCTGCTTGAAGAATTTAGTTATCAGGGAGAGGACTATTGGGGCATTTGTCTATGCCCTGTATTTTTAGAAGTCCCCGCACCAGAAGCATTAAAAAACAGTATTTTTTGCTATTATTCTTTATCAAAAAAATTTTTAATATTCATTTTTTTAATACTGAATATTTTAAAGCTTTTTTTAAAAAAAAAATTTGATTGTGGAAGGCAACCTCTGGCAAGGCTTTTTAAGTCAATGAGCTTCGCACAAGAAAACTTTTCTTAGAAATCAGAATCTTAAAATTTTAAAAAAAGCAATAAAATATGTAGAATTTTTTTTAAATGGTTATTTAATAGCTGCTCTTAAATGAAAAATTTCTCGCTTCCGGGGGCTTCACACTTGATATATAATGTATAGAAATTAATCAGTGGTATAAAATTCCTTAGAAAAAGTGTACAATCTATTTCAAAAATGTAAGCAAAAAAATTTTGATTCAATAATTTATATCTATTTAAGTCTTATAACTTAGCAAAATTTATACTTTATGCTTGTAATTGAGATTGCTTTTAAAAAAATAAAATAAATTAAGAATAAAAATTATGCATTATTCTGAGACTGAGAAAGGAAGAGCACTGATTTCTACGGTGGTCTAAACTTACTCTCCCCCCCCCCCTTTCATTCTTATCAAGTTCATTTGAAGTATTAATAGACATATTTTAAAACTGCACACCATTCTTGTTTTTTAATTATTTAAGTTCAATTCCTATTATCAAGTTCTATTTCTATTTTGAATAAAGTTCTATTTATCAAAATCATAATAGGGAGGCACCCTTTTCAACCTGCAATGACATTTTCAGCTATGGTTTGTTGTAAAATTCTCAATCCTTTTGACAACTCTTACCTCTCCGCTTGAAGATTGTAACTGCTGTACTTATAATTACCCTCTCAAGTCGTTTAGATGATAAGACTTGCTAACACTTTTGGAAAAATCATGTTTCTCCTTATCTTCAGTACTATTTTTTCAAGCTTAGTTAATAAAATATTAAAAATTTTAAAGGAAAATCCTATGTTTCAGAGGATTTGTAAAATTGTTAATTAAATATTTCTCATGTTTAATTTAAGCTTTGCATGTCACAATCTAAGTACTTGTCAGTTATAAAAATAGTGATACTTAGAAAATAATTATAAAAATATTTTTAGAATTATAATAATAATTTTTTTACATGGATTATTTTAACACAGTAAAAGATCTATGTAATGCTTTTCTATAAACTGCAACTTTCTATAAACCACATTAACTTTGTGGGTGTAAACAATGAAAAGTGAATTGCAGTTAAGGAATTCTGTAACTGAGCAAAAACTATTAACTTTTTACATTTAATTGATTATTTCTTAAGAGGTAACAAACTTTAAAAGCTAAGCAAGCCAAAATTATTAAAATATTTCTTTTTTTTTCTTCTATAAATTATAAAGTGCATATTTTTTATGTTTTTAATTATTTTTATCTAAAAATTATTTTTAAGCATTTTAAGATTGATCTGTTTCAGACTAATATTGCCATGTTTAAAAGGTAAGTTTAAAGCTATATGAAATGATATGTATATATATAAAACAAAATTCTGTAAAACACAAAACCTTGCATTTCAAGCTCTTTCACAGAATTTTATTAAGTCTTCTGCATTATAAAGATCTTCTACTGTATATGCAAAGCCTCAAATTCCTTCTTCATTTCGTTTCAAAGTATTTTAAAATAAAAGTATAGTAAATGCAAAATAAAATTTAAATTTGTTGTTAACTTATTAAAAATTAAATTTTTGTTAGTTAAATTTAGTTTGTCCTGTTCTAATTAAAACTATTGTATTTCATAATGTCATATGGCTGATTAAATGTTGAAAGTGGATAATTAAATGGTCCTAAAAAGTCCAGAGATTCCATTAATTATGTACAAAAATATAAGTTATGCTGTTATTAGTTGATGAATTTGTATAGGATTAGAATTTAGGTAGCTACAGTAAAGTTAGTGTTCTCATATCTAACCTCATTATAAAAAAACTGTTGATTAATTTCATACTTTGATTTGTAAGTCACTAGTTATTTATAAATTTTTATCTTATATTTACTTGTTTTTATATATTTCTTTTAGTTTATTTGTATTGAATATAGACTTTTTTAGAAGCCTAAAATTTTTGATATGTGTAAATTTTATTTCTCTTTTAACATTTTTAAAGAACTTTTTATTAAACATTATTAAATGACTCTTATCTCTTTTATTGATCATGCCTTGAGTCTGAGGTAATTAAGGTTGCATTCAATAAAATTTTTTTACTAAAAAAGTAACAAGTCANTGCAACCGTGATTTCTATATCACACGAGCAATTTTTGGAGAAATTTCACTTACACTTGCAGTTACACTTGCAGTTGCACATATTTTCTCTCGTGTGATATAGCCATAAAAAAGGCTATAAAGAATTTTTTTTTAAAAATGTTTTAAAATTTTTTCAGTATTTTTTCTGAACGACAGCAATGTTAGTCATTTTGTGGTGGGTTGGATAGAATCATAGTACCTCTTGTATTCATATCAAAACCAAACATGTGTATTAACAGTATTGTCTTTTATGAAGAAAAAAAAACATGATTTATGTTTCTTTAATTTTTTTCAGGTACTTCATTCTGCAAAAGAGCAGCTAAAATGGTCTTTACTGAAGTAAAAACAAAAATTAACAGCATTATGTTTATTGTCTTATTGTAATTTTTTTATCTGTTAAGTATGTTTGTGTTACTAATAAAATATATAAAAATTGAAGCTGCAATTCCTTATAAAATTATTGACTAATATATATATTTTTTTAAGATTATAGGACTGTATACCCTTAACATTGAAATATCCTAATAAATATAAGTCCAACCGTTAATGTTTCATATTAGAAAAACTCAATTTATTAAAATAAATTTTTTAACTTAAATTGTTTTAAAAATGTGTACTTTTTTTAATTTCAATGTTTTTTTTTAAAAATCTGTGCACATCATATCGAAACACTTTCTAATAAATAGTTATATAGTTAAATCTGAGTAAGTTGACCACTTGCAGTGAATTTTTTTATTAGTGGTCCACTTAGAAAAAAAGATAAATCTTTTTTTAAAAAAAAAAAAAAAAAAAAAAAAAGCTTTATTTTGTCTAATTTCAATTTTCATGCTATTATAGTCTATATTACCAATCAAAATATTGAAAAATGTACAAAAAAAATATTAGATAGATAAAATTTAAACATGACTTTAGTTTTATTTAGTAAATACTCTATATATCATAAGAAAATGTGATTAGTTAACATAATGAATTACTATTCCTTATTTAAAATTTATATTAAATTGATACCCTTGCAAACAAATATGTATATGCATACTTTAAAACGTGAAGCATGATAATTATTATTAATAATTTCATAAAGTATCGAAGAACAGAAAGTAGTTTATAAACTTAATTTTTGAATATTTATTTTGACTAAAACATTCTGAAATTTATTTTATACTTTTTTTTTTAACCATTTTATGTAAAACTTATTTACAAGTGTGTCCCTATATGATCAACTTACAATGGAATTTAAGCTAGCTTTCAATACTTTGCGGTTGAACCCCTATTATCCGATCAGTAATATGTCGAAAAATCAAATTTGTCAGATAATTGGGGGACCTTTTCAAGTTGATTGTTTAATTGTATAAACATTAATCAAGTGAAATCATTTAAAATAACTAGTGATTATAAGAAGGTTTAAAGAATCTTACATTTGTCTTATTTTTGTTTCAAAAATAAAGTTACAATGTTGTAAAAAAAATTGCTGCTTTTTTTTCTATATTTTTATTGTCTCTTGGAACCTAATTTCTAATTCGTCGTTAGAACTGTAATTGGATTGAAGTGAATACAGCGTTTAGTTACACAAAGTAAAAAAAGAAAGCAACAGTAATTGTGTAATACTTGTTGTGATAATGATATAATGTATGAAGCATGTATCTCATAATACTTGTGTTGGAATACCGGTGATCGAATAATTGGAGTTCTACTGTTTAATAAAATTCTGATCCTTAACATAATAGAATAAAAAATTTGCTTAAGTTTTTTCATTGATCAGATCATGAATTGTGAAAAAAACAATTTAATAAAACTTCTAGATGAATTAGATTTTTTTCAGTGGTAAATATGAAAGACAGACTAGTGATCCTAATAAAAAAAAAATGTCTTTTTTTTTTAAATTCAAAGTCATTTTGGTTTGTTGACTAGGCAGGATTTACTGTATTATAAGTATCTGTATGAAATATCAATTTGTTAAATTTTAATTTTCATGACATACAATGGATTTAAAATTATAATTAGTGAAATAGAAATTTTCAATATGAAGTAGTATGCTTCGATTTTAAATAAAATCAATTCCAAATTAAAATGCTTTTTGGTTTCTACTTTTTAAGAATTTTCTTTTTAGAATTCAAAAATAATGAAATGCGAGAGCTTTTATTTTGAAGGTTCATATTATTTACAAATAAATCATTTGAAAATGATTGCGGTCTTAATTTTTTTTCTTCTGATTTTTGTAATAGCCCTTTTCAGGAAATTATGAATGAATAATGTAAAAAATTTATTTTATATAATTCTCATTTACACGTTCACTAAGCTTCCTCTCTGGAGTAGTGACTATCATCTCAAAGTACTTTTTTTTCTTTAAAAGAAAAAGTCTGTTTTTAAAATAAACAATTAGTCTCAATTATTTTTCCACCAATTACAATTGTACAATTTTATTAATCGCAATTTTAATTAAAAAAAAAGGTTGCAATTGGCTAAATCCAGAGCCGTTTTTAAGGATGGGCCAAGTGGGCCCTGGCCCAGGGCCCCGAGTTCTAATGGGGCCCCCANCATAATTTGATGTTTCTAAGTCTTACAGATTTTGAGCTGCAAAGCAAACTGTATGTCTTACAGGAAATTGATTTTGATGATGTGATAGAAGATTCGCCTCTCAAAAAGCGCGAAAAGTATTGTTACCTTAAATTTTCGATAAAAATAATGTATATAAGTTTTTATAATTAATTTATATGTTTTTAAAAAAAATTAAAAAATTATTCAAAATAAAATTTTTTTCTCTAAATTAACTCATAAAGGGCCCCCAGATAATGACAGGCCCAGGGCCCCTATAAACATAAAAACGGCTCTGGCTAAATCGTTGAAATTCTTAACTATACAAAATATAAAGGTTGGTTCTTTTTTCTGTGATTAAAGCGAATTTTTTAAAAATTATTTAAATGTAAGGCTGATTTCAGAAAAGTTATAATTGGAGGTAAATTCCTGTGGGTTCGGCTGACCATCCAGCCGAAACATCTGCTCCTGAAATCCAGATCCCGAGGTTAAGAAAACTGGGATGGGTATATAAGACCTTGACTCTTCTTGGGCTGTCCTGCCATGTCACGATCAGTGCACTGAGTTTAGGCTTGTTTTGTATAGTATATTTTTTTGGTGAATTCAGAGAATAAACGGGATTTTGATTTCCAAGGCAGTCTCAATAATGAGAGAGAGAGGTGGTTGTTGTTTTTACCAGGCAAATATATTACCATTCAATGTATCAATCGTATCCCTGATTTTTTTTTTCATGCAATGAAGGGCATTTTCGCTGCATTCGATTTATGCACCTTCGATTACAAAATGCCAGCAATTAAGAATGAGAACCTAATTAATGAAATATTTTCCTCACAAAATTCAGCAATCAGGTTCTCTTCTTTTTCCAACGGCGATCGGAGTTGCATGAATTGTAAGCAACGTGAACGGTTCATGAAACGCTTCTTGGAGTATTCTCGCTTCATCCATTTTATTGCACGTTTATGCAAATTGCGCATGCGCAACCAGCATGATGGCATCGCAAGTAGTGAAATTGCTTCTTGAGGTTGAAATTTATTTTTTGATATAGAGGAACTTAAGATAAACAGAAATAATCAATCAAAAGCTTATGAAAACAATCAATCAATCAAATTAGATAAACAAAACAGCCAACAATTTAATTCTTCCAGTAACATTTTAGGTGTCATTTTTTCCCTTCCTTAATTCATCGAAATAAAATATGTTAAACGAATTGAGAGTCGCTGTTGTCTGTTCCAGTAATCAAAATAGAAGTATGGAAGCGCATGCTTTTTTAAGGTAAAAATCTCATACATTTAGTCTTTTGCCTAACATGGCAAAAATTTATGTTGTATTTTTATAAGAACAGCATTTTTACTCCCGAGAAATTCATAAATAAATATTATATTTCAAAAAGTTGTAATGTACTCTTTTAGATATTAATAATATTTCTTATTTTAAGAAAAATTTTGCACAGCCTATATAAATATGTACATATTAGTAATCTGCTTGGTTTTTATTTATAAAACAGATATTACGAAAATTGTTGTTTTAGTTGTGTAATGGGCATTTTTACAAACTAGTAAAACTATATATTAGGTTTCTTGAACTTTGTTTTCTGTTTTGCATGAAAAAAAATAATTTTAAAAAATATTGTTATTCAAAAAGGTACTAAAAAGAAAATTTCTGTGATAAATTATCGCTTCTAAAATTTATTGCACCAAAGTTCAAAATATTTATATTTATTTCAAAATATCTTGATTAATTAAAATTTCAGGTGGTGAAACTGCTTTATTTGCATACAAAAATATAAAGCAGATGTATTAGATTTTGTTAAAAAAATATTATAGTTATCTGAATTTTATGTATCATTGTATTAGTTCTATTTTCTTTCTAAACCAAAGATTTAAAAGTAGAATAGAAAATAAAGCACTCCCACGTTAGGCTTGTCATTGGTCAAGGGAACGAACTAGAGTTTGAAGCTGCACAATTTCATGATCAATAAAGTGAGGCATTGTGCACAAGCTGCCTTTATTTTCTGGTCGATCTATAGTTTTGAAAGAGATTCTAGTCATTTCTGTTAAATTTTAATACCTATAATATTGCCAGTATTGATTTATAGTAGGTTACATAATTGAGCATTGTGATCTAACAGACTTTTATGTTTTATGTAAACATTGTTTTATCGATTCCTTTATTGTTACACTGTTCTGAGAACTTAAACAAAATAAATTTCTGGATAATTTTTTTTTTTGCATTTTGATTTATAAGTCTCAATTTGTTTAATAATTTTTTAAAAAATAAATAAATAAGATATTTGTTTGCATAAAAATACTTAAAATAAAAGTGTTGATTCTTATTTTTCTAACAAACAAGAAGATTGCTTGTTCTTAAATATTTGAATAAAAACAAACTACTTCTAGAATATTTCCATACATTTCATGAGACAATATTTTGTAAAGTTTGATCAATAATATAGGTGTTATTGGTACAGGGTATTTTTTTCCCCTATACAGGTTATTTAAATATGGTTCTGATGTTGTTTTTTGGTACAATAAAGAAAAAAACTTGCATTTAAGAAAAAAAAAATTTTTTTTTAGCAAAAAGGGTTTTAAAGTAAGATCATTTGGCTCTGGAAATCAAGTAAAGCTCCCTGGACCAGCTCCTGATAAGCCAAATGTTTATGATTTCAGTATTTCATATGAACAGATGTATCAAGATCTGCTATCCAAAGATAAAGCCTTGTATCCTTTATTTACATTATTTTTTTATTTTTTAAATTATTATTTTGATAAATTCTTTTATTATGTAATAGATTTCTTATTCATCATTCATGGGGTTTTGTATAACTGTGAAAATAATATGACATATAACTAATTAAACTACCATAAACATAACTCTTATAAGAAAAAAAAGACAAAAGAATATTATAACTTTGCTTGTCTAAATTTGAACTAAAAATTGTACAAATTGCAAATTTTTTCTTTATATAGCTGTAATAAAAAAAGTTGAATGAAGTGTTTCAAAATAATTTACTTTTCATTAAATACCCACATATGGTAATTAGGAAATTTTATTTTGCATTTTGTTCTGTCTGTAGAGGATTCATATTGTTGGATGATTTTATTAATAATATTTTGATTTCATTGGGCTGTACTTCTGGCAAAAATTCTGGCTTAGTTTGTTCAATTTTAGTTGCGACACATGAAAAATAACTGGTTTGTTTTCAAAATTCAAGCTAGTTTGTAGTGGATAAACTAAATCTGCCCTTAAATTTTAACTTAAAGGACATGATATATAAGTCCAAAATCGGCACATTAAGGGATCTTCCATCAACCTACATAGTTGGAATTCAAATCAACTAAAAACTATAATCATAGATTTGAATTTTCATTTGCTAAAATCATTCAACATTGCTCTTCGCCTACTGATCTTGATTCCCGAGAATCATTTCATATTCAGAAACATTCTAATGATTTTTCTAAAAATTCTTTTCTTTCCCAATATTTGGAAACCTATTCTAGTCAAATTTTTTGCTCTCTGGGGCTCGTAGCGTTTTTAAAAAGTGCTTATTTTTGTTTTTTAAAAGCCTTAAAGGTGCTTTTTTCATTGGGTGTTTTTAAAAAGTGCTTAATTTTCCCTTTTCGAAAATTAGATTTTTTCTTTACCATGTCAATTTTCGCCACATATTATGCAAAAGTGTGCTTTTCCCATTGTTCTATTCAACGTTTTCACAATTCATTCAACCACAATTTATGGTGGCGTATCGTCGGTCCATGCGTATGAAAGCTCTAATCATGTTACAGGTTTGAAGAAATACTTGCGGTTCCACATGTGCGTATACTGAGTTGGGTTCGGAGAGATTATTGCACTCTCATGTGCAATCCTGTTTCTTTTTTAAGGTATTCTCAATTTCAGGCTTTATTTCCCCCATTTAATTTTGAATCAAAAAAATCTCTATCTTTTTATGGTAGCTAATATAATCAAGAAAAGGGTTATTTGTCAGAAACTAGTTTTTTTTTTATATCAGGACCATGTAGTCTTTGAGAATTATTTTGCATTTTGTTACAGTATGTAGTGCTTAAAAATATTTTTTGAGTGCTTAAAAAGTACTTAATAGGTGATTATTTTTTTATTGGAAGATTTGGCTACACACCTTGTGCTAAACCCGCTCACTCTTATTCCTTATTTACCATAACTATAATATGTTTATTTCTATAATATGTTTATTTTATTTGTGTTTTTTGTTTTAACTTGTCTACGTTAGAATCCAATTCTCTTTGTCGGGGATGTCATCTAGAAGAAGAGACATCACGACACATACTCTGTGATTGTGAGGTCTATTCTGCTCAAAGATTTGAGCATTTAGGNGTTTTAACTTGTCTACGTTAGAATCCAATTCTCTTTGTCGGGGATGTCATCTAGAAGAAGAGACATCACGACACATACTCTGTGATTGTGAGGTCTATTCTGCTCAGAGATTTGAACATTTAGGGCAGCATATCGTCAATGCCTGGGAACTGCAAGATGTTCCTGTAAGGTGCTTGCTGAATTTTATTTCAGCCATAGGGCTTTCATGATAATCATGATTTTAGGGTTTGGGTACAATAGACCTCTGGTCGATGTGCCCTGCTCGTCAGAGCTGCCCAACCTCTAAGTCTAACTTGTCTACATTTTTTCAGCTTAAGAGAAAATTGCTTGTAATTCTTTTCATATGTTGTTATCATGAGAGGAATGCAAAGGATTCCTTAATGTGTCAAAGATATACTCAAAATGGTCTACTTCACATGTTAGATCGTAATCGAAGAATCAAATCTCATCCTGAAAGATTCCAGCAGTGTTATGACACTTTTGATGTAATTTTCACAGTAGAAGAGAGGGTATATGACCAGGTTGTTGAAGGTATTTTTATGTGCATTTATTTAGCTTTTTTTTTGTTTGTATTTTTGTTAATTCTTAGTTTTTGTTCAAATTTTTTTTTTTACGACAACTTAATACCAATATGGATATATTTCACGGACTTGTAATTAAGCACTCTTGTGGCGTTGTCGATTGAGGCGTCACTCATTTATCTGGTGGAGAGTTGGTGAATGAGTTCGATCCTGGTAGCCAACAATGCAATTGTCGTGTGGTATGCATGCAGCAAGATGCTCATAAAATCTGTCGTGGCTGAAAGTCCTCTTGTTGATTGTAGTGTGAAAGTTTGGAGATCAGCTCAGGAGTTGTCCTAGTCGTCTCCATCAGGGTCAAAATTATGTGCACTCCTACCATGGCCGTTAAAAAGATAGTCTTAAAAATGGGGCTATGGGACTGACCGTGATTTGGTGATGTTTGATTTGTAATTATAATAAACATAGTGTTTATTTGTATGTGTGTACACATATCTTGTTAAAAACGTAAAAATAGTTTTTTTTTAATTTGGAGCTATCAACTTTATATGTAATGACTTTTAAAATTGCTAACTTTTTATTTTTACATTACTTGGAAAAAAAAAGCAGTCCCTTAATAGCTAAATTAAATTGAAAAAAAAATTTTTTTTTTAAATGCTTCCCTGTCTCATTATTAGAATGTTTCTAATTCTAATTATGCATGTTACACATATTGTAACTATGCATCACATTAAAGAATATATTTGACTTAAATTAATTATTTAAGTTAAGTCTTTTGGTAACTATATTTCAGCATGTTTTTACTAACAATCTGTTTTTTAGTTTAATTTTTTAATTAATTTCATTACAATTGCATTGTATATCTCAAATATTATTCAAACTAATAAAATAGACATAGAGTCGTGAACATTATGTTTTATTCTTAAAATTATTGCCTGTAATGCTTTTTGGGTAACTTTCTAACTTTTATTTTCCCATATATGTAATTTCCCGGCATTTTCAGTTAAATACATGCCGAATCTTGAATTTTGATTTCATAACTTAAATATAATCTACACAGAAATTTTTTTTTCTAAGGTTTATTTCTTAAACCATTGAGGTTGGATCTTAGTACATGAAAATCTAATTATTAGATTAAAAGTTATTAAGGTGTTTTGTTTTTCCCACTTTACTAGAAAATTATCAATTCTTATTTCTTGTCAGAAGTATTTAAGAATAGGTTTTAAAATTTTGTACTTCCTTTTGAATATGTTTACGTGACTATTAATTTGTTGAAAAATTTTATTATTATTTTATTCAGAAACAAATGTTTCAAAATTGGAAATTAGAAATCATTTTTTATGTAATTGTTTGTTTATAAAATTTTATTCTTTTTCTACTGCATTTTTTTCAATAAATAATGGTTTATGAAAGCATTTATTTGCTAAAAAATTATTTAAAAACCGTAGAGTGTTAGTTTAGTTATTTTTTAAAACTAATTTTTATTACATGTTTTCTAATTTGCTTTCCTTTTCTGTAATGATGGAATCTTGCAATCGAAATTTGATCCTTTTCTGATTAGCTAGAATGCTCACATTTTAATTTTAGCTCTCTACTTGATGCCAATAAAAATTTCAATTATTTCCTGACAAAATTTATTCTTCTTTTTACCACCAATTTGAATTTATAGTTACTTAAGGTCCCAATAATTTTTCTCTTTAATAAAAAACCCCAAAAATTTTTCTCTTTTTTAGTTCTTTTTCAAGAACTTTTGAAAAAATTTTCATTTCATATTATTTATCATAATTCTAATAGAAATTGTTACTGTATAGTTTTCTGTATCATTAATATTGAGGGTATATGGCATAAAATTTTTTTTAACGTTATTCAAAGGGGGAATACTGCTTGGTTAGGATAATGTTTGTACAAATTTGTTAAATTAGAAGAATTATTAATAGTTTAATTTAAAATATTCAATTTATATTTCAAATAATCTGCTTCATTTTTTATGAAGTAATACCTATCATATTTATCTTAATGGCACTCTAATTAGTGTTTATAAAATATTAATTTATTTTATTTATTATTATTTTTAGAATTAGCCAATAGGCCGCAGAAAGAAATTGCAGTTGTTCACATCGTTAACATTGATGTTCAGGACAATCATGAAGAAGCTACAATTGGTGCTTTCCTAATTTGTGAAATGGCCACAATGGTATGGGATGTTTTATTGTTTAGTTTTAAACTTTCATAAAACTATGGGAAGTATACTTCCTGTCAACTTCATTGGTTTTTAAATATTGATGGGAAGCTAAGACACTTCTTTCCCACCTTGGTATTTCCACATCAAGTCAACTAATAGTAAAAAAAAAAATTCATGGTCAATTATTGAGAATTTTTTTTTGTATTTTTGTTAAACCCACTTGTGACATGAAAAATATTGAGTTTAACATTTTTTGCAATTTCAAAATTTTCAAACATTTATTAACCTGGGAACTTTTTGATCCTAAAGAGACAAATTTTGTATAATTTTGTTTTGAATCTAATGAGATTTTATAAAATATACAACTTTGCTAAATCATTTCCTAAAATAATTTTTTTACAAAAATTTAATTTTAAAAATCTCAAAATCGAAATTTTAATTGTTAAAGAAAAGAACTTCCTTAGTAAGCTTTTTTTTGTTTTTGGCAATGTTAGTGCCAAATTTCACGATGGTAATCTTGGGATCATAATGAAAAAATAATTTGCTGTTTAACATTGACATAAATATTAAAGTAAAAAAAAAATTTCATTTTCGCTATACTTTAACTACTAATTAAACTAAATTTGTTAACATATATGCTGAAGAGCCAAAAAAACTGGTATACCTGCCTAATATCGTGTAGGCCCCCGCGAGCACGCAGAAGTGCCGCAACGAGCAGGGCATGGATTTGATCAATGTGTGAAGTAGTGCTGGAGATAATTGACACCGTGAATCCTGCAGGGCTGTCCATAAACCAGTGGGAGTAAGAGGGAGTGGGAATATCTTCTGAACACATTGATCGAATCCATTGCGGCACTTCTGCGTGCTCACGGAGGGCCTTACACGATATTAGGCAGGTATACCAGTTTTTTTGGCGCTTCAGTGTATTATTCATTTTATGAAACAGCTCTTATTAACACAAAAAAATTTTTATTTCAAAGATTAATTATAAATGTAAAAAAATGTAAAAATCAAAAAAGAAAAAAAAAATCTTATATTAATTCTGAAAGAAAAATAAAAAAAGAAGCATTTTATTCAACTCCTTCTTAGCAGCTTTTGTGTCTAATTTCATGATTGTGTTTATATAATATCATAAACAAAAATAAGTATACTCTCTGTTTCAATATTATCACGAATTTAAAAAAAAATTATTCAAAACATGCTTAAAATATTCAGTTCTAATGCAGGCATTTCTGCTTTTTATGTAAAATTTGTTTTGCTCTAGCCCTCTCCTCTTTTGGAACTTGATACTACTATTTTGATAAAATGCAATTTATATAAAATAAAGTTGTCTTCCTTGAATAAGTAAAAGAAGGTAATGCTCCATTTGGATGAAGTAAAAAAATTTGATTTCTTCTTTTGCCTGTTCTTTAGAAAGGACATATGCCAGCTACCACTTATTGCCATATTCACAAGCAACTTACCTAGCAATTTCTTGAAAAGAAACGTCTTCAAAGGAGAATTAACATGAACTTTCTGAGTTTCAGTATAGTCTAAAAAAGAATAAATTTTAATTTGAATTTGGTAGTTAGGAAGATGAATGCATGAAACTTTTGAATGCCAGCAATGGACACAGCTTTCGCAAATCAGAATTTTAAAAACTTCTCTTCCACTATCTATTCTTGATTAGACATTTAAAAAAAGTGATGGATGGTAGATTTTTTGTGCCCTATTGTAAAGGTTGATATTTAATGTTAATATCTGGTTTTCCAAGAAATTTTTAAGACTGCAATCCTTTTTATGATGCCACCTTTACCATCACAAACACCTTTTTCATGTGCAGTGGTGAAAAAATGCCACTCAGACTCAATTTCATAAAAATCCTCTTTGTAGTGACAAAGATTTATGAATGATTTGCTGTTTTTGTACTGCAATATAGATGCATCTGAAAAGTAATATTTCTTCAAATAAGACAACACAACTCAAATACTCTAATGTATTTTTCTGAAAATCATGCATTAAAACATTATTGTGTGTTGTACAATCTGAGATGAATGTAATGTTTTCCTGTACCAAAATCTACTTTCTTGTCTCTTTGTCTTTGTAATACAAAGAAATATACGTACCGTAGCCATCGAGTTGATCCAATGGAAACCTTGAACTTCATCTTCTAAAGCAAAAGAATAATTTTTAGCCAAGTTGCGTGTTACTGCAGCTTAATTTTTTTTTTTAACATATCCCTTTAATCAGAAAACTAGTGGGGCTGTTTAGCTATAAAATAATGTCCTTTTAGTTGCACCAACTGGTTGCATTATTCTTCAACAGGTTTCATGATTGTTTCAAAAGTACAACAATCAACAGTAGCCCATTATTTATAAGTTATATTTTCCACCGTTTCCTATTCAAAATATGTCAGTAAAGCTTCTTTTAAAAGTCAATTTTGTCAAACTTCTTTTAAAAGTCAGGTTTGAAAACTTTACTGTTTTCATTTAAAAAAACATGAGTGAGTTAGTGGATTGCACATAATTTTTTCTGTACTTTCTTGGTAAGTTTTAAATGGATTTTCTGCTTGGGATAGCATAATCTTCTAAAAGTTACCTTTAGTTATCATCAGCTTATTATTATTTGTGTGTTTTGCTGGCACAGGCAGAATGAGTGCTACTAGCAACAGCAATGCAGTTTTTAGGCCTCAGCTCTGAAAATTTTTAGAAACCAATTTTTAAATTGGCAAATTTTAATTAAAAATGTCTATAAACATCCTGCAAGTTTTCCAAAATAAGTCTATTTTGTATGCTTATATATTGTTGCTTTGCTTGATTATAAGCAAATCTTAAGAATATAAGTTCTTCATTTTTGTATGAAAAATACTACGAAGTTGATAAAAATATTTGGTGATTATGCTTTAATACTGAAGCAGACTAATTTCAGAGGGCTGAGCATAAAAGTATTCATATACATATAGGTTGAACATTTTTAAAATATTAACATGGTGCGTAATATTTTAAAAAAGTGTTTAAAGGTGCTTATTTTCGTTTTTTAAAAGCTCTTAAAGGTGTTTTTTTCATTGGGTGTTTTTAAAAAGTGCTTAATTTTTCCTTTTTCAATATGAGATTTTCCCTTTAGCATGTTGATTTTCGCTTCAAATTATGCAAAAAGACACAGTTCTCATTGTTCTACTCAACGTTTTCACAGTTAATTCAACCCCAATCTGTTTCGCTGTATTGTCAGTCCATAGCGTATGAAAATGCAATTCGTTTTACATTATTCAAAATTTCAAAACAATGATTCAGAAACAATGCCAAATGTTTTTTTTTTTTTTGACATGATGGTTAAAGCAAGATAAAACCGTCAATTGTCAAAAAATTTCCAAACCTGCTTAATTATGATATTTTTTAAGTGCTTGAAAATATTTTTTGAGTGCTTGAAAAGTATTTAAAAGGTGCTTATTTTTTGTTGAATAATTTGGCTACGCATCCTGATTAAGACTAATCTCAGTAACTTACTAAAAAGTGGAAGGGAAAACTGTGATAGATAATGTTGCATTTTTTTTACATTATACCAGAGTAACAGGCTGAGAAACGATTGCGACAATAAGATCCTAATAGAGAATACTACTGAGACAAGCCTTTGCTAATAGCAGGCAGAATTGCTAAGGAAGAAAAAGAATAAATATTTAAATTTTTTTGTTGTTGTTATTATTATTNCTGAGAAACGATTGCGACAATAAGATCCTAATAGAGAATAATACTGAGACAAGCCTTTGCTAATAGCAGGCAGAATTGCTAAGGAAGAAAAAGAATAAATATTTTAATTTTGTTGTTGTTGTTATTATTATTCTTTTCAGCCATTGAAATGTTCTTTTCGAATTTAATATATTTTAAAACTTTTCTCCTTATAATGTATTATTTAATTATTCTCAATTAAATAGTCCTCTGTCAGTTAAATAGTTTTCAGAACTTTTCCAGACAATCAATTCTTCTCTCCTGGTCTACGACTTTCATGGGTACCTCACGGTTTAGCTAAGAACATCTTTTTAATAACTTAATTATAATCCAATCTTATTAAATTTACTGAAAGAGTTTTGTAACTTTTGTTCACATAATGTATTATTATTCTGAATTAAGTCTGTTAGTCTTATAATAGTTTCTGGATTTTTTACAGTTAATCAGTCTTCCTGGTATCCTTTTTTTCTAAAACCAGACAGTTTAGCAAAGAAGATCTTTTAAGTGACTCAATTATAATACAATCTTATTGAGCGTTCTACCCATTTAATCCATTATAATGCTATAATAGTAGTGATATCTGGTTCTTTATATAGTTCGTAAATTTCTCAAGTCTTCAATGATTATTACACTTTTTCCCTTCTAAATATGCTTCTTAAAATTCTTCTTTCAAATATAGCGAAATTCTTATTTCGTTCAGTCTTTTCAGTTTTATAATCAAAGCTTTGTAACTCTCTTAAAGTTAAATTGTTTGAAATTTATTATTTTTTTCTTCTTGCAGATGGCAGAATCTGAAGATTTGGATAATGATATTGATGAACTACTTCAAGAATTTGAAGCTAAAGCGCAAAGGCCTATATTACATACAATACGTTTCTATTAAAAATAAAATGAATTCACCTAAACGTTCTTTTAGTATAAAAAATACTTTGATTATTTCATATGAGTTATGATTATGGCCTGGAAGGCTTTATACAAAGAAACATTGTCATTGTAATATATGTCATAAAATAAATCATTTTCAATCTTGATACTGTACATATGAAGTAAAATCACTAGTTCATCCAATTGATGATTTTTACAACATTTTTACATGCATCATACATTGAAAGTAACCTACTAACTTGGAAAAATAAATGCATTTATATTCATTATTTACTCTACTAGGAAGTAATGTTCCTAGTATGTCTACTAGGAATTTAATGCCATTGCTCATATACAACTTGTATTTTTTTAAATAAATATATTATTTATTGTTTCATAACTTGTTTTTTTTTTGCTATAAATTCTTTATTTCTTCAAGAATTTTGAGATAATATATGCAGGCATGATATAGCAAAAAGAGGGGAAAAAGAAAGAAGAAAAGTCAAGGAAAGAATGCATTTGAAAAAAATTTCGACTATTTTAAGTGTAGCAAATTAATTGACTGACAATGTTTTTGTTTAAATGTTACTTCACTGGATTAAAAGCATTAAATTTAATATTTATTAATAGTTATGTAACTTTATTACTAAGTAATTTATTGCAGCTTTTTTTTTTTACTTCAGCTTTTTGCATATTATGTTGATCTTTAAATGAACTTTTTAGTTATATTTAATTGATCACTAAATTGGTAAATGTGGCTTAAAATAATTGAATGAAATTAATATAAAGTTTTAATTTAATAAAATTTAATTACCAAATGAAATTAAGTTTTTAATATGAATATTTAAGACTTTTCTAAAACTGATTGTTTAAGTTCACAGTTTAATTTACAAAACTTTAAAAAAAAATAAATTTGTGAAAGATTGTGAGACAGTTTTGTGATTTTGTAAATAAGCCACATTTAGAAATCGAAATTGCAATCACCTAATCTCAATCTTTATCAATCAATGGATTTAAAGTTGTTTTGATTTAGTGTTTACATTTTGAGAAGGTGTATAGTTTGTCTACCATAAGAACTCGCCCCCAGTCACAAAGTCAGGGGCGGGGGGGGGGGAGTGTGGTATGGAAACAAGAATAGCCCATTTCAGGGAGGGTGGCTTCTCTTCATTCTAGGGCTAACACAAGAGACTGAAGAAAAAGATTCCCTCTCACAGACAGGATCCAAAACTTGTCCTAAACAATGACCTCACACCCCTACTTGAAAAAGTTATACTTCATTACCATAGTCACGGGTCCAGACGAATGGCTAAGGGAGTTCTTACTTTAGACAAACTGTAGTTTGAGCGTTTTGTGAAACACTTTAGACTGTGCTGTCATTTATCAAAATCTTGAAAGTATAGCAGAAAATGATTTTTAAAATTAAAACTAAGGAATATAATGAAAAAGACTAAAATTATGAATCCAAGGACGAAATTCATACCAGCATAATTTATAGCAACAAAATTTCTTGGTAAACAAGATTTACAATTGCTTATTTGTAAATTGTAGAACTTAGATCTTTTTTTAAATTGACTTTAATAGCTTTATAATATTTTAGATTTTAAATACTTGTTATAAACATTAAATTTTTAGTGTGTATCTAGTAAAAATAATAATTATTTGCCTGACCTAAAAAAATTTCTCTTAAATTTTAAATGATCTTATTTAGAAAAAAAAATAAATTCAGAATCAAAATATCACATTTATTTTGCAAATTTTATTGTAAATAAAGAAAATGTTTCAGATAGTAAATATTCAGATTAATTAAAATATATCATACTTCATGTCATGGAGATTCTATAATTGCTATTCAGAAGTATTTTACTGTATCTGAAACAGTAATTTTGCTTAGATTATTCCCCCCTGCTGATTATACATTTGATTACTTAAATCCAGGATATTTTAAAATGTATGCAGGTTCTATTTTTTCATTGGAGTATTATTCGGTTGTTTAACAGCTAATTCCAGATTTTATTTTTAGTATTTTTTCCCTATTTTAACATTTGATTGTTGCCTTTGGGTAGATTTCAGTTTTTTGTTTTATTATTTTTCTTTATTAAATCCTTTTCTCCTTTGAAAAATTATTTAGGTGTTTCATATTTTGAGATGACTTATTAATGGATAAGTAAAATAAAAATACTGTTTGAATTAAATCAAGTGGCATTGTGATATTATTAATCCAAACTTCAAAGGTGACAGGTTTAAAGACTTAAGAGGGGAGAGCATACTGCCAAGTCTCCTGTTTTTTAACGAAGACTCCTGTATTTTTCGAATTTGTTGAAGAAATTAAAGAAAAAAAAAATGGTTATTAAATATCTATTAATGGCAAAAAATATTTCTCTTATTCCTCAACAGATGGTGCGATTGCCAGTACTGCAGTGTGTTGAGTGTTAATTATTTAAGTCTAGCCAAGATGGCTCAGAGGATTGAGCATTTGCTTTCCAGTGAGGGAAACCCAGGTTCAAATCCCAGCGATTACTGGTCAATACGAATACCGCACCGACCACAGTGCTGAAGTAAAATATCCTTAGTGGTAGACGGATCACGGGTTTAAGTCCCCTTGTCATTAGGCTAACTGTGTGAGGTATTTGTGGTTTTCCTCTCCATGTAACTCAAATACTGGTTATTTCCATTAAAAAGTCCTCCACAGAGGCGAATTTCTCCCAATACTTGATCCAGTACTTCCCTTGTCTTTAGATTGGGTTAAAAATTACAAGGCTACTGAGTTGAACATCAGTAGTCCTATACTCAAAATTGGGTCGGTAAGTAAAATTTCCGTCATTTTATTTCTTCAATGTTAGCAGGTATGAGAGTCCCTGATCTAGACATTTGAAAAAACCCTAAATTTTCCCAGTGGTGCTAAGACATTTCCAATCAATGTATCAATTGTAAAGCAGAAGCCACTTCAAACATCTGATTAACTGTGTTAAGTGGATACCAGGGACTAATATAGATACCTTCTGAAAAGGAATATAATCTGTCTATAGAAAGAATTCCCATTGCCACAAAGTCTAAGATCATCTGCTGGAAACACGAAATAGCACATTTGCAAAAGAGGTGCTTCTTTCTACCTGATTCCTTTTCTCTTTTCGACCCATGCCAAAATTGGTCTTAAATACTGATAGAACACCCCCATTTGAAATAGTTAAACCTCATAACTATTTTCACCAGCAATGCTCTACTAGAGGAATGGCGAGGGGAGATCTATGCATAAACAGATGTTTTGGTGGTATTTTAGGTGAATGAACTCATGGATCTGATTCAGATCAGAGTGTTTGAGCATTATCATCATTAGTGACTTTAAAAAACAAACCATACTCTTATTGTGGCTTACATTTAGTTGCTTCTTCCAGTTAAACATAGTCTGTCTAAGCTAAGAACTCCTCTCGCCACAAAGTCTGAGGCTGTCTGGTGCTATGGAAACAAGAATGGCGCATTTTAGGGAGGGTAGCTTCACTCTCGGACTAACACAATAGACCGAAGACTCACTGGCTAAGCGGAAACTCCAAAACAGTGACCCGCACTCCTACTTGAAATAGTCATACCTCGTTTCCATAGTCACCGCCACTGGTCCAGACGAATGTCTGGAGGGGTTCTTATATTAGACCAACTATAGACCTCTTCTTTTATCAGGCATCAGTTAAAAATGTTTTCATGTTCAATACGAGAGAAAATGTTTAATATAAACTATTGTGTACATTAGGATTTTTAAGCTAACTCATAGTCATTTTGAATTATCTTTAAAAAAAGTAGCTTTGCACTGAATTGTCAAGCAACTTAATGAAAAGTTACTAAACAGTGTAGTAATTATGTAGAAAACATTTCTAATTTTGCTCAATATATTTTAATCTCTTCTGTTTGTTGCATATCAAATTTAATTCAAAAAGATTTGGCGATAACTACAAAATTACTTTGAATTCCAAAATATTTACATTATTTCAGCACTGTTTATAAATTATCAATGTGAGACATAGGATATCATGGTTCATGCACAAAAGAAAAAAATAATAATTCAAGGTCTTTTCAAGGGAAAACAAATAAAACTTCAAGGATAACAATTGATTGCTGCTGAATTGTTTTAGACCTGAAATCTGTATCTTGATTTTTAATTTGGGTATCATTTAATCTTTAACGTGTTTGTTTTAAAAATATAATTAATATTGTTTTCTTTTTTAACAGTAAAATATCATTTTAAAATAAACAGAATATTTAAAGCAATTTAGAGGTTTGTGGCGGAATATTTTTATTACTTTGACAATATATATAAAAAAAAAAACTGTGTTCTGAAGGGTGATTTTGTAACAGTAAACAGAAATGAACAAAATTCAGCGACTTTATAACAAAAGTAATGACTTTAATGCTATTTTTTAATTTGAGAATTGGAGTAAGGGTAAATGACAAATGTTATTTTAACAAAAATTATTAGAACAGCTTGATTTTTTAGTTGAATTTTATGCATTTAAAGTCTGCAGGACATTCTTAAATGGTGGAATTATGCAAAAGGAAATACAATTTACATATTTTTTACGTTGCATGCACTTGACTGATGATGGCAAATGATGATTGGACAAATGATGATTGATTTCCATATTATAATCCATTTACCATTTATAATCCATTAATCCAATTAATAAAGTTTTGTTTCATTTTTTTAAATGTTTTATTGTAGTGTTCTTTAAAAAAACGCCTTCATTAGATCACTAAGATTTAAATATAATAATGAGTTGTATTGAAATTTATATTGTCTTGTTAAGTTGCAGGTGGAAAAACTTGCAAATTTTCTTTTAGTATAGAGCTTAAATTTTATGGAGAGGCTGCAAGCAAATCAGGTTTGTACATGAAGTTCGTACATAAAATATTATCAAGACATTCTTTAGACTTGACACAAAATTTTTAAAATAAAATTTTATTTACCATTTACATAACATGAACCAGAAAAATTGTGATATAAATATTATCAACATATGGAAACATTTATCACATGAAACATTCATTATTTATATTCTGGCTCGAAAAACACTTAAAAAAAATTTGCACATTTACTTACAACAATTCAATTTATGAATTAGTAAAAAAAACTTTTAAGTAGATCTGAAAGATGAAAAATCACTGTCAAATTTGGAATGACTATAGCACTTTATTGCCACAATAAGTACTGAAAGACCAATAAAATCACAAAAATAGTATCAAGTTGCATAGTACTTGTTCGAAAAAGGTAACTGTTTTTAGTTTTTTTTTAAAAAAGGAAAATAGTATTTATTCAGTTATTTGGGGTTAATATTAAATTTCATGAAACGAACTAGAAAAAGTGCTTTAAAAAAAATCCTTTTAAATAATTTTCGAAAAATTTGTTAATTTTTAGGTTGTTATGTAAAAAAGAAGAAAAACTTTAACATCTAAAAAATAAATACAATGTAATTGTATTTGTTGAATATAAAAAAAAAATGAATTCAAACAATATTAAACTAATATTATTTGTACTTTTTCTTTCGATTTTTTTAAAAATTGTTAATGAGTAAGTTATAAAAGTTATATTATCATCTCCAAAATAATTTATATATACTGCTATTAATAAAATTTAAAAGACATCAACAAAAAAGTCATGAGAAATGATGTTATGATAAATTAATTTTAAAATTTCATTAAATCCTAAAAATATTCGCTATGTTTAATTTAGTATGCATTTGGGTTTTCAGAATAATTAGGCAATGCAAATTTTCATGCTTACAAATTAGACCATTTTTGAAGATGTTGGTGATGTAGCATGAATAATAAATGGTATTTAATTTATATTCATTGATTTGCCCGATAAAATGAAAACTTAAAATTTCCAAATGATTTTGCCAGTTACCTTTTTTTCCCCTTCTCAAGCAATACATATACCTTCAGTTTCATTCAATGAATTTGTTAGATATTTAGACAATTTAAGAAATATTTGTAAAATTTTGTAACTCTTTGGGCTTTAATAATTATACAGGTAGGTTACGATCATAACGGTGGCTCAAAAAGATATATAATTTGCCTCCGAGATTAAAAAAGAAAGAAAAGAAATCAACAAATCAAATGAGTCATTTAACAATTACAATATATTTCAAAATAATAATAAAAGCATGATTTTATAATGAATATTCTATAATCATCCTAAGCTAAAAAAAACTTAATCGGAAAACAAAATATGCAGATGAAATAAATAACTTTATTTTGGAAGGAAAGGAAGATGAATTCATGATGGTGAAGTGAAAAAAAATTAAACAAATAAGAAAATAAACAACAAATGATTGTTAGTTATTCCCTAAAAATGCCCTTCAGAATGACGTGAAAAATATAAATAATACCCAATTTTTCAGTGACCTTAGAATGTGACTAAATGATAAGATAAAATAAGATAATAAAAGACCAATGTAAGATAATTAGATTTATTTAACTTGAAAATTTATAATATATTTTTTTTTCATTAAACAATCGTATCCTTGCGGTCAAAAGATGTCCGTAACTGAAATTAGTATCATAAAAAAACAGAAATTAATAANGATAAAATAAGATAATAAAAGACCAATGTAAGATAATTAGATTTATTTAACTTGAAAATTTATAATATATTTTTTTTTCATTAAACAATCGTATCCTTGCGGTCAAAAGATGTCTACGCCTCTCCTCCAAAGGAAGTAACTGAAATTAGTATCATAAAAAAACTGAAATTAATAACTGGAGCATTAATAAGTATTAACTGAAATTAGTTTTATAATGAAGCATTTGGCTTGTATGAACTCTTGTACTTTTCAATAAATATACAGTGAGTAAACTAGCTCTTACTTATCAAATTAATTTTTTTACTTATCAATTAGTACAAATTAATTTCTTACTTATGTTAATGCCTATTTCATAACAAAAAAAAAAGAAAATTTTTTTAATTTTTCTTTTTGGATAGTTTATTATCTTATTCTCCCTTAAACTAATTAAAAAGAAAAAATTGTAAGTGTACACCCGCTCAGATTTTGAGTCAGCTGCCAAAAATAACAAGAAAAAAATACACATTAAAAACACAGCTCATTATGTTACAGTAAAGTTTTTACAAAGTATGAAAGTTTTGAACACTAACAGAAAGAATATTTGGAAGGAGGTTGCTATCTTCTCTCTGAACAAACACCATCCTTGCAAGCTTGGCAGAGCTCGCTGTTATGAGGTGTTCTTGGTTTACCAGCTCGTCTTGCTCTGTGGTAAGGTGCTTGTTGAAATCCATAATATACTTGTCCTACTCTATTGTATATATTAACCAAAACCTAGAGGAAAGAATTAATTGGTTTAAAAAGCTGGATAAAAATTAAGCAAATGGAGATTTCACAATTTTTGTGAGCAGTGGTATGATGATGTCAAAGAGATCAGCAGCATTGGGACAGCTTGCTTTTACTTTCTGGACCATTGATTTTTTAGACTGTTTTTCAAAGGCTTTTTGACAAGAAAAATGTCGCCAAAATGGCGATTTTTAAAAAGTTTTAAAATATTTAAAATTAAATAATTTTATGGCATACTACTCAAATAAGCTAAAGATATAATTGCTCACAGTGTTCTTTACTTTTAAAACTATACTGATTACATAAAAATTCTCAATTTTTTTAATATTTACGTTATACCAAACTTCTAAAATATTTAAGTTATTTGTCAGTTCTGAAGCCCAGATAATTCTTCACTGCAAGATTACGTATATAGTTTAAAATCATCGCATTGCTTCAGGTGTAAGGCACTTCAACGATGGCTTTTTTTAGTTTCTTTGGCGACAGAGCTTCGAAAAACAGCGTTAAGAGGACGTCACACCGAGAGAAATTTACCTCCAGAATTATTCTCTTTCACTTCCATAACTAATTTAATATATAGAAAACGTGAGTTCAGACAAACAATGTAACAATGAAGTTTCAAATGTTGAAAAAAATTTGAAAACATTAAAATTTAGACAAATTGTTGGAAAAGTTCCTTACTGCGTAATCCTAAGTTATCTTCTCTTAATTAATTTTCATTTTGATATTTTGAAAATTTCTTCTTAGTATTTATAACTTCATGGTTTACTTTAGGTTTGTTTGAACTCACCTTTTCTATACTTTAAATTTTAAATTTCTTATGGAGGTGAAACAGAATTTGCGATGAAAAGTTTCTCCAGTGGTATAGCGTCTTAGCAATCAAGTGCAAACTTGATCCCTGGCTTGTCTCAAATACAGATTATTTTTTTTCCTTATACTTAACAGTATAGCTGAATGCTACAAATAATGAGCATTGATCTAAAAAAGAATTTTTGAAAACATCTCTATAAGCAGGGAGGGGGAATGTTCTTTGTCTTCGATTGTTATTGAATTGAGTATTCTTAAGAGCAAGCTTTTTTAACCTAGTCTTACGACCGGAGTATGTTTGGTCGGTCACATACTAAAAAAAAAAGTAGTAATACCTACTTCAAGAACGCCACGTTTGGAAATTTTCACTACCCATACTCCTGACTAGGACTGGACGATGTTGAGATTTTGGCATCGCGATGTATCGTTACGCTAACATCGTGATATTTTGATGCATCATGATGTCTCGGTACATTTATGTTTTATCTTTAGTACTGCGTAAATTCGCAATTAGTAAGTAGTATTTAAAAAAAAATATTGCATTTTTTTAAAATTATTTTTCAATATTTAAAGACGTGGATGTCTGCAAAATAGCAATTAAAAAACATGAAACGGCTGGGTTGATTGTAAAAAAATCAACAGGATTCGCACGAACACAATTTTAAAAAAAATCCCTTCCATAAGAGATTTAACAATACTTCGATTCTCAATCGCATTCAGATTCATCACGCGCGAGCTTGCAGGTATCGATGTGCTATCAGAAACAAGGATCAATATCGTGCGTGCAAACATCGGATGTCAACGATACATCGGGAAATATCGTACACATCTCTGTAAATCACAATTTCCGATGCTTCGAAAAATTGACAATCCGAACATCGGATCGGCTGTGATTGCATAGAATCGATATTTTCCGATACATCGATTTATCGTCCAGTCCTACTTCTGACTCCGGAAGAGAGGACACTTAGTTATAGAGAGGACGTAAATTAAATTAAACATAAAATAATTCTATGGAAAACTTGATCAGTTGCCATCGATGAGAATTATAAACATTTCACTATTAAGACATACCTTCAAAACTTCTTCTGGATACCACATGGCTGCTTCATAATTCCCACTTTTGCAGCGATCGCACTGTTGACCATAAAGCTTGAGGCAAACTACACCTTCTCCAGTGGCTGGATTGAGTACAAACCAAAAAGCCACGCGTCCTTTCATAGATGTCCAACCGTGTCCGCATTCCTGTGAATAGCAAATAACATAAATTTTTTTCTCTTGCTTAGATAATATCATAGAATTGCAGAAGGGGTTTATGAGAAAATTACCTCGCAGCAAAATCGCACTTTGGCTGAATCCACGTTGGAGTTCCATATGCCGTCAGGTTTTGCGAGGACAGGTAACAGAAGCCATGAATGAGGTATGTACTGTGAAAATAAGGACTTGAATTCATACTGCCATACTTGTTCCATGCCACTGGAATAAGAAAATCAATTGATTAGATAATTAGTTTTCCATGCTAACGTTTTACAGACAATAGTTAAATTTCAAAACTTGGGTCATATATTACCCTTGAATTGCTAATGCTCGCCAACATTTTCTAGCCAATAAATTATCGGAGGATTTTTGAGAGAAAAAAAAAATGGGCTTGTCCACAGTTTCATACCATTGTATACTGTTTCACTAAGTGCAGGAACAGGTCATGAATGTTGCAGACATGTTTTTGCACTAGAGCATTGAACATTGGTATTGTATATAAAGAAATGGTAAGAAACCAAATATGACATAGCAATGACAAATGAGCGAGGATTTTAAAAGAGAATAAATTAAAAGATTAGAGGAAGAATCCAAGCCAAAGACTGGGGTGAGAGGGCATTTAGAAGTGCTATGCGACAACCAGTGTGAAGAGCCTAAGTAATTCCTTACTTAAAGAGATAGCCAAAGTTTTGATTATCTTCATTTATGCATCAAATTTTTGTTCAAACATTTAAAGTACAACAAATTAAAGTAATTGAGAGACTTGGGTCCTAGAACTATCAAAACATCAGAGGGAGGGGATCGAAAAATATTTTCTTTAAGCCTAACTCTGCTTTAAGTTTCTGATCTATTCACAACTTTTTTTCAAAATATTGAAGTGAGGTTATGTTGCTTTGCCAATTTTGTTTGCGGCAACGGGTTCACAATTTGTAGTAAACTGTTATTTCTTATTAAAAGAATACTAATAAACAAGGCGAGAAAATTGAAAAATACGTAAAAAAATATCATATAAATCCGATACTGCAACTAAACAATTTTAATACCAAAAAAAAGAAAAATCGAAAAATGTAACTGTTGGGCAAAATGAAAAATTTTACCTTTAATGAAAATATATATGGTAAAAATCTGAAAAGATTAAAATAGATATTCATATGTTAGGTATATAATTATATTTTAAATAATTTTAAAATTGTCTAAAATTTGAGCAAGAAGAAAGAAATTATCTACGTTTTAATAAAAATTAATCAGGGCACATTTTTTATTAAATTGTGAACACGAGTAAGTTTTTTTTAAGTAAGTTCTAGTTTTTTTTAAGTAATACGAATCAAAGTGTGATTTTAAAACATGGGAATGTAATTTCAAATTGCGTTAACATAGCATGAAAAACGGATATTTTTTTCTGGGATTTAAAAAAGCGGAACCTTTTTTGAAAATGACGATTTTTCTTTTTATTTAGTTGGAAAAAAAAGCAGAAAAAACTCATCCCTGTTTTTTTTTTTTTTTTTTTTTTTTTTTTTTTTTTTTTTTTTTTTTNTATTTTTTTTTTTAATTACATAACATCGATACGGTGAATGTGCATATCGTGCCCAATGAATATTTACGACACCCTAACATTTCTTCACTTCGGTTTGTTAAACTTGATGTCTGTTTTTTGATGTAAAAAAAAAATCAATCAATATCGTTTTCGTAACTGTCGTCTAACGGTAAAACATCGTTTTCTCACCATCTGTTTCATTTTACGGTAGTAATGATATTAGAAGAAGAGAAACGCTCTATCATCCTTGGAGATTTTATTGTTTTATTTTCATTTTTATATCCCTGCTGTGTTCTGATTCACTTTTACAGATCCTTTTGATAAAAGAAATAACACATCTCTTCCTCTACTGTTTCGATATTTTTTTGTTTTTGTTTCAGTCTAATGAGTTTATGTGTGTGTCGCATTTAAAGTCTAGTGAAGGATTTCACAGCCATTTTGTTTTTATGTTTATTGTGACAGCTTATGCACCTAAAACAATGTCGACCTATTTGTGTTAAAATATAAAATAAAAAGAATTCGATTTTTTTTTACGAAAAAATAATCATAATTATTATATTAATAACATTCATTATTATACTAGCTGAGGTAAAAAAAATGGTAAATGTTTACTGCACAAAATATGCATGATGCAGTACAGCAATGCTTAAAATTGAAAGATGTATATCGATGCAATTAAAAAAAAATCATATAATAATAATATTAATAATTAGTTTGGCCTTGCCATTCTCGCAGGCTTTACATTGTTCGAGTAGGCCTAAAACACTTTTAGAAGTTCACCATATTAAAACGACAAATTACCTATATTCGAACTACATCAAAAATATTTCTGGTGTATTGGCCTCTTTTTTCATGTTTTAATTACTGTTTATTACCGTTAAATTACGGTTTATTTACATTATTTATAATTATACAGGTAGAAACACGCTTCCCAAGCGCTACGCTTAAAAAATATTTGAAAACCTGCTTTCAAATCGCTTTTAAAAATTTTTTAAATTGAAGACGTCGATTCTACGTGTCATCCACGTTGAATCTATTTGTGCTCACCTCGTATAAAGGATTTGATACCTGCAGGTGAAGTCAGTGAGATTCGACACACACGCGTGACGTCATTTAGAGGTATCGAATTTAGCTAATTTAAGAGACATGATTAGGCGTAATCACTCCACTTCTTCTCGAGTTGCAAGTACCCTATTAAAGGTATATAGTAATTGAAGAACGTGCTGTACTCCAAACTTTTTTGAAATTCATTAATACATTTTTCATTAAGTAGAACTGTAAGTCAGTAAACATATATGGTGCTCTCTTTCAAATAATTGGAAGGGGAAAAAAAGAGATTCGTCTGCTGCAGCTAAAATTGTATCAATGTTTAATGCTACTCATAAGCATAAAGTCGGTTTCCAAGCACCCTCTTCCTGGACGGGATAAAATTTGTTTCTTAGGGGCTTATATTATCGGTGATCAAGGTTCAGTAATTTGTTCTGAAATTTTAAAGAGAAACGTTAAGACCAACTTTTTCTTATTATTAAGGCCTTTATTTTATTCAAAAAAAAAGTTTAGAATTATTTTATTTTTAATTATTATACTCGAATAAAGATATTTCTTTTTATTTTAAGTAATCAAAATATATTTTTATTTTAAGTGATTAAGTAAGTGGTTACTGTTACGTATATTATGTTATATTACTACAGTGGTTCCCAAATGGTGTTCCGCGGAACTTTGAGGTTATTAACTTACGGCACTTTTTGTAAAGAAAATGCAATATTTCTAATAATATATTGAAAAAATTATGAAAAGAACAAGCATTTTTAAAATGTTCTAGCCTTGTTTTGGAATTTGATACAATACTTTCTTCTGATTTAAAACAATTTCGAGTTCAAAAATAATTCATGCAGTTTTTTGCGGAGGAAGGTGGACATTTTGTACTACACATTGTAGTTTAATTTTTCGACTTGTATGTTCTGTAAAATGAAACCTAATTTTCTGTAAAATAAAACCTAATTTAAATTAATTTCTTTAACAAAATTTTAAAAAAATTATATCCTATACTTTACCACTAAAGTACAAGCAACTTTAAATGAAAATAAAATTAGTTGGGGAAGAATTAAGGTAATAAGAGAATAATGCATGAAAATACATTTAAAGCACTAATTTTTACACTTTTCTTTATTTTGCAGCTTTAATCAATGACAATCTGGTGATTGAAATGAATCTTCTGGAGTAGATCGTGTGAAACAATCAAAAAAAAAATTATAACTTCCAATGAATTGTTTAAAAAATTTTAGTCATCCTCATTTTTATCTGATTTAAAGCCACTAGTTTTAATTAAGATGCTCCAGGGATTTTAATTATAATTTGTTTTCATCTCTTGATTTGAATCAGTAATTTGATTAAATTAATTAAATCGCATAAAATTTTCTTGATTCCTTTTGAAAATAAATTGATTTGAATAAACGATGCAAATCCATTAACTCGAATTATTCGATTCGATTTAATCTTAGACCATTCATTTGAATTTATTGATGCACAGATCAAATGTTTAATCTGAAATCACCATTATAAGTATAAGCATAATCAGGCTGATTTTGAACATCCTTATCCTTTTTGTCACCAAAAATAAGCAAATCAAACCCTGCCTATTCTCTTTGAATGCTTCAGATCTTGGCGAACAAAGTAACGTATTCTTTGGCCAAATCATCCATACTATTAATTAAAAAAAACCCGACTGTTTTAACTTGCTCATCAAGGATGTAGGAGGATTTTTGTATCCCAAGGTTTTGGATGAGCAATAGATATTTTGTCAAGTGAAAAATCGTAATAAATAAAAGAGTAAGAAATCTGCAAGTTTTCAGAAGGGAAGCAAAGGAGAAGCCACCCACAATCAACACATTTCCTATCTTATCTTTTCTAAAATCTCAGACTAGAGACTTGCCAAAAACATTCACCGCCAAACATTGCCAAAGGCGATATGCACTAATAGCGACAAAGGAGACGTCTCAATTTACAAGGCCTATACCATCCACTTTCCGTCCCTTCTTGGTCACACTCGATTTCGAACAAAGGGGCCGAAGAGCAAACAACATTCGGGATATTGCATCCCAAACGTTCCACTCTCCCTGTCAGGTTGTTTCTTAATTGGTCGTAAATCCCAACACATATGCTGAGGATATCTTCTTCCACACAAGCATTTCCTTTTCGGTAATTTCTAAAAAAGAAAAAAAAAGACGCCAGCTTTGTGATCTCTTTTTCAACCCCAATCACTCTTTTATTGATGACATGAGTTGCTTTTCTTTTCACCGGAATAATTGTAGAAAAAACTCGATGTTTACCATCTCGCCTATTTAGTTTCCGGTACGACCATATAGTAGTTTTTCTTCTGGAAAACAAAAAACTTTTCTCTATCAAAATTAATAGTTCGGAAAAAGACTGAGAAGTTTTAATCTGATAAACAAATATCTAAGCATCTTGGTAACAAACCACATTTACACCCTTTATTTATATATTATTACCAATCCACTTCATTAATTTATCCAGGTTTAATTATTTATTTATAAAATATTCATTAGAATATTTTTAGAAAAAATTTCCTTTATATGACTTAGAAGGTTTATTAAGAAAAATAACATTTTTGATAATAAATAAAATTGAACATATATTTAGGTAAAGGATTTCCTTAGAATTAATGTATGAATTCGGTACATTGAAATCCAGGTTTATTGGAGCTTAAGATTTGGATAAAATGTTCCTTTTGGATAAATATTTTAATGAAGTTTTGAACCGAAAGGGAGGGAAAACGATGTTTTGAATATGATAAATGATTATGATTATAATAAATGAAGGTAATATTGAAATATGTAACTTTTGGTTTAAAAAAACATGAAGTGATCCCCTTAGCAAGCAAAAGACTTCTATTATTTATTGTTAACACTTATCACTCAATACAGTTGAAAGCTCAGTTTTTGGAGAATTGATGAATTGACGGAGAATTACTAATCCCCTTGGCAAAATTCACTTTAATTTTCAAAAGATTATCAAATATTCAAGAAGTTAGTAACAAGCTAAATTCGCACTATTTATTCATTCATGGTTAAGCAAGCAAAAGAACAAAAAGAGAGAAACTAATACAATTAGTATTATTTAGATTGATTTTAATTAACTTACTGACAAGGGACAACACCTCTCAAAATAAAAATAAAAATGAATGGTAATCTTAAAAAGCCATCTAAATACTTGTTCAGTATACTTATAACAGTTTTTTAATATTGTTGTTCCCAGTTTTTTAATATTGTTGTTTGGGAATATGGGTCTTAAAGGGTTGAACAAGTTCACATATTTTTTATCCTTCAAAAATAATGTAAGTTTGATAGTTGTAGCCTCTTAATTTGGCGAAACTTAAGGCAAAAAGAAAGGGAAACTCATTCCATTCAAAATTATTACTATTGCTGTACTTTTACAACTTCTTTTTACTATTCACTATAGTTTGAAGTTTATAGAGATGTAATCATTTTATTTTAGTACTTTATTTTTCGTTAAATATGTCAATGAAAAAAAAAAAGAAAAAAAAGAGCACGTAACTTTCAATTCGCGTTGAAAATTTTATATTCCAAAAAAATAATAACTTGTTAATTTTTGTTTCGATGCACTCAATTTTGTTGGGTAACAAAAAATATATGTGAATTTTTTCTTCTTTAGAAAATAAATTCGCTCAAATCACTACAATTATTCTGCATAAAAAACTTGGCAAAGAAAAAAAAGCATCTGTGTGAAAAACTTGGACAATAGATAATTTAATTGTTTTTCACCTTGCTTTTTCTTATGATTTGAGCTTTATCGCCACACACTAGGGAATTTTTATTTTCGTCACTCGCTTTGCGAAAAAGGTGGCGAATAAAAATACAAAAAAATTATACCAATTACAATACAATAGTTGTGGGAACTGAAAATTTCAATGTTCCTAGTATCAATTTTCTTCAGCTATAGCGATTTACTGTAACATTTTAAACATATTCCTACAATATTTATCAAAATATTAATTAAAGTGAAAAAGAAACTTAAAAAGTAGTATGTGATATTGATATGTATATTCTTAAAGTTTAAATCGTAAGCAACGGATATTAAACCATAATGTTTTTATTAATCATTTGATAACAAATCTCCAATAGCTTCCGAATTAATATCTCTTTAAAGAAGTGTTAAAATGCCCCGCATCCAAAGGCCATGGAATGCTGATGTATATAAATATTATAAGTCTCGTTGCCCGGATGGCTACACCATTTTAAAAATTATAATTACGGTATTCCTCGAACTTTTAATGAAAACAAATGCGAACTATAAATACGATTCTATCGTAATCCGCTGTCAATTGTGTTTTCTTATTTGAAACCTTAACTACCGGATATTAAACCACAATAGTTTTATTAATCATTTTCTAACAAAGCTCCAATGCTTCGTGAATTAATAGGAATGTTATAATGTTAAAATACCGTATTCAAATCGAGGCCATAAAGTGTTTATATACATGAATGATGTTAAAAGTCTAATATTACATGGCCAAGGTTGAATGCTATTCGTCTAGAAAAATATTACCCCGAGTGAACTGAGTATAATGAAAAAAGAGTGAGCGCATCTTGTTTAGGATATTCCAAAATCCGCAAAAAGCTTCCATGGAGAACAAGTAGCCGTAAAAAATGGAATGACAGTTGTTTTATTTTTTTTGCCTATGCGTCTGCTTTAAGTGGTCAGACAATGGTCCTGAGTTAAAATAATTGTTGATCTTGCAAGAAGGTGTGCTTTCCACAATGGGAATAGTTGCGTAGCTGCGCTAGGTGTATAACTCAAAACAGAATGCGTTGTAATTCATAAGGAAATTCCGGAAACGACAGCCCAAGGAATTGAATGTTCAGCTTATGGCATAAAATCTTTTTACAGGCGGTACTTTTTTTTCCATTGATTTATTTAAAGAAAAATAAAAGCATTATGGAAGATAAAAAAAGATGACGTTGGATTACTGGATCGAAAAAAAGGGTAATTTAGAAAGTGATTCTGGATGTAGCTCAGTTTGAAAGAAGCTGTTAAAAAAATGGTCCAACTGATTTTACGCATGAGTTAAAGGAGAACGAATTGAGAAGTGGAATCTAGCTTTTTATTTTATTTTATTCATTGTTATGACAGTTTGAAAGGCTAGATTTGTGAATCAGCTTGTATCATTACTTGTATTAATGGCTAATAAAATTAATGTTAGTGATTGTTAAGAATTAACATTAGGCATTAACAATTAACTTTTTTTAAACCCTTCAGTATGTATTAAAGGTAATCATAAAATTCGTACTTAGGGATCGTTTAAATATTACGTAAGCACCTTTAAGGAAGGAGTTGAGGATTGATTTGCCTATTTTTGCTGGCATGGGGGAGGGGCATGGACAATGAACTTAACCCCCATTAAACCTCTAGAGGGGCATGAACAATGAACTTAAACCACTAATAACCTTTCATTTTTAATTTTTTTATGTGGTATAAATGCAGGTACAAAAAAGATTATTAAAAAAAAAATTTTATTCGGAAAAATTTAAAATTCCAAAAATTAGAACACTACAGTGGAAGTCAAAGCAAAAACTAAGTAATTTTCTTATGTAAGCATGAGAAGGGGGTTGTATATCGATTCTTGTTGTTGACAAAGGGGAGTTCAAAATTGACGAACATACGCTTACGTAATTTTAGAAGAACTTCTATTGCAGGCAATTCTGCGATAGTAAATTTATCAACTAATATCTTTCTGTTTATATACAAAAAAAATCATTAAAATCAACACTTTTAAAAAGAATAAATAAAAGCTTTTTATACAAAAATGAAAATACGCTATGTAAAAATGATTTTGAAAATTCTGTATGACCTTTAATTTCTTCTTATTTACTTTGTCTTAAATTTCTTAAACATTTTTATTTCTAAAAAACATTTGTTTAGAAAAATGTTTTATGTATATTCACAATTACATACATAATATTAATTATTGTATAACATGATGCTGAATGTGAAGATCTTATTTGATAAGTGAACAACCAGTAAGAGTAATATTTGCTTTTTTCAGATAGTGTATAGGCTAATCTCAACACCTGGTAAAGGTGAGGTAGATTTTCTTATTCTGTTTACCAATGTACACTATAAAAAATGATAAAAAATTAAAAAGATAGGACAAAACTTACTAAGATTGCTTCCATGAAGATATTGCTGTAGATCCCACAAGATTGGAAGAAAAGGAAGGTCCATGGTTAAAGTAAATAGTCGATGTATTAGGCACAACAGTGGTAGGTAGTATAGTTAAAGGTGGCTCCATTGGTGGATTGGGTGGCAATATAGTAGGCGCCATTGGACAAACTCCTGGGGTACATTGTAGCACTGATTGTCCAGTTATAATTCTCGGTGTACATTGTACTAGTCCTGTAGTAGTCAAGGGTGAGTAGATGCACTTAGGTGGGGGTGTAAAATTTGTGGAAGTAACTTGAGTATTGGCTAATTTCGGAATATATGCTGACGTGAATCCTTCAGTCAAAGGTACTACAGGGTTAACACCGTTAGTCAATGAAACTAAATTTGTGGTTCCAGGGATTAAGTTTACACCACTGCAAGGAATGACAGTTGTTTCGGTTGCAGAGTCTGGTGGAGTATTTCTTGGACTAGATGGCGGTGGAAGACGGATTGTGGCGGAAGGGAGTACTGGTGGAGGTCCTGGAATAGGAGCTCCAGCTCCTATCAACGGTTGGAATCGTTGATTACATGTTATAGCAGGGATTGCACTTAATTGGCATAGTCCGGAAATGTAAGCAGCCGGAAGCTGCATCAGTGACGTGTTGCACACAACCATGACTATGGACGGCTTTTCAAGGAAGCCCCTGCAAAAAAATAAAAAATAAAGTTGAGCACAAAATGAAATATTGTTAAATACTATGCAATGACAAGTTAGAAGTCGATATGTGTGTTAGTTGAAATATTAGTTGTTAATTTCAGATTGACCGTAACCCCTCTCCAGACAAACCCTAATTTCCTGAAACATCCAGAAAAAAAATAGAAAATGTGCGATTAGAATATGTGATATTTTATTAATAATTAAAAAAATTAATTAAGTTTGTATAATTATTATATATAATAAAAATTATAAATATTAATTTTAATGAATTCAAGGAAACGACTGCGAAATAAACAATTTTCAGAACATCACAGTAATTCCATATTTATCAAAATGATAATAATAAAAAAATGCAAATGTGGTACAATTTTAACGCAAAGAGGCAACTGTTGGATTATTTTTTAATCGCCATTTATTATATCCAGNATTTATTTAATTTATTTATTTAATTTATTTATTTAATTTATTTATTTAATTTATTTATTTAATTTATTTATTTAATTTATTTATTTAATTTATTTATTTACTTTATTTAATTTTTTTAAATTTATTTGAAATATCATGAACGAGAAAGTTTCTTTAAACTGAGGATAGAGGATTGCTGAGATATTTTATTGTGAACAATTTTAAATAAGTTTGCCCTCTCATCATATTGAACTTAATTTACTTTGTTGTCTTAGTACAAAAAATAATTGGTAATTGCTTGAATGATGGCTAATTATACCTAAACTTTATTTATACCGATGCTATTAAGTAAACAGAATTTTGTTTGATTCTTCTAAAATGTTATTTCTGGTTAAAAATTAAAATAAAAAGTAAGTAATGTATTATTACAGTCTTAGAACAGACTAGCACTAGAAGATATAAGCCTAAAAGTTGCAATAAACTAATGAAAATTATCTGAAAAAGTATCTGGAGATATACTAAAACCGAACACAAATTTGTGTTAGCTAAACCGAACACAAACTGTCTTTAAACAGACTGGCTCTAGAAGATATAAGCCTAAAAGTTGCAATAAACTAATGAAAATTATCTGAAAAAGTATCTGGAGATATACTAAAACCGAACACAAATTTGTGTTAGCTAAACCGAACACAAACTGTCTTTAAACAGACTGGCTCTAGAAGATATAAGCCTAAAATACGCAATAAACTAACAAAGAATATCTTAAAAAAGTGTCTGGAGATATACTAAAACAGAACACAAATACTGTTTTTAAACAGACTGGCTCTAAAAAATATAAACCCTAAAGTTGCAATAACTAAAAAAAATACCTAAAATAAAAAGTCTTGCGTACTATCTAAACCAAAAAACTTTCTAATGGTTTTTTTTTCCTCACACATTTTCTTAAAAGTTTTTTTGTGTAAAATTTAATTAAAATTTCTTTTCTAATAATCCAACTGCGTAATTGTTTATCTTTTGTTTGACACGAATATCACACTAAATTGTTAATGGGGCTGGGAAAATAATTTCAAGTTCGTAACATAGTATTTTATGAAGTTTACACATTTTTGTTCCGCTTATACAGCATTCATTTCTAAATCAGTCAAAAAAAGTTTTATTTTTTATATCTAACCAAATACAATAACATCTACAATTCAAATTATTTTCTTTTTTCTACTATCTCTCCGCCAGCGTAACTTTCAACAATTACTTCTCAAGCACAAGGTTTGCATTGTACTACCTATACCTCTGATTTACGACCCAAACAGCCCGCAGCGCCAGAAGGTGGTTGACGAAACAATTGGGCAAATTCTCTGTGGATAAAGAATCAGTGATGACGTTTATGAGTCTACTGAGTCTAGATAGCTCGTTTTATATTGGGTACTAAATATCATCATCTCTCATTCTACTTTGGACAAGGCTTACGATGGGGAAAAGTGTTTCATGGGATACAGACTGAAGAAGATTAATTGTATGCAGGAAATGATGGAATATAATTGTTTCTTTAAATTTTAAATCATTTTGAGCTTTTTCATATTTTTCTTAATAAATGAGAACTAAATAGTCACATTTACTAAAAAAAAAATGCTTCATACTAATCTAACGTCATAAAATAGTGTCTTCTATCAAGATAATCTTACTAAAAGAGAAATATTTTGAAGGAAGAAAGAACAATTTTCTAGCAAGCGATTCTTAGAATGAATTTATGAAATCGTCTTCTAATTGATCTAATATCATAAAATGAAGCTAACCTAATACCTTAAAATAATGTTAGTGGTTTCTGTTCAGATAATCTTACTCAAAAAGAAATATTTTAAAGCAAGGGAGAAAAAAAATTAGCTAGCGGTTTTTTAAATGGTGAATCAGAAATCGTTTTCTGATTCACCTGATTGATAAAAAGCAGTTTTCATAATAAATTTTTGTAGTATAATCTAATGTCATAAAATGATTTTATTGTCTACTGTTCAGATAAATTTACAAATAAAGTAATATTTTAAAGATAGAAAAAAAATTTTAGCAAGCGATTCATAAAATAATGAATCCATAAAATCGTTTTCTTATTTCCACTTTTTAAACTTATTTTTTAACTAATCGCAGCTGGTTACGATATTTTTACGATAGCAAATTCCTTTCAAAGACATATTTCCTATAAGGTTAGAAAAATGTGAATGTGGAAATTTCCTATGCTTAATGGGATACCAGCAAGTGACGTAGTGTGGCTACCTCGATTTTGATTGATTGTTGAAACGCGGCACTGTTCTTTCTATTCTATTTTGAGTAAGTGAAGCCCGTTACCCATTCTATATTCTTACTCAAAGATTTTTTTCACAAAGATTTTAATTCTTTCACTATATATTTCTTACTTAACAAAAGCAGGCATGAAGCCATGTAGAACATATGCAAACTAATTATGCTTCCAAGTTGCCTTGTACACATAACAAAAATATATCATGGTTACAATAAAATACATAAACAAATCGAGTTAAAGACGTAAACGAGAAAGAATTATATTTCAACAAATTCGATGCTCGAGACGGCGCTGTTTTTAATTAACTTCACGTTAATTAACATTCTAACTGATGTGCAGTGAAACTTAGCACGCCATTTTGCTTAGAAACGATCAGCTGGCTCTGACGTTATCGGTCACGTGTGGGTATCTGTGATCTTCTTGAAGTGTAAGTACCCAATTATATAGGAACTTATTAAAATTTTAAGAGGATAGAAATTTTAAGGCATAAAAAAACAATGGTGAAGAATTCAATATGCGTAGCTTAACACAAGAATTTGTCGAAAATTTAAACGAAATAATGTTCCAAGTATTTTCAGCAAACGATCCTGTAAAGTGCATGTATGGAATCGTTTCCTATTTTTCTTTTAAACTTGATTTGGAACAATTGCATTCTCGTCAAAATGAAAAGGTAAAAATTCTTTCGATTTTACGAAATAAGAATATTTTAGAATATTTACGAATATTTTAGAGATTTTTATAGTAAAAAAAATGCAAAAACTATATTACACGAACAACTAAAATTTTAAAATGACTGCCATATCTTACGGTTGACAAATGGACATTGATATAAAAAACGTTTTTATCTTCTTTTTGAATTCATAATTTTTAACAACAATAACGCAATTTAAATGCATAGTTAAAACATATTCTTGCCATTTAAAAATAAAAGATTATTTAAATCACATAATAAATTAGGCTCATTTCATTGTGCAGCTAAAATAATCTAAGTCCTAACTTTTTGTAAACTTCTCCGATTTTATTGAAAATTTATCGAACTAATTTCATAAAATATGCAAATTGAAAACATGCAATTTCATAAAATATGCCAAAATTGAGATTATTATTATTTTTTTTTTTATTAAATAAGAAATCAGGAGATACTGGCAAACTTCAAGGTCAACTGAAAAATCCAGAGTTGGCAGCTTTGTATATGTAAAAGGTCGTGTGAATTTGAGGTTACGAAATTCCTTCTCAGTTAATAAATGCGAATGTAGTTTTTCCACATAAATAAAGTAACAACAATCTTAAGGAAACTACTAACAACTTTTCAACGTTTTAACTAAAGTTAATAGTTAGTGGAGCTCATTAGATAAGTTTGGAATATTAAAAAAAGAAATTCCTTTCTCTGTATGAAATAAGTACACATGTCGCTATAATATTTTAACTTATAAAATAAATGCTGTAATTATTTAAACTAAAAAAAAGTTCAATGCATGGAAATAATTTTTGAAGCAACAATTTACTTTCTAATTTTAACTGAAGATGATAATTACAATTCAATGTAATCGAATTATTAAAATATCTTTTCAAATATAAAAAATAAAAAATGTCTTAAATATTTATATCCACTAGAAGAAGGAATTGTGGCTAAGCTCATTGGAATACGAAGTTTTTTTTATTTATTTATTATTTTATCAATTCGAATAAAATCGAAACATATTTCCTAAAATGTTAATGACAGTTTAATTGCGTCAAATTTTTTGAAAAAATTATCGGTGTACTAGAAAACCATAACTATAATATTAACTATAACTATAAACTGGTAAACTATAAAATTCTGCCTTGCAAATTTCGTGGCTAAATATATTAATTCGGAAATAACATAGTGGTCAATACAAAATTATCTTGCCGGGCAACGAATTTAGGTTCAAAAATTTAGCCAAGGGATCGAATGTAAGGGAAAGTGGGGTAAGAGCGGTTAGCTAAGATTCGAAGGTCTGTTAAAACTGAACTGTCAAATTCAATCAAGATATTAATTGTTTAGTTATTATTCTAAATGATTTTTTCCCAGAGAAAGTCAAAATGCGGGTACACATGTAAACTCCATGGGAAATTTAGAAATACTAAAAATTCAACGAAAAAGTAGTAGACGTTTCTATTTTATATGACAATTTAAGAAAATTATGCATCTAATTTACATGTGATGTAGTCAAGTCTGGACTAAAGGGGGGAGACGATTGTCCTGGGGTCCGGGGCTGGTGAGACCCCGACTGGAATTCTTAACAAAAAACCTAGTGAAAAAAAAAGAGCATTAGGGAGTTGATATAGTGGAAAAACTGCGCAGGTGCCATGAAATAATCAACAACACACACAATATGGTAGGTTCTTCTCCTTGACTTGCAATTTAGAGTTTGTCTCCTTGAAGAACTAATTTCGACACAATAGAGGTGCCTGGTTTCACCCTATTACACGGTCTTACCCGAATCTCCCCTTCGTCTACATAGTACCGATTTGTTTATATTTTTCATTATAGAAAGGGATTGTTTAAAAGCTAAAAAAAATTACAATATATATATAGTGGTATAGTATATACAAAACTGGAGGAAAATTGTATCGCAATATTTGAGAGAAAGATTTAGCGGGGTATACTTGATGGTGTAAATGAAAACAATAACTGGAGAAGGAGATTTAACTTTCAACTGTACAAGATTTATAAGCAACCTGATATTATTAAATACATGAAAATAAATGGAATGAATTGGATCTCCCACGTAATTCGAATGAGTGACGACAACACAGTAAAAAAGATACTGCTTTTTAGACCCACTGGAAAAATAAAGCGGGGAAGGCCGCGGCTGAGATGGGCTGACTCAGTGGATTTTCTCGCAATTAATGAAAAGAACTGGAGATCAAAGATAAAGCGGAAGTCGTCATTGAGAAATCTTCAGAGGAAGGCATTGGCTCACATTGGGCTTTCTTACCAACTATGATGATGATATAGTGGTGTACATTATTCTTAAAAATAAACGAACAGCCTTTATTCCACCCTATTCGAGTAGTTATTTCATTCCCTCTTTATTTATTATTTTACATTTAACTATGCGAATCAATATGATAAATGACTTGAATAGTTGTCAATTATCTTTTAATAATATAGTGATTTATTTAGCAAAAACGTATAAATTCTATACATTTATATGTTCATTGGAGAAACATGACTTATTTTAATATCATGCATGAAAATTAAAACAATTAACAGTGTTAAAGAAATTAACAGTCGTATTTTTACATTAAATTTAGATTTTATGCAAATAAATAAGTATTCACTCCCATTTTTCACAAACATGAGTAAAAAAGTTATTAAAATTTGCGTAAAAATGATTTTGAAATTTAACAACTAGACTTCGATTATTATAACTCCATTTTCATTGATTTCTCAGATTTCAATAACTCCTCCTTGTTGGATGTTGAATTTTAACTTTTCCCTTAATTAATTTCTTAAGAATTCTAAATAATCATATTAATATTTAAGGAAAGCAATTACAGAACACTTTGCGAAGCACACAGATCGCACACACAAAAATAGATAGTCATTTATGACAATATACATACATAGGTGTTTTGAATAAAAGCACACCAGGTGCGAGGGAACTACACTACAATCATATAGTGTATATTTTTAAATTCTAAATGATATGTAAGTGAAGGGGTGAGGCCAAGGGGTGAAGCAAGTCAAACCCCCTTCATTCACTGCATAACTGCCAGCAAGATTTGGTTAATTCTAAAACTATACTCCTAACACCTGTTCAGAGCAACAAATGCACAGGAAGTCTTTATTGAAGTGACCGCCTATTGTATTCTTATCTTCCAAACTGAAATTTCATTTTAACTAATAAAACATTTAAAAAATTTTTTTTTTCTTTTTCTTATTTGAGTACCTCTTCTTAATGCAATTAAGCTAAAACTGGAAAACAACTACATAATATCAATTTGAAAGACGAAATCCAACAATTTTTTGATATAAAATGATTTGTCCTTATAAATGGGTTATTCAGTTATCCGATATGCATTTTAAGTGAGGATGAATGTATTACCGAAACTGGTTGTAGTTATCGATGTTATAAATTTATCGCCTTACCATTTAATAAATCGCATAGCTTTATTAGTTCATCATTAACGCATCCAAGTAAAATGTAAACTTAGTAGACTGTGGAAGAAAAAATTCCGAAAAATTCCAACAAACAATAGAATAAATCATCATCAAAAGCAAAAACAAGTTCCGGCTACTGTGAATTATTTGAAACACAGCTAACCTGACATCAAAAAGTATTAGAAATTTTTTTGGTAAGTCAAAATTTTAATAAATTGCGAAAAATTTAAAACAAAATTAAAGTGCTCTTCCAAGTCAAGAAGTTATTTAATGGTTGTTTTTTTCCATATAAATTACTAAATTAGGATTAAAGTTATTTTTTGAATCTTAAATATTCATATACAGTTCATTTGATTTAAAAATCAAATTAAATATGAACATTTAGATTAATACTGTATTACAAATAATGCAGCACTGCGCGTAAAATGAAGAGATTTTAAAAGAAAAACCAAAGTCTGTATTAAAATGGCCAGATATAATTATTATATTAACATAGTTTATCAATTTCCTTTTTATATTTAAAAAAAATGCACATTGGAACTGAATTTCTTTTTTGTCACGCAATTGACTTCAAATTAAAATAATCATATTAAAAACTGTTAAAATGCGCACCAAGACCAATGCAGGAGCAACAATGAAAATAAATTCGTTGTAAATCTAATTGATTCGGTAGCTTCTGACAGAATATATAAAATTGCCATAAGCCTAGATAGAATAACTCGATACCCAGTAACATATCAAACCTTAATAGCAAACTAGTTATCCTTAATTTCACGCAAAAATATGGTCAACAAAAAAACTTTTAAAATGTAATTGAATTTATTTAAATGCAAAAGTATTTAATGTTTAATAAACTTCTGATATTAAGAAACTAAAATCAAAATTAGTTATTAGATTAAATATAGCCATATTAATAAGCGTACTTTTTTCTTATTAAGCATTATATTGCCTTTAAACATCTAGCATTAACTATGATGTAAAATATTAATACTAAAGTCTTAAATGTTTAATTTACACATGATATTGGGAAACTAAAATCAATATTAGTTATTAGATTAATTACAGCTACAATATGCGTACTTTTTGCCTTTAAACATTTCTAACATTATCGATAATATAAGATATAAATGCAAAAGTTTTAAATTTTTAATAAGTTCATAATATCAGGAAACTAAAATCAAAGTTAGTTATTTCAATTAAGCATTATTAATATAAGCACTTCTTATGTGTAATAGAATAAAATAGTGGGACATTAGTAGTACCTATTCTACAAGATAGCATTAATGTGCAGTATAAATTAAATTCAATTATTTTTCTTTTTCTACTGTAATAGTTATTAACTTTAAGACAATGTAATATTGTATGTAATCAATAAAATAATAAACATCAACACTTTATAACTAAGATATAAAATGCAATACTTTTTCTTAAGTAACTTTAAGGGATTAATTTGTATTCGCACTGCAACACTTAAAATTTCTCTACATAATTAATATCTCTAATTTATACTCATATTAATAAATTTAACTCATATTATTAAATCAAGCCACTAATTTTGTTCTGGTTGCTGATATTTATATACTAATATTAGTAATTCATTACTTATTATAATTATGCCATTCATTAGTGCTTTCGTTGTAATGCTTTTGTGACATAATAAAGGCAAAAATAGAACACTACAGAAACTTTACATACAACATAAACAATAATTAAAATAAGTAACTATAAAGGGTAAATTTGCTTTAGTATTGCCACAATTCAATTTATCTTCAACCTTAGATTTCTATGCACAATTAATATCAAACTTATACTCATATTATTTAATTTGGCAACTTTAACATAAAACGTTAATTTAGAATAATTAGCTAATTTTTTTCTAGCTGTTGATATTTATATATTAATATTAGTAATTCATTACTTATTATAATTATACGGTTTGTTAGTACTTTCAGTGTAATGCTTTTATTGCATAATAAAGGCAGAACCAGAACAATATAGAAACTTAATATACTACACAAATATTAACTAAGATTAAAAATGCTATACTTCCTTGCAAGTAACTATAGAAGGCTAATTTGTTTTCATATTGCAATAATTCAATTAATCTTCAATTTTTATACATAATTAGAGTTTTAAATTAATACGTATATTTCGTAATTTAGTAACTTTAACCTAGAACGTTCATTAAGATTACTTAGCCTCTTATTTTTTTTTCCGAGCTGTTGATATTTATATACTATTAGTAATTTATTACTTATTTAAATTATATCATTTATTAGTAGTTTCAGTGTAATGCTTCTATGACAATTATTATTTTATATTAACATGAAGGCAGAAATAGAACAATATAGAAACTTCACTTACCTAAAAGTCCTTAAAAAGATGAGACAGCGAAATCTGTCTTCCTTGCAGCACGTGATAATAAAATAACGGTATGCTACCGGAGCGAAATTTACTATTTGTAAAAAAAAACTTAAGCGATTGTCTTATTTGGCGTAGGTATAAAATCGCCAAGGTAATATCTTCTTAGGAAACAAACTTCTGAGAGTTATGCGGAAATATCGGAGAAGATGAATTCGTGCATTTGTAAAAAAGCTTTTGTGAAGCGAAGATGGAACATCACATAAGATATAAACTAACAGTACATGGTTGCTTGTCGGAGGGGGGTCATGGGTTTTTTACCCCATTATTCTAATAGCCAATGGCTATACGCTGGTACTGCGGACACCTGACCATTGGCTGGATAATGCCTTTGCCCCTACAAGAAGAAAGTCCCCTAAATGGTTTAGGGGTCAGAGGAAATATACAAGTAAAAAAATTGTCACAATGTTTTAAGTAGAGGAGGTTTGGACCGACAAATAATAAAAGTCCCAAAATGCTTACAATTTAACAAAAAAGATTTATATTTGATAAAGTTTACGTAATAATTTTTATTACGATAAACAAAAGCATTTTTGATGTTATTTTTTTATTACCCATTTTTTAAAAAAAATATTAGCAACTAGTTTGAAGACGTTCTAAAAAAATAATATATTAAAAAAATTAATTAATTAATTGTAAATTTATTATTTTATTTTAAAATGGCTTTCATTTTAAGTTAACAATAAACAGCTTTATTTAATAAATTTTACTGTTGTTTATTACCATTCAAATCTTACGTAAGCAGATTTTTGAAAATTTTGGTCTCTTGTCAGCAAAAATAAGCAATTTGCAAACCATACGTATATATAAGAAAATCAGAACTCCCCCCATTGGTTTTTACTTTAATTTTGACATAAGCTGTAAATGTCTAATTTCAGGATTAAATTCGAACTTGGCATTAAACAAAATTTATGTTTTAATTCACTTTATAAAATTTTGAGTAGAATATTCTTTAGAAATCTTTATCATTTTCTTTTTTGTGGTCTCTGAAACTTTCGGAGAAAATTTTTTCCAATCGTTTTTTTCTTTTTCTTTCCTGAATTGAATTTTTATTCCTGTGTTTTTGTTAAATTTTTATTTTGCTTTTTAAGAAAATTTTGAAAATGATACTCTCCTTCTATTTGTCAACAAAGATAAGAAAATCACAAACCCTTTCCACCTATTATGTGCTTACGCATTATTTGGACTGCCCCTATTCGCAAAGAAATTTTTGTAATCATCACTAATTAGTTTTCAATTTTAATGATAGTAAATTTGTTCTATTGCAACAAAAAACTATTTTAAAAATTTTGTTCTATTGTAACAAAATTACTTTCTTTACTGCCTGTAGAGATTGTTTTCGATGTCGTATTTTAGAATGTCTCAGTTGGCAGAATTTCTTTTTTTTTATGGGGTCCTCTTTTCTTTTTCTAGACCTTTTTTTTATTTTTTTTTATTTTTCTGCAGTGACTAAGGCACTTGGCTGTCATTTTAAAGGACTGGTGGCAACTTAAAGCCCAGTAGCGTGCAGAAGAGGGGGCAATAGGCACAGGTATTCAACTGAGTAGGGAGCATAAAATGGAGAAAAAACTACTTATTACACTGTAAAAAAAAAAAAAAAAAATCATGATCTAATCACGGTAAAAAGTACAGGCAATTTGAGTGCAGCATCTGTAAAACCAATTTTATCGTAAAATTTATTTTTACCGTAAAATTTTATATCGTACTTTTTACAGTAATATTTATTTAATTACAATAGTTCAGTGATTTCAAAATAAATATCACTGTAATAATTACGACACATCAGATTTTTGTTTCGCAAAACTTTACGGTCAAAATTGCCTTTACGATAAAAGCACTGGCATTCTGAGTGCCGGTACGTTTTACCAGAATTTAATCCAGAATTTTTTTTACAGTGTAGTTCATGAAATTAATTACCAATCAATTTAAAGAATATAAAGCAAAAAATTAAATGTTTAAATTTTTTTTAATTTTTTATAACCGTCGTTGAACAGCCGACCCAGTTTTTATGGGTATTGCTTTAAATTACGGTAAAAAGTACCGGCACCCTGAGTTCCGGTACTTTCTTACTGTAACTTGATCCTGAATTTTTTACATTGCAGCATATTACCGGCTCCCGAGCTTTTGCGAAAATATAATTATTAGGAAAAAATATCTCATGAGACAGAGTTATGGTGTAAATCAAAGCAAAAAGAGAGTAATGAGAATTTGTCATACAAAATGTTTTTCCCGAATCAATAAAAATCATTATCCTTAAAATAGCCTAATTTCTGATAAAATAATTGTTAATTTAACGAATATTATTATTATTCTTCGGAAAGTCTGCAGAGTTTTGATGTTGTTGCAGGAAAGAATCGTAGGAAATAAATAAAATTTTACTTACAGAAACAAAATAATCTTCCAAAAACAGTAAAAACCAATACGCTCATAATGGTTTAATTAAAAATAAAACACTTGTTAATTCAGAGAAAATATTATTAATAATCTTTAAGAGACCCTGCTATCATTGTTAGTAAGTAGTAACATAAGAGAATGCAGCATTTAGTTAAAAGCTGTTCAAACAACAGTATAAATTATTTTTTATTTCATTTATTTGTGTCAACGTTAAGGTCATTTGTTTTATTGATTTCTTGAATTTAATTGTTTTTGATGTTATAAGCATAATGTGTAAACTAAACTAGCAAATGATAGAGTGGCATTGTGAAACCACGGAGTTAGGTAACTTTTTCTACAACGTTACGTTGGCTTAAAATTTTTTTAAAAATGTCTTTCCGTTGAATGTTTTTCAAAGTTAGCTTTTAACTTTTTTAAAAAATGGATAAAATAAATTTATTTTACGACGTGTTTCTTTTTTTTTCTTTGTTAAAAACCTTTATTTCTGATTTTATTTATTAATTATTTTTTATTTGTTAGGTTCGACCAAGCTTGTCACCAAAAACAGCAATTTTTTTAGAGTTTTTTTCCTTCCGTTTTTAAAATAGCAATTGCGAGAAATACTAGTTTTAACACTACTTTACCGTTACTATCAACAATTCTTTTTCTTTCATCTCTACCGAAATGAGGTTTTTATTCAATTTTTTCAATAGAAGATGGATTAGGGCTGAACAGCCATATTTTAACTTCAAATATAACAAGGGCCATTTTATACAACTTTTGATCATTCATACAAAGATGATGAATACTATACTTCTTTGAGAGAACAAGAGATAACAATAGTAAAGGGTTTTTCAAAATGATAAGAAGTCCTTTAATAGAAACCGAGCAACCGCACACGTTGTTGCCAGTGAAGAATTTTTCCATTTCCAGAAAAATTACTGTTTTTCATTAAGAAAAAATAATATCCCATATAAAATAATGCAAGCACAAAAAAATAGCAATTGCGAGAAACGCTAGTTTTTAACACTATTTTACCGTTGCTATCAACCTCAACTGATTTTTTTCTTTCATCTTCACCAAAATGACGTTTTTATTCAATTTTTTCATCGAAGATGGATTAGGCTTGAGCAGTCCTTATTTACTTCAATTGTAAGAAAGGCAATTTTGTACAACTTTTATTCATTCATACAAACGTGTTGAATACTATACTTCTTTGAGGGAACAAGCGATAACAATAGTAAAGGATTTTTCAGAATGATAAAAAATCCTTTAATAGAAACTGAGCAACCGCACACGTTGCTGCCAGTGATAAAATTTTAAATTTCCGAAAAAGTGCTGCAAAATAACAAAACGTCTTTTTTTAAAAAATTTTTTGAAATGAAGTATTTATAGGCCAAGGATCTTTTATAGTATACCAATCATGAATATTATAAAGTGATAAACTATACGTTTATTTTTCTTTAAGAAGAAATAATATCCCATCGAAAATAATATAAGCGCAAAAAATAATATATAAATAAATAAACTAATAAAAAATTAAAAAAAAAGCATTGCCAATTAGAAGATTATAGAAGGTTTTTTTTAAGAAGTATTAAAAATGGTAAATGATATTTAAAATTAATGGTGGAAGATTTGAATAGTTTAATTTTCATTTTTACTTTGGCTTCACTGAAAAATGAAGTAATAAAACTAAAATTTTTGAACTTTTAAAATGTTGAAATTTTTAAAATTGAAATAAAATAGGAAAATCATTTTTGTAATGTATAGCTAGAAAAAAGAATCAATGAAAAATTAATATGATATTGACTCTTTGATATTAATATGATAGCCTTTTTTTATGTTTTCCTGCTTGATAACCTTTCTACTTTCTAAAAACTTAGTTACTAACCACATTAATATTTTCACCAACTATATTTAAAACTATATATTCGTCATCAACAACAACGATTTAAAATTACAAATAAAATAAGAATTTTTTTATCAGGCACATTAGAAAATGTTTCAGTAAAGATAATCATTTATAAATAATTAACTTTCCTTGATAATGTGTTAAATAAAGAAATAGTTTATCGTATTTTTTTAAAATTTTATTTCAGTCCTATCGTGCTAATAATTTTCATGTCAATCATGCTATCAAAAAAGTTCACTATAAAAAAAGAAGCTATTCTGTTCTTTTAATTTTTTATGTTTGTGTAACGAAATAAGTATTTAAAAAAATAGATATAAAATTAAGAGAGATATTTTGAAACTTCACAACAGAAAAAATGGTATTTAATTCGAAAAATGCAGTTTATTTTAAAAAATTTACTGCTTTACTTTAATAAATTTTGATCTTTTACATAAAAATCATTGCATTTTGTATTTTAATAATTCATAGAATTTTCACTAACATTTTATTTTTTTCCATCTTCCTAAGGAAAGGTCATTTATTAATAATTCATGATTGAAAAAGAATAGTAAAGAATTAATTTTTTTTACATGGTTAAAAACGTGGTTTACATGGTCAACATTATATTCGTCTTCACGCTTGCATTTTACTTTTCTAAACAATTTTTTAAAAAAGGGCAAAAAAGCAACGTTCATTTACTTAAATATTTATGTAAAGGTTTAAAATCTAAGTAAATAAACAAATGAAGAAAAATTCCGTGCAATAGTTTATACAATAATTTCATTATAACTACTAAGGTAATTTTAGCAGACTTGAGTTCTTATTTTATTATGAAGTATATAAAATTCTTATAAATTGTTATAAAAAATATGTTATATTGTTATATAAATTTTTATATTGTTATATAAATAATTATAAAATTGTTATAAAAAATATTGATAAAAAAAGTTATAAGTGTTAAATGCATTATCAAAACAATAAAAAAAA